GTGCCTCAATGACACTGTGGTTAAGTGATATACCACTTCGTGTCGGAACTACTTTAGTGTGCCACGATGACACTGTGGTTAAGTGATATACCACTCCGTGTCGGAACTACTTTAGTGTGCCTCAATGACACTGTGGTTAAGTGTTATACCACTCCGTGTCGAAACTACTTTAGTGTGCCTCAATGACACTGTGGTTAAGTGATATACCACTCCGTGTCGGAACTACTTTAGTGTGCCTCAGTGACGCTATGGTTAAGTGACATACCACTCCGTGTCGGAACTACTTTCAGGGTGACTCAGTGACACTATAGTAAAGTGATATACCACTCCGTGCCGGAACTACTTTCAGTGTGACTCAGTGACACTATAGTAAAGTGATATACCACTCCGTGCCGGAACTACTTTCAGGGTGACTCAGTGACACTGTGGTTAAGTGACATACCACTCCGTGAGGGAACTACTTTCAGGGTGACTCCGTGACACTAAAGTAAAGTGATATACCACTAGGTGACGGAACTACCTTCAGGGTGACTCAGTGACACTATAGTAAAGTGATATACCACTCCGTGCCGGAACTACTTTCAGGGTGACTCAGTGACACTATGGTTAAGTGACATACCCATCCGTGCTGGAACTACTTTCAGGGTGACTCCGTGACACTAAAGTAAAGTGATATACCACTAGGTGACGGAACTACTTTCAGGGTGACTCAGTGACACTATGGATTTAGAAGAAGGGTCGAAAAGATCGGTAAGGACATACATAATGAATAGAACGTCTTCCTTTTCTGCGCAACTTATGCAAATATAAAATTTTGTCAGGTCACTCGATGAGATACATACAAATATCCCCGCTGTAATATTTTCATCAATTCGGCATCGTGACGTCATATTGCTTCAACTTTCCAGTGACTGTCGCTCGATCGGTAAGCCCTTGTGGGAAATATGAAGATGCTATTATTTGTAAAACTCACATATCTTTAAGTAATAAAATCACTTTCCCTGCGAAATCGGCATTACCTGAACCGCTCGTAAAATATCTAACATCATCAAAGGCATCGACAACGTTCACGTCATACTGGCGTCATTACTGACGTAAGGTGTAATGGCCGCCTGGCGTCACAATCATTCAATATTGACCTAAAAAATTAGATTCTCGACATTGGTCTCCGCTGCGGAATTCAAAGATGTATGATAAAACTTGTTTTAACATTCGAATGTGCGCCATACGGCTATAACAAAAACAAACCAGCGATTATGCTTGTCGTAAGAGGCGACTAACGGGATCGGGTGGACAGGCTCTCTGATTTGGTTGATGCAGGTCATCGTATCCCAATTGCGTGGATTGATGCTCAGGATCATGCATCAACCAAGTCAGCGAGCCTGACCACCCGATCCCGTTAGTCGCCTCTTACGACAAGCATGGGTTGCTGAAGATCAATTCTAACCTGGAATATTGTGATACGAGGGATGATTGACAAGTTATGAGCTCCAAACAGAAAGACTTTACCTGAAGACATTAAAATGATAGATGTTTCAATATTATCCACTTCCCCATTGATACACTTTTGCCAACGATGTTAGAGGGATTTTATCCCAGTTTCGTAGAAATCCCCTTGGCTATCATCCAAAATATTCTCCACAGCTGTTGTGACGTCCTTGTTGGAGTCAAAATGGACTCCGGCTGGAGCTTTCTTCATGTTTGGGAACAGATGGAAGTCTGGCGGAGCCAGATCAGGGCCCACTTGCACAAAGCGATCTTAGCGCTAAGATGATCGTAACTCCCATTCTTTAACATAGGCTTACGATAGTCTTAGCGCTAAGATCGCTTTGTGCAAGTGGGTCCAGGAGAATAAGGTGGTTGCTGAAGGAGTTCTACAGCACACTCGAATTGTTGCCATGACAATGACTGACTTGTGCACTGGCGCGTTGTCCTGATGGAAGTGCACATCTTTTCTCAGTTTCCCTCGTCTCTTAAACTTAATTTCACCTCGTAACTGACTCAAAGGTGCAGCGTAATATGATACTGTTATCGTATGGCCAGTGTCGAAGTGTCAAGTATTCTGTCTGACATTTTAGAGCGGTCAATTTATAAAATGACTGAAATGTTCAGTTAATACATAAACTTAACAACGCGTATTCTGCGCGTGCGTTGGGGTCACGTGGAACGTTACTAATTATTATTTGCATATTCGTGTATATGCAACGGGTCGGCGTACGGTTCTTGGTAGGAAGTGATAACAGGTCGATGGCTTGTGGTCTATAAAGTTTACTTTATACAGGTAGATATGTATTCAAAAAGGCACGACGTGCCAGGTCAGCACATGGTAGTAGTGGTTGTTGTGTTGGTGCCCCGGAGCACCTAGCTGGGATGAGGGTGAGACCAAACTGACTTTAATCTCGATCATGATGATGATGATGATGATGATGATGATGATGATTTGGAGATTTTACGTGCGCTTTCCGACATCATTCGTATTTCGCACACAGGTTCACCAGGCCATTTAATTTTCATCTCTGAACCAAGGCTTATATAGAGCCAAGGTCACCTGACATGGATTAAATCATAAATATAAACAACAATAATTAATAAGTGACATAGTTGCACATTTCGTTCAGGATGGCAGACAGTCAATGCAAATTGGATTGCCAACATATAAGTAATGGTCGTTAACTGATGTCATGGCAACGGGGTAATTAGCCTTTGTTCATTCAGACAAAGGTTGTCCCAAAATCGGCAGAAATGACAAAGTGACTGAGTGAATCAGTCATTGTACAACATGACTCAAGTCAAGCTTTATTCAAGCAATAAGCCAACTGACAATACTGTTCGGGAACACCTAAAGTACAGATCAATCATAATATAAGTACTTAAGTAATACACACAAATCTTGCACGCTTTTTCAATCCTAAGAAATTAAATTTTGCAAGAGCACGTAGGGCTTCTGGTATGATGGACATGTTTTGTTTGTTTGTGTGTTTGTTTGTTTGTTCAAAGCTGCACTCAGCAATATTCCATCTATATGACGGTGGTCTGTAAATATTTAGTCTGGACCAGACAATCCAGTGAATGATGATAACATGAGCATCGATCAACGCAACTGGGATACGATGACATGCATCAACTAAGTCAGAGAGCGTTACCAGCCGATCCCGTTAGTCGCCTCTTACGACAAGCATAGTCGCTGATGGAGATGTACAATAATATGGTGGTATAATGGTGGTATATAAAATCAAATTCGGTAAGCATCAACATGCACAGATGAAAAGTAATTTTTATAATTATTACATAATCTAATATTTCTATAAAAGCTTAGCTTTGAGTAATGTCACAATTTATCAACCCATGGCTGTTTATTAATGTCAACACATCTCTGTTTGAACTTACCAATAAAACCCTTTATTTTTCCAACACCTTGTGGGAGGGCACGGGTGGCCCAGTCGTCTAAGGTGCCGCGATTCGCTGTGCAGAGTTGCGTCCCTTGGGCACGCCTGAAACCTATGATTGTGGGTTCGAATCCCGGTTCGCCCCGATTACGTTTCTAGGTTTGTCATCACTATACCCGTGCTCGTGGGTTTTACCAAAGTCTCAGAGCCTGCAACACTTCGGGCTCTCCTCCCACAATAAGCTGAGACGCCGCAGTATAACTCGAATACTGTTAAAAGCGGCGCTAAACCACTCACTAACTCCAACATCTTGCTCATGTACAAACTGACTGATTTTAGACATTAACTGTAACATATACATAACAAAGATACACGAACACATTGGGGGTGTATGATTTTGCATTTCTTGATAGATCACTTCATTGTTCACGTTATGAACGTTGTCATTTGCACCTTGAACATACGGGTCTCCAGACATAATGTCTGCAAGCTGGGGAACCTTCTCATTTCTGGATTTATCACGAGGAACAATTTTCGTTAAACGTGTGTTTTTTCATAAAGAAAAGTCGTAGAATGTCATATATAAACACTCTTCGACTTTGTGTAACAAAGAGCGCAAGGGTGGCCCAGTCGTCTGAGGCACCGCATTTCACTGTGCAGAGATGCGCCCATTGGGCACGCCAGAAACCTATGATTGTGGGTTCGAATCGCCACTATTATATTTCTACTTTCTAGGTTTGTCAGCACCATATCAGTGCTCGTGGGTTTCACCAAAGTGGTAAACGTCGAAGAACTGCATCACTTCGGGCTTTCCTCCCACATTAAGCTGACACGCCGCGATATAGCTAGAATACTGTTAAAAGCGGCGTTAAACCCAACTCAGTCACTAGTGAAACAAAGATATTTATCTGGAAAGAAAACGAAATATGAAAAAAATGTCCAACCACTGGCTACATTTTCGACCTGTAGAAGAATAAACTCTGTTAGATACACATGATCACAGCATATCTGCTGTTCATTTAAAACCTCGGTATACAATACGTTGCAATAAAAATTGTTGCATTTGTCACCAGTCCTTCCATAAAGGCTTAGTACCGAATGACACGAGGTCACGAATGCATTGATTTGCACATCATATGAGATATATATTAAGAACGCTTCTATCACTATTTCAAAATGGAATTCGCTTCGCAAAATCGTGAAATTAATTCATAGTTATACCTTATGCATATTGTCCGTTACATATTTAAGTGGACATTTTGATAACAGAAATGGAATATATATATATGAAAGCTATTTCGAAATAGCTTGAGTCATATCACTTGTGCGCACTGAACATAGTTATGCCCCATTACTCGCACCATATTCTACTACATAAAGTATTTTCGTAACAACTAGCATCTTTAGCATAAAAAAGAGTTGAAAGAAATTAAGAAAATTACGTTTTCGTGAAAAATTACACATCTTTTATATAAAAATAGTGTATTTCTTATTATTACAGTATGGACTTATTTCGTTTCTTACATAGTACTAAGGAAATGATATGAAATAAATATTGCATACTATATAGTGGTGTAACGTATAGTATACTATAGACAGTCGCCATTACGCACTTTGATAACACTGTCATTGGACTCAACCTGAATGAAAAAAAAACCATGATTCTACATAACCAGTGTTCATGCACGCCTGGTCGTTAAGAAGGGATTGGGATATGTAGAGAAAATAACAAGTGGAGCCACTGTAATGGTAAGTATGTTTCTTAATCACTTAAACTGAAAAATATTTACTTGTCAAAAAAAGTTCGGCTGCTTCTACGAGTCCAATTAAATGACGAACACACTTGCTGTCCTTGCATCAGTTACTTGTGTGGCATCCTCTGTCTTGTCGTCTGCGTCATGCCTATAATTTAATTTGAGTTGACACTCTATGCTTTGTTTTTTTTAATGATTAAAGGTCATTATTACATGACGCAGGAGTATCTCAATGTTGATCAGTCGACTTAGTCACATAGATCTACTTGATCAGTGTGACAAGCTAGGTCCAGAATGAAGTTGTCATCATGGTATTTTGGTATTAATGAATATACGTTGTAATTATATGTTTGGACCACACCAGTCAAACGTGATTATGCACCAGAAGTAACAATTATAATTGAAAGTCAAGGCGTCACCATGGTCACTGTCAATCAAACATTGCTATATCCACCTAATCTTGTTCCTTGTTTAAGATGAAGATTGATGTGGTCCCCACATTCTACAACCCGAAACATCTCAAGGATCCAAATATCTCTTAGACATGTAATATCCTCTTGTATCACGCCATGTCTTTACTGGATATTGCACCCCTAACTCGCTACATACAAAGTTGGAAGGTCAAACTGACAACCTGTGATATAACTAAAAAACTGTTCAGCCAAACTCACTCTCTTAGCATGCTTACAAACACTACCAAAAACATCTGTTGTTGATACAGTGGTCACCAAGTGGCCACGGACCCCATTTTCATGTCTGAAATTCCTGAGGATTCAAATTGTTCATGTTGATAGACCCTGGTAAATAGTTCCCTAAACATGCAAAAGAAAATGTTCCATCTTTATTATCATCTGCAATAGTGTGAGTGAGTTGGGGTTAACGCTGCTTTTAACAGTATTCCAGTTATATTGCGGCATGTCAGCTTAATGTGGGAGGAAAGCCCGAAGTGATGCAGGTCTTCGACTTCGACGTTCACACTTTGGTGAAACCCACGAGCACGGGTATGGTGCTGACAACCTAGAAACATAATCAGGATGAACAGGGATTCGAACCCACAGTCATAGGTTTCTGGCATGTCCAAGGGACGTAACTGCACAGCTAATCGCGGCGCCCTCGGCGACTGGGCCTTCTGTGTCCCCTTGCAAAAGCAAGTATGACTGATACAGTGGTAGGTTCCATAGTCAAGCTGATCATTCTTTCAGTGGCCAAGATCATAGTGTACATTGGAAGTAACAAACTGTCATTATCATGATCATACCATGTTTAACTGCTTTCACAATGTGTAAGTATAAACTTCAGTTTATTTCTATCCTTTTAACATGTTTGACTAAGATTGAAAACTAAACCATGTCTACTGGTCCATGCTGAGGCACTATACCTTTACCATGTTCACCTTTCACATAGTTATATATATGAACCACTGAACATCAGTTGTATTACTGTGCAACAATCCAGTACACATCAGCCCAACATTTACTGCTATGTCATGTTCATGTAGTGCTGTTTATGCATGATGTGTTAAATGTAAGTTATATATACATGACTATCATGGCTATACCCATATTTGTTTGTAACCTTCTACATGATCCAGGGTTTTACCCTGACCTACAAAACTAGGGGTCCAATTACTACTTTCAAGGGTCCTTACAGGAAAAATGAGGGTTCTGTAAAATAATGAAATGGTGTACAGGGATTGACTTAGGCCACGATATTCTCGCATAGTTGTCATAGATATCGCATCAACATTAATTCAGCGCGATTGAAAATAGCGTACATCTTTCAATAGTTTTATCCGCATTGACACTCTCGTTTTCACCTACAAACATCGAAAAAGTCGTATTGCTTGAAAAAATTATCTACCAGGGATAATTCTAGGCCCACATTTTCAAATACAATGAGGCATTTTAACATTGTGCTGTACGGGCGTTCCTCGGGAATATTTGAAATTTTCAAATAAGGGCCCATGTCAGAAAATTCCTTGAGTGAAACCTGATCTACTGAATCTAAAAATGTCAATAAAAACTTACTCAATAGTTTCTTCAATCAGCAAAAGTTGTTAATCAAAACAGCGATTCCAGCTGTAGAAACTAACAGTTTTAGTCCACTGGTCCTTATAATGATAACATATAGCAAAACCTTTAGAAAGGGCAAATTTCTACTAGTCCTTATGATACCTTAACTATTGGCCAGTTTGGCAAAGACTACAGGACTAGTGCCAATTTCTAACGCTGGATTTGCATACTCGCAACACTGCATGCCATCTCTTACTGTGCATTAATGATTCCTATGTCACTGCATGGAGCTTTGCACTACATTTTTTTAATACCTGATTGTCAAATCGTATTCAGTGATCTGCAACAAGTCATTAGCAATATTTTTTTTGTCACTTAAATCCTAGCAGAAATCCAAGACGTTCATGTATGTGCACCCAAGCAGAAATCAAGAGACAAAATGCAATCATGGGTATAGTTTCAAAACACATGCAAATTTCGATTTTGGAATGACAAAACCAAACCTAAATGAATATACACACAACTCTTTATCCATAAGAATATACAAATTTCAGATCACAAACGATCATATTTTAGATGAGAATCGCCTTGACTTTAGATAAGACAGCACTGGTTTTCATGAACGTATACCCTCTTGCAAGAATGGCCAATGTGCATGAATTACGAATTTTGAACTGCTTCTAGTGGCCAAACAGCAAGTTGGAGATTTTTTAGAATATGTTTGCTTCCAGATTTGTCAATATTTATTGAAAACTGTGACTTAATCATTCTAATGTAACTCATAAACATAGTGAATGTCAAAAATCTTTTCAACTTCCGGTTACTCTTAAACATTTTCTGGCTACTGCACATGGCAAACACCATTTACAACTGTCGCTATTTCATGTCATCGCTTTGAATATATTAAGTTACGATCTTAACCACTGTTAACAGACATTGTCGAAGATCTACAGTCGTATCTATAATTATTCTCGCAAATAAATCCTCCTAAAGTCAACAATGAACTGAACTGAAATACATAAATATTAATGTATTTTCTCCTAAAGTAAACAATAAGCAGAAATATAAATACTAATGCATTTTTTTGTTGATACTAATGCTAATATTTAAAAAAATTCGGGAGGATGTATCTATATTATCTGGTAACGTTAATTGCAACATAATTTGAGTCACAAATACTGAATATCAAATACAGTTTCCACTGTGGGAAGACAAAATGTCTCTGAAATCTCATCACACCAAAAAATCTCATTGCTTTTAGACCAGGGGGGATTTTCTCTCATAGGTAAAATATTCAAGGTTAACCCTTGGGTGTAGTGTACTGTACCATGTGTTCTGTAAGATTTAATAATTACTTTAATTACAGGAACTATATATTTCGTTTCAAGCAATTGGTACTATGAATATTATTGTGCGTCCCTCAGGGTGCAATATACATGATATATTTTTTTTTTCTGTGTCAATTCTAAACATTTGTGCATAACTGGACGCACATATCTACATCAAATAAAACACTGTAATCCATGCTAAACAAATTAGGAATGCTTGTCATATTAATATCAGTACACACCATCTGTTTCAATAATCAGTGATAATCCAAGATAATTAATAACTATATTTATAATTAAGCATTGGATGGAACTATTGCCAATAATCGCAGAGTGTAAACAAGCAATGGTTACTAATAGACTACGGTATCATTTGCCATTAGTCCAATGGGCCCAAGACTAGTAAAATATATTTTGGTCTAGAAATTTCAGGTAATAAAAATCAATTTATTGTCTGAAAACTGGCTTCCACGGGAGATATAGCTTGGGTGAGGTCAAACAATATGAAGATGATATTGCCACAATGAAATTGCATCACAATGCTTTGCAAACCATGGACGACTTCGTTCACTGTGACGATTTCGTCTTGGACCTAGATATGCCACTTGAAGAATTCCCACTCTACGACCAGGGGTTGGTTTCAGATGACTCTTGGTCTGAATAGAATGACAGCGATGTTACCGCTACAAAGCAGTCGATAATACCTCCCAAAAAGTTTCACTCAAAGAAAAAGATAGGAAATGAAAATATGACGGCTGTCTACGAGCGTGGGTTTTCGAGGGCGTGGGAAGAAAAAGCCATTCAAATATCAAAAGTATTTTATGACGTATTCTATTTGTTTGAAAAATCAGTTAATATATCTCATTTTATGCTGCAATTGTTAATTATTATAAATAAATAAACAAAAATACCAAATCCACTACGAACGACACAGAAAACTATGATCCAGTAAATTGCACAGGAACTCAGGAAGTGTAAATAAAACTCACCAAGAAGGAAGGAAGACACTTGTAACATATCACCATATACCCGATGTTCACAAAATATATCTCCAGATTAACTTCATATCTTATAATAAATCCAGGCTAGATTTACTTGCAAAAATGCATGGTCACCGGCTGGTGTAAATGCTTTTCTGTTAGCCAGAAAAAAATGACGTCATATTAATGTTTTTATTTCATGTAAATTCGCTACTATTTTATAATGCTAATAGTTCCAGTGATTTTAAAAAAAATACACATTAAACTATGAGCGTTGTTAAATGAATTTTCGATGTGTCCGACGATGGGCTTCACAAGTTGGTTGGTTGGTTTGTTATTTAACGCCGCACTCAGCAAGTAATCAAATGTTATTGGTTAATGCCAGTTTGGGGCTAGCAGTGATAATGGGTTTTGCTGGAACGAGATATGTTTTTTCAAAGGGAGGCTACCGTTAAATTCCAATGCAAAGAGGGCGATTGTAATTTTACAATCGTTATTTGATATTACCCGATTAGTTTGATATTTCAGCATACAAATAATTAGGTATTTCAGGTATAACAATATAGCTTCAACGAACATGGTACCAGATATATACTAGTATATCGTAAACTGTAGTAATGTTTGTAGTTTTCCAAATTGTTTCACCATGGTTTTCTGTTAACATGTGATCAATGCAAAACAAACTTTAAACTCTAACCTGGAACGAGGCATGCAACTATTACTATTAAAACAAAACAAAGCATCACAAATCTGACATATGTAGATGTATTTATCATAGAAAAGGACAGTAGACCATCTATTTATTTTACTAAATGACACCTTCAACCTTGCTGTCTCGAACTTCTCTCCCGACGACTGCCGATATAATCCTTCTTCTTTCTTGGCATTTACAAAGCAAATGATACAGTAAAATATGTTTATAACGAACACGCTTAAAACGAACTGACGGATATTACGAACTGAATTTTTGGTCCCAGGTATTTGCTGTATAGATGTTGTATATATGCTTATAACGAACTACGGTTGTAAGGAACTAAAATTAGTGGTCCATTTGAGTTCGTTATAACCGTAGTTTACCGTAATTTTATAATACAAATATTTCATATAACAGATTTTTATTTTTGTATGATGTTTTCATTGTTGTGTAAATACACAAAGTAAGTAGTACCTTCATCATATTTACATTATTATGATTGGGTTTAGGCCCAGATGAAATAGCTCATAATCGAAATTTACAGTGCATAAAATAAAAAATATGTTAAATGTAGTCATGATTTATAAAGGCAAAATGTACAGAAAACTAATATAAATCATCGTCAAAATATGTAGTAATCTTCAGCGCAATATGTGATAGAAGCCTAACTGAAACAAAGTTAATAGGTATGTTAAACTTACGAAGAAATGGCGTAAAATATGGCTTTGTGCCAAAAATCATACAAAAAAACTACCGATCGTACCAAAATAACTTTGGTTCCAAGAAGGGAAATCATGATGAATGTGAAAATATTTATTTCAGGACCGAAAATAGGAACACATTCGTCTGAAAGCATGCGAAAACTAAGAGTTGTGATGTAATTATTCTGGAAAAATTCAGATTTAGTTGCATTTCTGGAGTCAAAATCTGAAATTTCACAACTGCCCTAAATTTGTTAATGGCACTAAACTAATTTTTAACAAGTCTCCTTTTTGTACACCTCAGTAACCAAGGACGTTCATTGCGAATTAGAGGCTGTTATAGAAAATCAAAATCTGCTCTTTGGCCGATTTTACATGTGCGCCATTTTGTTCTCTCGGACAAAGACAAAGTGTGATCACAGTCATCAAATACAGTGACAACGACTTGCTTCAGGGCACCAACAAATCAGTTGTAATGTTGACAATGCTGAAATATATTCTTTGCATGGAAAAAAAGGCGACAACGATGACTGCAGTGAACACGTCATTGCTCGCTTCCGGACAGGTTGCGCAGTACAAGCCTTAGCACTGATGGTTTCGCGCATAGGCTCTATTATATGGTCTCTGATATCAGAAGACATTAAAATGATATTCTCTTTCTATAAACCCTAAATTCTTCGGAAAATGGTGTCAAAAAGACAACTTCATGGTGGTATACTCAAAACATTTTAACACAGACTGGATGCATATAATATTTGAATCATGATACGATTCGATTCTCCACATAGGTACGTGTGAAGCCCATTTCTGGTGTCTCCCGCCACGATATTGCTAAAGTGGCATAAAACTCTACTCTCTCACTCTGATGGTTTTCATGGTCAGTGGTTTTACTTTTAGGCAGTCCGCTTTAGCTTTTTGTTACCTGATCTGCAGTAAGGCTATGTCCAGGTAATGATGTAAGCCTGGGTAGATGAGTGAGTATGGTTTTACGCTGCTTTTAGCAATATTCCAACAATATCACGGCGGGGACAACAGAAATGGGCTTCACACATTGTACCCATGTTGGGAATCGAACCCAGGTCTTCGGCGTGACTAGCCAAGGCTTTAACCACTAGGCTACCCTACTGGTATCAGACCTAGTTATTGCATAACATTGTAAATTTTTCTTTTTGAAAATCAATGCAGAATTACGACATGCATGAATACATCGTGTACATGGTAGACACAATGGATCGGTCCGTCCAGATTCACCTGTAAATCATGACAACCATAGGAGCTGTGCATGCATCTGTTCATATTCATAAATATTTATTGTAATTTGAATATAAAGTATCTATACAAGTGTCTTGTCAGCTGCGAGAAATATGATAATGAGTATACAGTATTATACCGTGACTTTCCAGTATATGTAAGCCTTCTGGTAATACAAGAAAGCCGTTTCAAACTGTGTCGTCAGACAGGCTGGAGAAAACACAGCATGCTATGTTCTCTGTGAAAGCTGGAAGATAGTCTCAATGGTATGCTGGTCCTGTTCTGGCATTTATGATTCCTGGAGAGATGTACACTTCCTGTGTGCTGTGATCCAGGCACAGGTTTGACATAGACCCAGTATACGCAGAAAGTGTGCTCAGTTGCTCTTGCCATTAACCACCTGCCTGCTTGGCTGTGACTCGATTTACTGGCTGATGTAACTTGTTACATAGCTGTAACCATGGTAACATTGCTGACTGAGGTGTGTAACAACTGTCACTCACTTAGCGTTGTTGTTAATTAGCAAAATGTTCTGCATGGAATGTATGCACTAATAGTCATGGTTGTGTCTCATTGAAACTTCTCAATCCTCAGAGGTTTAAAACAGTTCAAAGATGCTAATTGTTATCCTCCTTGGCACTTAGGGGCTGTGGGGTAGCCTAACGGTTAAAGCGCTCACTTGTCATGCCGAAGACCTGGGTTCGATTCCCAACATGGGTACAATGTCTGAAGCCCATTTCTGGCCATGATATTGCTGAAATATTGCTAAAAGCGGCGTAAAACCATACTCACACACTCACACGGTCCTTGGCACTCGGCATATAGGTGGTTAAACAGAGACTGGTCGGCTCGAGGTCACTATACTGTATCTAAGTACGGTATCCATGTTAAACTGTGGCATGGTAATTCAGTGGGTTAGCACTGAACAAACTGAACAAAAGGCATAAGTCTGGACTTGTGCGTTAGCATGCACTTCACTATAAAAGTGAAATAATCTTAAACATGATGTTAGATCCCATTTCACCTCACCATTATCATGATTATTGTGTGCCTTGTAACCATGACAACGTTAACTGTTTACTGCTTCTAGTGTGATTGTTCTTGTCTACAGTTGTACCTCTGATGCAGTTGTGTATTGGTGACAGTCCAGCAACATGTTAGAGGGCCTGGCTGCATGGGTGCTCAACACCTATGTGGGGGAGTACGTGGAGAACCTCAACACGGACCAGCTGTCCATCGCTCTGCTGCAAGGTGAGATACCCAATACTCTTATACCACATGCAGTAGATGAGGGGCACGGGTGCTCCAGTCGTCTAAGGCAGCATGGTGCAGAGGTGTGTCCCTTAGAAGGTTTAGAACTTAACGCTAGCCTGCCAGCCTGGGGCTGGTACAAATTCCAGCGGGCGAGTGCAAATTTCCACATATCCCCCATTGTTTTAACATTACAGGGGCATTTTATCTTTACCTGGGCTAGTAAAGCTTTTGATATTAATTCTAAACCTGACCTTAGGCCTGTTAGCATGATTAGGCATGTCAGAAGACTATGATCATGAGTTGTGTCCCTTAATTGTGCCTCAATCTGCTGGCTGTGGTTTGAATCCGTTGCTTTGACATGTTTGTTGTAGTTTTAGGCCCATAGAACATATAACTGAACGTATTACATTGCAATATGTACTTTCATTCTTTTTAATCATGCTAATAGTGTGTGCATGTTTTCATTTAATAATATATCTACTTCTTGCTCACATTGTAGGAGCTGTTGAACTTGAGAATTTGCCTTTGAAAAAAGATGCCTTGAAAAGCCTTGACATTCCTCTGGAAGTAAAATCAGGTAAGTTTGATACTCTGCAAATATCAGTTGCTACGGAAATGGTCAAGTTTTTTGCATCTTTCGACCCTGTTAACCACTGTCTATGCTTACCATTACAAAGATATCACAGATTCTTCCCTGACCGCCACAGCAGAACTCCAAGTTCATCATCTTCAATATCATCCACTCTGAACAGTTTGATGTGTATTTGGGTTGGTCGGGTAGCCTAGTGGTTAAAGCGTTGGCTCGTCACACCGAAGACCTGGGTTCGATTCCTGACATGGGTACAATGTGTGAAGCCCATTTCTGGTGTCCCCCGAGGGATATTGCTGGAATATTGCTAAAAGCGGCGTAAAACCATACCCACTCACTCACTCATCATGCACATGGATGTGTAATTTGTGGTATTTCCAACTTATTAACATGACTAACTGAAAGTGAGATTATCCTCCAGTGATGGGACACAGTGTTATGTGTGCCCTGCTTGTGAGAAGAGTGAGTAGGGCAGTCATTGCATATAGCTATTCATACATACAAGTATCATACATGCATCTCACGATCTGAGTTTGTACATAAATAAAGTAGGGAAGAGAATTTATGGATGTCTCCTTCTTTATTATGAGGAACACAACGTTTCGGAGTACATACTTACTCCTTCATCAGGTAAATGAATGCTATGAAGCAGAGAGCATATATATGTACATGTACCTGTAAGAACAACAAAAGTTGTGAGATAACAAAGGTGGAAGCTTAACAAGGGAAGTTTTTTGCCACAGATAGGTGATTAGCAATGGACAAATGGAAGTCAATACGTAACAGTTAATTAGTGCTGATAGGTGATAGCACTTTATGTGTATCACTTCTAAATGCCATTCAAAGACTTAAATAAAGTAGGCCTTGAACTTTGTTGGACAGGTTGCCATGGTTATTATCAATATTCTGTGAAGATGTTCAAAACCCACTTTCTCTGTATTTTCATGATAATATTTAAACATCCACTAGTCTGCTAGTCCAAGACTAGTGAAAACTTGGAAGGGCTAGTTGTTTTTTCGAAACTCTAGTTGTATAATATAAACTATATGTAGTCCACTTTGTTTGTTTGTTGATTAACACTGCACTCAGCAATATTCCAGCTATATGACGGCGGTCTGTAAATAATCAAGTCTGGACCAGACATTCCAGTGATTGACATCATGAACATCGATCCACACATTTATGAATCAATGATATGCATCAACCAAGTCAGCGAACCTGACCATCCGATCCCTTTAGTCACCTCTAACAACAAGCAAAGTCGCCTTTTACAGCAAGCATGGGTTGCTGAAGACTTATTCTACCCTGGATCTTCATGGGTTAACTGCATCTAGTCCACGTTGCGCTGTGAACAGGATGGATGTCTGTTTGAATGAAACTTGCCAGGACAGTCAGTACCTATTGGACCAAGCCTAGTTCCACTTTAACCCTTGGTAAAGCTATGAGAGCTTTAATGCATGTTGAGAAAACATCCTTTGGTTTGTGTGGATGAGTACATGAAGAGGATGCGCTACATCAACACTTGAATAGCTTATGTGTAAAACATTGTGTAGTGTCATCTATGAATATTAGAGGTTTGGATGGGTTCATTTTCTGGGACACTGATTGTCATTCAAAATGTCCTCAAGATATGTTTCCAATTTGGTAATGACATAAAGGAATTGCCTGTGATCAAATCTTTATGCCTAAGGTACCTTGCACTTTATCATCCAAAACTGGCTCCCACAGGTGATATGCTTGGATGAGATCAAGCGATATCTACACTGTAGATATCGCTGCAATGAAATTACATCACAATGCTTTGCAGACCATTGTGACATCACTGGTTACCATGACGTCACAATCAAATGACATCACTAATGGCTCTGCTACTGAAGCTGTTAGCTGTATTTTACACTGAAGACACTGCTAATTATTGTCTACAAATTGAAAAAGTTGGAAGAATGATGTTGGATGATAAATAAAATCTCACCCTCATGTCTTTTGATATCAATTATATCAACACTCGTTGATAAGAGTGGCAAAAATCCTCGGCAAGCCTCGGAATTTTTCCACTTTTATCAACTCGTGTTGATATATTTGATATCAAAAGACACTCGGGTGAGATTCTCTAGATCCCTGGAATATTGATGAATGCTTTCAGTCTGCACTGCCCCATGAAATGTTTCAGTAGAGAAAGAATATTTGTGAAGAATGTTTCTATCGTATTCAAATTTTAAGGTTGCCATGTGACACTTGATCACCAGGTTTTCTTCCAATCTCATTAAAATCAGACCTTAGTTAGCTTTGTTTAGCGGTAGCGAGAAGTAAGGTCTGAATTTAATGAGATTGGTTTTCTTCAAGGTTGACAATCCTTAACATATGACCAAATAGCTTGCTATGTAGACATGGTAGACGTCAGTTTGAGAGTAGAGGGGTGCTTTATTGTCGCCATACATGCAATGGTAGTAGGTTTTGACCTTCAGGTATTCACCACTATTGCAATCATACTCAAATAGTATCTCGGGCAATCTCATTAAAATCAGATATTTTATTTACAATACCTGTTTACACCAAGATCTAAAGACACCTCCATAGAACACGAAGGTCGCATCAGATGAATGCTGAGGGAACCTTGACCAATCAAAATGATCAATGCATGGGGTCTTTAGCCAATCACATGACAGCTTTCTAAATAATTTTGCTTCAATTCTTTACCATTATTTCCGTTTGTAAATTTCAGTTTCTGCCAAAGAGGCTGCCACAAAACACAGACCTACCCTCCATTGTACACCTTTTTGGCTGTAGATGCCTTGGTGCTCACAAACCACAATATGATAGCGTGGCATTATTTTTTCGCATTTAGATTCCCTAGATTACATTCATTTTTGAGATAAGGAAATCCGATATGATTGTCTGAATGCTTTTGCTTTTTGTCAATTTCACAACTGTCACATTTTGATCATGTTTATTCAGTATTATGTCCAGAACATGTGGCACACTGTCACATGGTAACTGCTTAGGGAGATAACCCTTATTTATCATGTTTAGATATGATTTCCACATGCATGTGAACTCCTTGTTTCAAAGTGGGTTGATGTGTTCAAGTTGCTATCAGTAAGTGTGGCACCTAGCTCATCTTTGATTCAGTGCCATTCTGGATGTTGGCTATTGGATAAATATCATTATTCCTGAACTGTCCACCAAATGCAACTGAACAATTACATCAACAAGTGATGAAAGCTGTACAATTCTCAGTGCAAATGGTTCATGTTATTATATGTGATCACTTGTGATTTTTGTTTCAAGCTGTTGCAATATTAAGATTTTTTCATCATGAATATTTTCTGCACTTGCCAAAATTGATCCAATCTGTGGATGGTAGAATGACAGTGACTAACACTATGCTTATTCTTATTCCACGGACTTGTTAAGGATTGAATTACATTTAAGAATATGGTAATTATACATATAGACTTATTATACATATAGGGTTTTTAATCATTTTGGTTACCACGGTTACAATTTGAGTATGAGGTCCTCAATTATATGAACTGATGACCAAAAGAACGTTTACCAAGGGTATTAATTCCACCATAGAAAATACATCAAATATGTGAGGCAAAACACAAAGAATATTTGATATGGTAACTAAAACCGAAATCAAAATAATGGCCATACAGCTATTGTGGAAAAACAAATAGCTTTTTGGGCCCAGATGTCAACTTATTATACACGCTGTGGTAATGAAAATTACTCCAGAGAATGATTACGGTAAGTGTCTTTGAGGAGTGTGACCTGCCTGTGCCAGTGCCCAAGTGCCTGGGAGTCCAAATATACTACCCTGTTGCCTGCTGTAGGTCTCGAGGGGGGTACAAAATGTTCAATTGGTAATTATTTTACCAGAGCCCCTGAAAAAAAACCTATTTAGATACACATATTAAATGATCTGATCATGCATTAAAGTCAGAAGAAATGAGTGTATAGTCAACAAGAAAGGCGACCATTAGCGACTTGAAGTGTAACCATGGAGTTTTATTGTAATTGACATTAAACATTATGTTGTGTGACTAACCACGGATCCCGGTAGGCCTGTGGGTAGGCGGGTCCTACTCAGGACCCACCCGACCCAAGTTACCCTCCCCAGCCCGAGATGCAACTCCTGCAAGCACACAGTCTCCGTAACATGGAGGTTGTCAGTCTCCTGATGTCAGACGGGATGCATTGCCATTCCTCGTTCAACGCCTGTGTCCTGGGTCCTGTTCTTAGTGCTTAGGTGATCATAACTCCCATACTTTAACATTGGCATACAATAGTCGTAGGGCTAAGATCCTTTTGTGTTACGGGGACTTGAAGGGCAGGCTGGCCATGGTAACATGTTGGTGTTAGGCAACTCTGCACAGCGAATCACGGCGCCTTAGACGACTGGGCCACCCATGCCCCCACCCCCTGTAAGGACAGAGGACTCCAAACAGTTCGACTTATTATAGCAAACATCAAGGACCAAGGACCCCCTTAATATTGAACACATGAAAAGAGCGAGTGTCCTTCAATTTCTTTTGAGTAGTATAAAACAGTGGTCAGTGAATGGTAAGAACTAGGACAGGTTTCTGTATAATCAGTTGCAGTGTAAATGGTATAATCTGTGTATTGGAATCTGATCCAAATTGGTTAATAGCAAAATTGTGTCTATTGAATAATCCATAAGCATATATAATGAAACTTAGAATTCTTTCACTCCAGGTTCGTAGAGACTGAGACTTTTTGTTGATGAGAATGTCCATATGTTACAAACTAGTGTGATATGTAAGTTCTCTGGCTGACAGAGACTGGCTGACACAGCCTGGCTTCATTTTCCTGTCAATTGTGAAATGTCGTCTTCCTGAGACAAGGGCCTCAACTGACTATAAAAGTCCATTTTCCACCCTTGCTGAACTAGGCTTGAATTCCGGAGTTACATTTTGGCTGGATTAACGAGTCTTTGCATAGTCCAATTAAATCGAGTAAGGAACTAGACACCCGGTTCATTAACAACAAGAATTGACACATGCAGATTTCGGTCGACTGCAGGATTTGCAAAGCATGTGTACCGCCAACTGGGCCTTGACAGATGTTTTGCAAATCTTTTCATGTTTTTAATTGATGTGCTCAACTGATTTGATGCACTTCGTGGGGTAAGTCTCATTTTATTACAATATAGATCTTGATTATCGAGGGGCGGTCGGGTAGCCTAGTGGTTAAAGCGTTCGCTCGTCACGCCGAAGACCTGGGTTCTATTCTCGACATGGGTACAATGTGTGAAGCCCATTTGTGGTGTCCCCCGCCGTGATATTGCTGGAATATTGCTAAAAGCGGCGTAAAACCATACTCACTCACTCACTTGATTATCGAGCAGATCCTCTTCTCTTGGTGCCGCCATTTTGTTTGAAGCAAATGCAAGTCATATGAGGGATGGAATCTGATTGGTCAATAGGACAGACATAAAAGGGACATGATTTGTAATAGCTGCTGGAAATTCCAGCCTAGTTCGGCAAGAGCCTGACAGATCCTGGCTTCATTTTCCTGTCCACTGTAAAATGTAAGTTCACAGTCTGACAGAGCCTGGCTTCATTTTCCTATCGACTGTAAAATGTAAGTTCACAGTCTGACAGATCCTGGCTCCATTTTCCTGTCCACTGTAAAATGTAAGTTCACAGTCTGACAGATCCTGGCTCCATTTTCCTGTCCACTGTAAAATGTAAGTTCACAGTCTGACAGAGCCTGGCTCCGTTTTCCTGACAACTGTAAAATGTAAGTTCACAGTCTGACAGATCCTGGCTTCATTTTCCTGTCCACTGTAAAATGTAAGTTCACAGTCTGACAGATCCTGGCTCCATTTTCCTGTCCACTGTAAAATGTAAGTTCACAGTCTGACAGATCCTGGCTCCATTTTCCTATCGACTGTAAAATGTAAGTTCACAGTCTGACAGAGCCTGGCTTCATTTTCCTGTCGACTGTAAAATGTAAGTTCACAGTCTGACAGATCCTGGCTCCATTTTCCTGTCAACTGTAAAATGTAAGTTCACAGTCTGACAGATCCTGGCTCCATTTTCCTGACAACTGTAAAATGTAAGTTCACAGTCTGACAGATCCTGGCTCCATTTTCCTGTCAACTGTAAAATGTAAGTTCACAGTCTGACAGATCCTGGCTCCATTTTCCTGTCAACTGTAAAATGTAAGTTCACAGTCTGACAGAGCCTGGCTCCATTTTCCTGTCAACTGTAAAATGTAAGTTCACAGTCTGACAGAGCCTGGCTCCATTTTCCTGTCCACTGTAAAATGTAAGTTCACAGTCTGACAGATCCTGGCTCCATTTTCCTGTCCACTGTAAAATGTAAGTTCACAGTCTGACAGATCCTGGCTCCATTTTCCTATCGACTGTAAAATGTAAGTTCACAGTCTGTCAGAGCCTGGCTTTATTTTCCTATCGACTGTAAAATGTAAGTTCACAGTCTGACAGATCCTGGCTCCATTTTCCTATCGACTGTAAAATGTAAGTTCACAGTCTGATGGAGCCAGGCTTCATTTTCAAGTCAACTATGAAATGTAGGTTCACAGTCTGACAGACTGGCTTCATACTGTCAATTGTGATTTGATGATCAAACACCATCAAATCAATAGATATGGTGACAACACAGCTGTCAGTTTAGGTGATTGGTACACAGCCAATAATGGTGTGGCATGCTGTTGGTAGTGTTGTGACAACACATGCTGTCGATCCAGCTGAAAGGTATGCCGCCAATACTCACACACACAGTGTGGGGATGAACAGCTGTCCCATGTTAAACCCCAAGGAGACGTATAATGGAGTCATATATCAGTAATTGAAAGACTTAATAGGCAACACAGCTCATGGCCTGACATTAATCATGTAGTGTTGTCAATTTCTAAACTAGAATTTATAAAGGCTTAGAATTCAATTGTTATGTGTTTCGGTATGCTGCCTGTGATGTTACTAAATTATCCCAGAACCTGCCACAGTATTTACAATGTCCATGAAGTCACCTTAAGGATTGTTATTCAATTTCTGTACATCAATTTGTGTGTAGTTGACACAAGGTACGGGAATTCCTTTTGAGAAAGTAGTTCTGAATCGCAAGTTTTTGCTGCAGTTATTGAAAAAAAATATTTTAACTTGATTCCTCAACAGCAAGTCAGACTCGCAATTTGTGTAGGTAGCCTGTGAATTATTGTGTCAACCTGACAAACTAGTGATTGATATTATGAGCAACATCCTGAGCTCTTCATGGAGACCTATTATAACCTGGAATCTCTGGCAATTTTGCACATAATATCCCTGCAATGGAGCTTATGCAGAATTACTCATGTGAGGGACCGGTCATTTATTACCATATTATCGATGGGGGGGGGGTAGCCTAACACACGTGCATGCACGTCGCTATATTAGTGCAATTATCTTGAACGCTACGTTAAACCCCATTTCACCTCACCTATTCTGGTTCGGTTCCTTCAAAGGGTAGTATTAATTACAATATATGTTGGCCCATTTGATTATCTGTTATTGCTGAGAACCTAAATAGCAACAACAATGTGATGTTAATGCTTCAACCAGTATAGCAGTTATAGTCCAACTGATCACAATAGAATCATCAGGGAACTGCCACGTGTTGCATCATCTGTTTTGTTGACAAGAGTTGGTCGTTAGATTAGCAACATGGAACCCACACAATACAGTGCTGAATACATGATCAGGGCCCACTTGCACAAAACGATCTTAGCGCTAAGATGATCTTAACTCCCATACTTTAACATATGCTTACAATAGTCGTAGCGCTAAGATCGTTTTGTGCAAGTGGGCCCAGGTCTAAGACTATTGTTTTGTTTTTTAATTATTATTTAATTAATTTATGATGATTTATATACAGCAGGTATCCAGGTACTAGTATCTGCTCAAATGCAGTTTTATTTGTTACCCGACCAGTGGATCTGTTTGCATTCTCAACTCCCTGGGGAGTATACAACCCAAGCTGCCTCGGGGCGCTAGAAGGTTTTTACATCCACTTCACATATTGGGTACCCATTCCCTGGTGGGTGAACTGAGGCACTTTTGAACGAAGTCAGTTGCCCAGGGTGACTGACACCACATGTTTGGACACTTGTGTTTCGGGTGTATGAACGTATTCGTGTTTCCACCATCTGGTCATCTACCATTGGACGAGTGGGTTCTTTTGAGTGCACAGGGTGAATGTACTGTCAGAACTCAAAAACCATGAGAGATATCTTAACCAAACTTGGCACATAGATAGGTCTAGTTGTGAACTGGTGCCTTTTGATAGTTCTGGATTTCTTTAACATTTATTTTTCGAGTTTCTATGACAACGACTTTGACTTAGATTGAATATGGCGGTAGTGCTCTTTTCCAGAGCACAGATCTTGAAACCGTACAATATTTCTCCACCAAATTTGACACATAGATAAATTGTCCATCTTATAAGTTAACTCCATCCCAGGTTTTCATTGTGTTTTGTTTCCTGATGGCAGGTCTGATTGGGAAGATCACCTTGCAGATCCCGCTAAGTCGACTAAGAAGTGAACCGTGGGTCATCTCCATAGAGAAACTCTACCTGGTTGCAGGGCCGCTTACTGACATCAAGGTAAGTCCCAACCTTTCTGATGCCTTTGTTGATCTATCCTGACACATCTAGTGAACTAGACAGTGATGCACCAAACAGAATAGTCTGTCATTTCTAACAAGTCTCGGCAGTTTGGTGTGGCAAAGTTGTCTAAGGCGCCACGGTTTTCTGTGCAGAGTTGCATCACTTGGGCATGCCAGAAACCACAAATGATTGTGGATCCCACTGTTGGATACAGAGAGTGGATGCAGGGGGTGCACACGTACCCCTTTTTCAGACAGCCGCCTCCGTGGTCTAGTGGTAGAGCGTCCGCCCGGAGAGCGGAAGGTCCGGGGTTCGATCCCCGACAGGTCATACCAAAAGACGTTAAAAGATGGTACTTGTTGTTACCCTGTCTGGCGCTCGACATTAAAGGGCTAAAACAAGGACTGGTCGGCTCGGAGTCAGTATACTGTGTCTGATTGGGGTATTCATGTTAAACTGCGGCATGGTATCTCAGTGAGCTAGCACTATAAATCGGCATCAGTCCGGACTAGTACAAGCAGCCACACACACACACATGCATGCACGTCGCTATATAAGTGCAATGATCTTGGACGCGACGTTAAACCCAATTTCACCTCACCTCACCTTTTTCAGACACCTTACATGTTAACTGTACTCTTGGCCAGTACATTTTGTGACTTGGGTATTATGTGCATGAACCTTTTTTCGAAATTCTGGATCCACCTCTGAGTCTGAAGGCCAGATTCGCCCTGATTATGTTCCTGGGTCTGTCAGCACCCTAGATCTGCATCACTTCAGGCCCTCCCCACACAGCAAGCTGACACACCATCATATAACTAAACACTGTTCCTTCATAATCTATGAACATCTTGGAACTAAGGGACCAGTTCAAAAGTTCAATGTGGGATTAAAATCTTAAATTCTTAAGTTTAGGGGTGGGGGGGTTAATGGCCCTGCAGGTTTTCCATCTGACAAAATCAACTGGGTAGCTGATTTCACAATGTTTATACAGTATCTGAACTAAACCGGTGCTATTTTCGTTCCTAAGCTGTCAGGAGTTCTCATTAAATACACCCAGTCTTTCCATGAGGTAGAGTTTTATAATCACCAGCAATAGTCCATCTGGTGCAATGCGTAATATAGAATGGCAGATTTGATCTATAAAAAACCTACAAATGATATGCAACACCCCATAAGTAAACTTTATTTGACAAACTTTCTGCTGAAAAAGCAGAGGAAAACATAAGAATGCGTAACAAGGAAGTCACGGTGGTTGTATGCCTTAAAACTTAAGGAATTATTATCCAACATCAAACTTTTGAACTGGTCCCCATGGAAATTCCATACACTATGATATGGCTGTTGTGAGCAGCTTAAACCCCACTCACTCACTCACTCACTCACTCACTCACTCACTCACTCACTCACTCACTCACTCACTCACTCACTCACTCACTCACTCACTCACTCACTCACTCACTCACTCACTCACTCACTCATACACTCGACCGCCTCCGTGGTCTAATGGTAGAGCGTCCGCCCAGAAGGTCCGGGGTTCGATCCCCACCCACGTCATACCAAAAGACGTTAAAAGATGGTACTTGTTGTTACCCTGTCTGGCGCTTGGCATTAAGGGGCTCAAACAAGGACTGGTCGGCTCAGAGTCAGTATACTGCGTCTGAGTGGGGTATTCATGTTAAACTGCGGCATGGTATCTCAGTGTGCTAGCACTATAAATTGGCATCAGTCCGGACTAGTACAAGCAGCCACACACACGCACACACATAAACGTACATGCGACGTTAAACCCCATTTCACCTCACCTCACCTCACTCATACACTCACTCACTCACTCACTATTGATATGCACTCACACGTTCACACACCCTCTCTTGATATGCACTCACTCACTCACTCACTCACTCACTCTTGTTATGCATTCACACATTCACGCACTCTTGATATGCACTCACATGTTCACACACTCACTCTTGATATGCACTCACTCACTCACTCTTGTTATGCATTCACGCACTCACTCTTGATATGCACTCACATGTTCACACACTCACTCTTGATATGCACTCACTCACTCACTCACTATTGATATGCACTCACACGTTCACACACTCACTCTTGATATGCACTCACTCACTCTTGATATGCACTCACTCACTCTCTCAGTATTGATACATCTTAGAAAAAGGATTTGTCTTATGATAACCATGATAACACTTTAATCATGGAAGTGTTCTGTTTGATGAATGGGATGTGTGTAAGTTGGACGTGTAGATTGCTATCGTTCTTGTCACTGTGGTAATGGTAGCTGAGTGTAGTACGCTCTGTGTCCACGTGGATGACAGTGTTGTTGCTTGTGTTCCAGTACGACCATGAGAAGGAGAAGGAGACTGAGAGGAGTGCCAAGGCAGACATGTTGGATGCTCTGGAGGCCAAGTGGCAGGTGAGTGGCGTGGCACTCTCAGCAATACAAACTAACATGTTACTATCTTTGATAGGCATTTAGAAGTTGGAGTACTAAGTAAGGATAAGAATTTATGGATGAACAACTTCTTTATTACAATTAAGAGCGACGTTTTGGTGTAGGTTCTAACACCGTTATCAAGCAAGTGATCATCTGTGTCCATGTGAATAACACAGGCTTGATAACGGTGTTAGAACCTACACCGAAACATCACTCTTAATTGTAATAAATAAGTTGTTCATAAATTCTTATCCTTACTTAACATTTTACTAGTCCTCATAGCAAAACCCTTAAGAAGGGCTGGTGAAACAGAAAGATTGCTAGGAATGCCACCATACATATATTAGTCATTCTGTGATGGTATTTGCCCATCAGACTGAAGAACCAGGTAGAGTCACCTCCAGATACAATGTTTCCATTTCCCACTCATTCCAATGAACAGAGCAGAGGCGAGATACACGGACTAAAAGAGATGGCCTTACATTCAAGGTAATGTCCTTTCAGGGTAACTATTCCACCTATTGCTCCATCATTAAGTATGGGTAACTTTAACACACTGTAAGGCATTGAGAGTGTCAGTGTTGGTACATCACCAACCACCATGTGTTGTAGGTTCAACGACAAGGGAAACAACAGGACTATGCCTCGTCTTCTTCTTCCTGGTTCTCGTACGGGGCGTCCATGGCTGCCAACATCCTGGAGAATATTCAGGTAAGCATCAGTACTGACAGAAAGTGAAAACTCTTGGGTTGCTCTTTATATATGTGTGTTTGACTGGTACTTGGGGTTGCCCTGTATATACGTGTGTGTGACTGGTACTTGGGTTTGCCATGTATATACATGTGTGTTTGACTGGTACTAGATGTTGCCCTGTATATACATGTGTGTTTGACTGGTACTTGGGGTTGCCCTGTATATACATTCTGTTTGACTGGTACTTGAGGTTGCCCTGTATATACATGTGTGTTTGACTGGTGCTTGGGTTTGCCATGTATATACATGTGTGTTTGACTGGTACTTGGGGTTGCCCTGTATATACATTGTGTTTGACTGGTACTTGGGGTTGCCCTGTATATAAATGTGTGTTTGACTGGTACTTGGGGTTGCCCTGTATATACATTGTGTTTGACTGGTACTTGGGGTTGCCCTGTATATACATGTGTGTTTGACTGGTACTTGGGTTTGCCCTGTATATACATGTGTGTTTGACTGGTACTTGGGGTTGTCCTGTATATACATGTGTGTTTGACTGGTACTTGGGGTTGTCCTGTATATACATGTGTGTTTGACTGGTACTAGATGTTGCCCTGTATTTACATGTGTGTTTGACTGGTACTTGGGGTTGCCCTGTATATACATGTGTGTTTGACTGGTACTTGGGTTTGCCATGTATATACATGTGTGTTTGACTGGTACTAGATGTTGCCCTGTATATACATGTGTGTTTGACTGGTACTTGGGTTTGCCATGTATATACATGTGTATTTGACTGTACTTGGGGCTGCCCTGTATATACATCTGTGTTTGACTGGTACTTGAGGTTGCCCTGTATATACATGTGTGTGTGACTGGTACTTGGGGATGCTCTGTATAAACATGTGTTTGACTGGTACTTGGGGTTGCTCTGTATATACATGTGTGTTTGACTGGTACTTGGGGATGCTCTGTATAAACATGTGTTTGACTGGTACTTTTGTTTTGATGTCAGCTACATGTGAAGGATGTACATATCCGCTATGAAGACGAGTACCTCAACCCGTCCTGTCCCTTTGCTTGTGGTGTCACCATCAAGAACCTCAGTGCACAGAGCACAGACAGGAGCTGGGTTAGTATCCATCGCTGTGCTTTCAGTACCTGAGTTGTTTGTCACCATTCATTTTCATAAGGCCAGACAATTGTGTATCTTATATTACGGGTCCTTCTGTCCTAAACGTTCTCAAAGTTAACACTTTTCTTCCAGTTTTATTTTGCATGTCTTAGGGGAATTTAACCTTAAATCTACCTTGACATGTTATTAGAAATGTTTGTTTAGCTTCCTTCCCCTTGGGAAATTGAAAGTGAAATTGTACAATGATGAATCAAATTGAACAATTAAATAATAAAGATATGGAAGGCTTGATATATCAGTCTCATTAAAATCAGATCTTAGTTCTCGCTATTGCTAAACAAAGATCTGAAAACATCCCGTTAGGGGTCACGTCAGAACGACCTTTCATCCGACAAATTAAAGCGTCGCTTACCAGATCATGAAAGTGACATCACGAATGGATTTTCTAATCATGCAACCTCGAAAACGTTAACACAGGGTATTCCAAACGACAGTTACGGCCCGTACGACTGATTCAGTCAAAATTATTGTCTATCTCTCGGTTCCGTGGGATAAACATTTGAACGGAGGACGCATTGCACAATACGCAGTACGCAGGAAGCACTGCCATACACTCTCAACCATATATTAGACATTCCGTAATGTTCGTTTGTTCAGTTTTCAAAATATTAATTGAGAACTATGTCAATATATTTATCAAGCGTAGACAGAAATGGAATTCGATAGGTTGAAACGAGTGTCGTAAAGTTCGCGAAAGCTGCTTTCTAATTGGCTGATGCCAACTTGGCTGATGTCATTTCAGTCGTTGGTCAAAGTTCGCGAAAAATCGTCCTGACGTGACCCGTAATAGGATGTCCTCAGATCTTTGTTTAGCGGCAACGAGAACATAGATCTAATTTTAATGAGATTGCTTGATATATTGTCGTTCCTTTAGAAACGTCCTCCCTGCAGGCTGCTATCAACATTGTTCTTTGAGGATAAGGAATAGATGAGTGAAGCGCTGTCATTTTTGTAGACTGACTATCAGTACTTATTCTTCCTTTTACCAGGGGTGTTTGGATAGCCCAGTGGTTAAAGCATTTGCTTGTCACGTTGAAAACCTGGGTTCAATTCCCGACAAGGGTACAATGTGTGAAGCCCATTTCTGGTGTCCCCTGCCGTGAAATTGCTGGAATATTGCTAAAAATGGCGTAAAACCATACTGACTCCTTTTACCAACATCATGTTATCATAACCTTGTTCATGCATTAGACTCAATGTGTTACTGTTGAACTGTTGGTATCTGATGTTGCAGTTGTCCAAGTTTGTGAGCAGCTCAGACAGTGACACAATGTTCAAGCTGGCCGACCTACAGGATTTCTCTGTGTACTGTGATACCAACGCCTCCATGCTGGGGGACCTCTCCATGTCCGACCTTGCAGTAAGTGTCTCAGTAGCTGGTGTATTACCATCTGTCCTGTGATCTGAGGCACAAGGGGGCAGTGGGGTAGCCTAGTGGTTAAAGCATTCGATCGTCATCTTGGGTTCGATTCCCCACATGGGTACAGTGTATGAAGCCCATTTCTGGTGTCACCTGCCATGATATTTCTGGAATATTGCTAAAAAGGGTGGAAAACCATACTCACTACTCACTCATACACTTGTTTCTTGGTTTGTCAGCACCATGTCCGTTCTCATTGCTCACTTTAGACTTAGGAAACCCCACCTGTGTTGTAAGCGCCAACCAACGGATTGGTTGTAATGTGTGAGCTGGCTGATTATTTGTTGACAGTTTCTACATGCCACAATGTGATATTGCCAGAATACTGCTGTGTGGCATAAACATTCACTCACTCACTCACTCATGAAGGCCAGTGAGCTTCATGTTCCTAGTCAGGTTTGAAGGTTTGAAGACTTAATGCATGATATGGCATAATGCATAGTTAAAGCTAGTCAGGTTTTCCAAAAATAATTTTAGTAAATAGGTACGACTTCAGTTAATGGTCACCTGAGTGTCAGTTATTTGTTTGGCGGTAGGGTGGTGGTCTGTATCCAAAAACTTCTTCACTATTCTTTTATGTTTGTGGACATTTCATGATGTCATTTACCAAAGGACCTGTAAAAATCCGGGTTAGAATAGGTCTTTAGCACCCTATGCTTGTCACAAGAGCTGACTTGGTTGATGCATGGCATTGTATCCCAATTGTGGATCGATGCTCATGATATCAATCACAGGATTGTCTGTCCAGATTGGATTATTTACAGACCACCATAATAGAGCTGTAATATTGCTGTGTGTGTCATTAAACAACAAACAAACAAACAAGTAAACATTTACCAAAGACTGTTTGGGCAAGGACTCCTTGACTTACATATCTATTATTGAGTGTATTTTTTATATAGAGAGGAACCATGCCACATCTGATTAAACTTTACAAGTACAACATACAAGTCTATGGCATTAAAATTATATGTATTTTGGAACATGATATTAATAGCAGTATCTGAAACTGAGGTGGGTCCTGGGGTCCTTGAGAATTTCTCCTAATGTATTTGAATCTTGGTACCCCTTAATCTGAATAAAACCTAAAATATTTTAGTCTTTGAAAGGCATTTAGAAGTGATACACATAAGGAAGAGATGTTATGGATGTCAACTTCATTATTATGAGCAACACAACATTTAACTCCTTCATCGGGTGATGAGTTGGCATCTACTCCGAAACGTTTTGTCCCTCATATTGTAGGGCTTGACATCCATAAATTCTGTTCCCTAAAATATTTATCATTATATAAGAACGCCTTGACTTTCATGCTTAGTTTTGAACACTCTAATGTTTCTGTTAATTGAACAGGATGCCCTCCAGCGTGGCATGTTTGTATCGACTGCCGATGGCAACTTCCACGACCACGAGTACATGTTAAACCCAGTGAGTGCCCAGGCCCAGATCAAACGCCGGACCACCACCCTCCCCCTCCGGTCAGCCTCCGACCCCAGGATCAGCGTGGACATCACCCTGGACAACACCGCCTTCCAGCTGAGCACAGAGCAGTATCAGAGTCTCTTGCTGTGGCAGAGTGAGTTTGAGCGGCACGGCGTGAGGAGACAACACCGGAAGTGGAGGCCAGCCGAAACCGTCAAAAATAGGTAGTGTGCATCCCCCATATTTAAGCTATATAAAGACCAAATAGGGGAACTTACATGCTGCGATGCCAACCCTTTCTTGAAGATTCCCGACAAAATATTGCACCTGTTCCGCCAATTCACTAGAGTGGCCGCCATGACATCCTGTCACATCATATGAAAAGGCAGCTTGGGTTGTCTACTCCCAGGGAGCTGAGAATTCAAATTTGATTGCACACTTATTCATTGACCTGGGTAATAATGTAGCGCTTTGAGCATGTTTTAGGGTGTGGATTTGGTGCATTATAAATATGCACATCATCATCATCATCATCATCATTATTATTATTATTATCATTATCCCTAGTCCCAGGAAATGGTGGACGTTTGCCATCGACTGCCATCTGTCCAAGATCCAGGATCGAAACAAGCGCCACACGAAGGCCTTCATGTTGGAGAGGGCTGGCAAGGCAATAGCATACACCAAGGCCTACACCGCTGTATTGACTGAAGACAACCCAGGGCCTGGAGTCAAGGTACACGTCTCCAGGATATACACTCTACATGAGATTGTCTGGTCCAGACTCCATTATTTACTGACCGTCGTCATATTGCTGGAATATTGCTATGGCGTTAAGCAACAACCAAACAAACTTTACACGATTAAGACAACTTGCTTCTAGACATTACTTCTTTCTTGACCTGAAGTGGTTTTCCAGTGAAGATCTTTTGAAACTTTCCTGTGTTAGATTTATTGCATGGGATCTCATTATTCATCACTTACTTGAAGTTACCGTATTCGACGTAATAAGCGCCCTGCTCTAATAAGCGCCCACGGCGATATTTGCTAATATATTGGCTAGTGAAAAATCCCAATTATCACCCCTTCCAATTGATCAATGTACACAAGACTAATTATTCGTGTTTAATACGCACTCGTGTGTTATATGCACCCTTAATTATGGGCAATTAAATTCTGGATAAATATATGTGTCGTGTATAATACGCACAGACTTTTATTTTGTATCATTTCAGGCTGTCAGCATAAACCACGAAATTTACAATCTTTCAACTCTGTTTTTTTTTCTCCAAAATTTTATTTCAAATTTTGAGAGCGCCCTGGGTGCTTATTATGTAGAATACGGTATTGTGAATGCCGACGCCTCTCAATTACATCCTGAAGTTAATACCAGTAACCATACCTTCAAAATTTGGATAACAGAATCTCATTACACAGCAAATTTGAAGGCCAACAACAATACCGAGACTATGTGAAGACAGGTTGTTGCCTGTTATATACAGTGTTGACACATAAACTGAAAAAAAAATCCTTACAAACCTTTAAAAAACTAAATTAGGATAAGATTTATGGATGGACAACTTCTTCATTACAATAAAGAGTGACGTTTCGGGGGTAGTGATGGTGTAACAGTGTTAGAACCTACACCGAAACGTCGCTCTGGATTGTAATGAAGAAGTTGTTCATCAATAAATCTTATCCTTATTTAGTACTCCAACTTCTAAATGCCTATCCAAGAAGTTACTTTAAAAACTGAAAATCCATATTTCTTGTGCTTTTTCAAAAATTGGTTTGAACTCTGAGAAAGTGTCGTGAGTAATGTAAAAGTGTTTAGTAACCCACAAGCTTTTGCTGCGGGTGTTTCAGACCTCGTTGGAAGATCTGGAAGAAGAACTTGGTTTTGATGAGCTGAAGGTTCTAAGAGAACTGATCCTGTCCAAGTTGCGCTCAGAAAACAGACTGGTAAGCGTTATGTCGAAACCCAGTCAAACTGTTTTAGTATTCGACTTTGATGTGTCATTAGAACTAAACGTCAGTTGCTCAAGACAACTGAAACATATTGAGTATAATTTGAAACAAGCGGAGTGTCCATATCTGACCATAGTGGCAATTAGAATGACCCCAGTAACCATTGTCTGAGATGATGGATTACAGTAATGACTTTTAGATATTCTCGTACCACCATGCAGTGTAGGAATTAGTTTACAGACTTCACTGGCCAGGAGGGCTTGTTAACTAGCCCTACTTTATGACTACAGCCTTCATATTATGTAATCTGTTTTGAGACTATTATAAAGCTAAACAATGCATGTACATGTACATCGACCCGTGAAGATCCGGGGTAGAATAGGTCTTCAGCAACCCATGCTTGCTGTAAAAGGTGACTATGCTTGTCGAAAGAGGCGACTAACGGGATCGGGTGGTCAGGCTCACTGACTTGGTTGATGCATGTCATCATATCCCAATTGCGTGGATCGATGCTCATGAGGTCAGTCACTGGATTTTCTGGTCCAGACTTGGTTATTTACAGACCGCCTTCATATAGCTGGAATATTGCTGAGTGCGACATTAAACAACAAACAAACAAACCTGTATATCAGTCATAATCACTGTACTGCTAGAACCCAGTTTACTTCTGTGTCAGTTTTCGATGAACTATTAAATACAAAATAACAACAGACTTTGATATTAAATGACAGCTTAACTGACTTTATTATTCGTAGACATAAATATCTATTGACACCTAATTTTTAACTATCCATCGCGCAGGCTTTTTGGAAATGTTACTTACCCAATTTTAGAGTCATTGGCATTTGGCTAGCAGGCAGACAGCTATTTCCAACACTGCCCCAAGGAGATTCACAGCAACCTATGTGGTTATAAGAAGCCACATCATGGATCAGGTTGTCAGACTCGGTGGATTGATTGACTTCATTTCATCGTATCTCAACTGCGTGGATCGTTGCTCGCAATATCAATTACGGGATTGTTTAGTCAAGGCTTATGCACAGGCCACCTCTATATAGCTGGAATATTGTTGAGAGCGCATTACACAACACATCCATGCACACACACGCACGCGCACGCATGCACGCACACACACTGAATCCTGAATGATGACATAGTGATGTTCAAGTTATAAAGATCACATTAAAAAGACAAGAAACAAATAGATCTGTGCTTATAACAAACACTAAGACACACTATCTGGATTCTGTATCCGCATGTCAAGGTTATAAGGATGTTTATTGTTTCATTCCCTTCAGCCAAGGAAAAGCCCCTCCTCAGTTGACCAGTCCACTCCGAGTCCTACAGGAGAGCATCGGCAGGGACTGTTCCAACGCTGGTTCCCGGGTTGGTCAGGGTGGTACCAAGCGGCAGATCCACAGACAGAGGTGGCTGGTAGCAGTGATGACACACAGGGGGAGTCCGATGTTGACGTGCCCGCAGAGGCAGTTGGGCAGGCAGAGCTGGGTGATTATAACTCTCCTGTTTACTCATTAGCTCATTGTCTTAGTTTACAGATTTTTATAAATAAATCCTGGTCAGTAAGTTGGAAAAAATATGATCATACTCTTCTTTTTTTTCTTCAAGACATTTTGTAACTGTTGAGATGTGGGCAGTGGTAGTTGAGCTTGTCTCGTCTTAACTACTTGTATGCACACTATATTGGTAGGTAACTTCAATGGAATTAGAAAAATAGTTGCTCGAAACATTTGGCAACACAGTTTTTTTTGTAAGTAGTAGCACATATTTGACTGACTGGATGCAAAAACTGCAATCATGACGATGTACAGATGCTTAGGTACATAAACTAAAAGAGGAAGCATGGTGTATTGGGGACCTATTCTGCCATGCCATTTCATTTCTCAGAAGATTTGAAGTTTATAGTGAGTGATTATGGTTTTACGCCGCTTTTAGCAATGTTCCAGCAATATCACGGCGGGGGACACCAGAAATGGGCTTCACACATTGTATCCATGTCGGGAATCGAACCCGGGTCTTCGGCGTGACGACCAAATGCTTTAACCACTGGGCTACCCGGCCGCCCATCTTTAACTGAAACATATCCAGCTACTTAAGCTATGATAACTATTCTATAACTTCTTTAAGGAGCATTTAGAAGTTTGTATAATGAACAAGTGAGAAATATGGCATTCAATGTGACAAATACGTTGTTTGTCCATAGAACTATCTCCCTTGTTCATGGTAGCTGTTGAAATCTGTTAACGATGCCAGAAGTGTAGAGGGGATTCTGACACCAATTCCTGTATTCCAGAGCAAGAAATACTGGATGTTATCCTTGATTCCACTGAGAACACCTCGTTGCTGCGTAAAGACACCGTGTTTGCCAGCATGACCTTCTCCCTGTCCAAAGGGTCCTTTGAACTGGTGGAGAGCAGAGGACCACACAAAGGTGAATGTCAATCCTGTTGTCAGTTACGTTTAACATTTAATTATTTGTCTAATGTACTCACCGCCAAGAGAATAGCGAACTATAGAAACATATAAAAAAGTATGTATGTTAAGCAGAGATGTTTCCAATATGTACCACTTCATGACAAAATTAACAATCAACCACAGTGTCTGCGATTTCCATACTTTACATGCTAATCCTGCTCGAGACAAATGGTGCATCTCGAGTCATGGATCTTTGATGTCACATGTGATGCGTTCATGAGCGTCGGTTCACACAACATACCAGTTTAAGAGCAAGTCTTCACATATGGTATTTGCATATATTTTGTTGGCGAGTACATAATCTAATGCAGAAGTAACTGCCTATCATATGAATTTATGATAGCTAAAACTTCCTCATAATTATTACACTGAAAGTCCTCTATTTGTGGTAACTGGTCTTGTGTTTCGTCTTTAAGGTGCAAGTCCTCTAGCTGAGCTCCAGTGTTCCACCATCAATATGGAATTTGAGTCTCGCCCACGTACCAGCGCTATGAAGTTCAAGTTAGCCGTGGGCAGTCTACATCTCCAAGACAAGACCACACACAACTCTGTGTTCCCTTACATCGTCTCTCCACAATCACAGGTATTCGTCGTCATCATCATCATAGTTGTCTTCGTCACGCCAAACATCTGCAAAAGCACCCGGAACCACACAGCTTGCAGTTTGCAACCAAACATTTTAACCCTACTTTCTTTCTCTTAAAATTATTACATGTCTTCAGTGTTGCGTAGTTGCAAATGCACTTTCATTAGGTTACAGGAGGGGTGGTCCGGTAGGGCAGTCTCATGGTTAAAGTGTTCACTTGTCACAACGAATACTTGGGTTGATTCCCCCACATGGGTACAATGTGTCGTGTCCCCCTGTCTAGATAGCTCACTCACTCACTCACTCACTCACTCACTCACTCACTCACTCACTCACTCACTCACTCACTCACTCACTCACTCACTCACTCACTCACTCACTCACTCACTCACTCACTCACCCATCCACTCACTCACTCACTCACCCACTCACTCACTCACCCACCCACCCACCCACAATCATCATACAGCTCTTAGTCCCTGCCACACATGGAAAGTGGATCAACATTATGTTCAGATTTGCGGGTGTTATTGAGTATTTGATGCTTGCAAATGTCATTTGGAACTTGTGGTACGTAAGTTTGATTTGTCCCTGGTGTTTCAGGAATCCATCGGCCACTCCCCGAGTCCCCTACCTCGTCCCAGAACAGCAGAGAGACTGTCACCCAGGCCATCGCTGCAAGACACACAGGAGTGGAAGTTCTTCGAGCTTTCATACGAAAAGCACCCTCCCTCTAGCTTCTTTAGATACAAGTAAGATAATGGTCTGATTAGTGAAATACCATTGCCTTTTACATGGATGTCCTTAACTAATTGGTATTAAACTTTCAAACAGGGATTCTTACATCAAAAACTTGAAGTATGTTTCTGGTCTTGTGAAAGTCATGAATCAAGTATCATGGTTATTGGAGACTGGTCCTCCTGAAGGTGACTAACCCTTGTATGAAACACGATAAGAGTGTCTGATGGTTTTGCTTCATTGCTAGAACCAGCATCAAGACACGGCCTCTGGACATCGTATACTCTCCAGCATTCATCAAGCAAGTGAACGGATTCTTTTCCTCCCCCGTCAGTCGAGCACAGAAGGCACGGAGATCCAGAGGTGAGACTTTCTCTTGTTATATTATTCAGAAAAAGACAATGCTAACACTGCCACTTCTTTTTTGGCAGCTAAAATTAACACTGACTGGGTCAAACAGCTGCTGCCAAACTCTGCATATGGTTTTCTTAGCTGTGTATTGTGCCTGGTCAGCAGATAAGTGATGAGTTTTCCCCCATGAAGATCTGGGTTGATGCATGTCATCCTATCCCAATTGCATATATTGGTGCTCATGATGTCAATCACTGGATTGTCTAGTCCAGACTTGATTATTTACAGTCATATAGATGGAAAAATTGTTGCTTTAAGAAACAAACAGACAAACACAGTATGTATCAGTAGAAGTAGGAGAACTATATAGCTCATATATCACAGTATTGTCTTATAGTCTGGAAACACTTCAACTGTTCATTGTCTGCCTCTAGCCTCAGCGTGGAAATTTGAAGCCCTGAAGAAGAAATCCCCAGAGCAGTTCATGGAAACATTAGATCAACTTCTTGAAGCAGAGGTCAGTTGCAAACCCTGTTGCCATAGCAACCAATGCAGCACATAATAATAATCTTCTGTATATGTCAAACAAGCATCACAGCAGATTTACCTAAAGGTGGCATTGACCTTCTGTATCTGCTGCTTACTTAAACAGTCTTCATGAAAGGTATCTACTCGCTTGACCGACCAGGAACAATGATGAGATATTTCTTGTACTTGACTGAATCATGTAAAGGCCACTGGCCTGTAGGATGCCTTAAGCATTGAACAGATTGCTTCAGGCAACTACATACTATTCTTGCAATGATTACTTCTAAGCATAATGATTTTTTGGGCATGTGCTTTAAATCAGTTTAAAATCTAGTCTTTGAAAGGCATTTAGAATTGATACACATAAGTAAGAGAATTTATGGATGTCAACTTCTTTATTATGAGAAACACATTATGTGATTTATTTTCAAATCTGTTTGCCAGGGTGTAAAGACACGCTGGGACATTAAACTGGATATCTCTGCCCCAAAGTTGATCATCCCGGAGCGCTACGCGGACCCCACCAGCCCCATGGTGGTGATAGACCTGGGTCGGCTGTATCTCCAGACCTGCACCAGCAGCAGCATCTCGCACACCGACTCCAAGACCATGCTGCATACAGACGGACATGAGGAGAATGATGGTACACACTCAGCTGTCTGTCACTGCAGTAGAATTCACAATCATGGGGATCCTTGGGCTCTGGAGGGTTCCCCATTAGTATTTGACCACCTCTGTGGTCTTGTGGTAGAGCGTCCGCCCAGAGAGTGGAAGGTCTGGGGTTTGATCCCTGGCCACGTCATACCAAAAGACGTTAAAAGATAGTGCTTGTTGTTATCCTGCACTCAGCAAGGGTCTGAAACCAGGACTGGTCGGCTCAGAGTCAGTATACTGTGTCTGAGTGGGTTATTCATGTTAAACTGACGCATGGCATTTCAGTGGGCTAGCACTATAAAATCAGCATTAGCCTGGACTGGAGCAAGCAGCAACACACATACATACACACATGCATGCACATAACTATATAAGTGCAATAATTTTGGACATGACATTAAAGCCCTTTTCACTTAGTCTCCAATATCCAGCATAAGGGTGATGACAAGGACCCCTTGACTTCAAGCTTAGTTTCAAACACTACATACTGTTTTGTTTCTGTATTTGATAAAGGGAAATAAGTAGAGATATAGTATGAAGTTGAAATCATTATTCATGGGTCTACTGGACCCTGAAACCATGGTAACACTGTTACTGTCTTTCAGATGACTTCCACACGCCACTGACCACCCCGCCCAACGAGTCCGCCCTCGACGACCCCCCTCTGAGGTCAGTGTCCTCGTCTAACCTGCTGACCCGAGAGACCTCGGCGACCTCCGTCACGGGGGTGTCATCCACTGCAGTCATGGACCATCTGTATGAGAGGTCAGTGGTGCTGCCTGCTTCAGTCTTGACAGTTCCTTTCAGGACTATCTTGGCTCTTTAGTCTGTAGTTTAATGGATGTCTGCCACTGAGGTGGACTGGTTGCTTAGCTTCATGGTGAGTGTTTATTATTCCCTGCCACGAAGTTGAAGATGGGTATAGGAATGGGTGCTGTCCGTCCATCAGTTGTCTTTCTGTCCATCCTTCTGTCCGTCAATTGCCTGTCGTTTCTGGAGCAGAACTCAAGCACAATGAAAGATATCTTAAACAAATTGGGCACATAGATAGGTCTAGTCCCATTTGATAGTTTGGGACATTTTAAAAAGTTATTATTTCTAGTGTCTATAGCAACGACTTTGACTTAGGCTCAAATGGTGGTAGGGCTCGTTTACGGGCAGATCTTGAAAACCTTTACAATATTTCTTGACACAACTGGACATGTCATATTGGCAGGGATATTAGTATTTCATGCTTGTTTATCATGGAGATCATCAGAGTTCTATCTCTGGATTAAGTTCAAAACTCATTTCGTGTTCCCTGAATGATGTTGTTTCAGAATTGCTGAGCATGCTTAACAATGGTACTCACTACACCAGGTGTTCCCTAGATACTTGTAGGGGTAGTGCTTCAAGGCACAGTATGGGAATATCATTGTGTACAGATGAGAAATAGCATTTTCATAAAAAGAATAGTATAAAATGTATATGTTTCTACAGAAGCTGTGTTGAGTCTTGAGAGACACATGGTTGTATTGAGACAGGAGTAGAAGCCATTGTTGGAAGTCATTATTTTCCCAGATACAAGCTGGACCTGACAGACATGCAAGTGCTGCTGGGCCGACCTCAAGACAACTGGCGCCACGCCTACTTAAGGGGCAACAGTCGCATGCACATCCTCGACAAGTTTAGCATCTCCCTACAGCTGGAGAGGTCAGTCTCCTCTGTTTCTTTCTTAGTTAAACATTATGTCCTAATATACAATTGGATCCATAGATGTGTGCTTTTTTATTGAAACCTATTGCAGTTATGTTGATCACAATGTGTAAATGGGGTTTCTTTTGATTCCATAGTTAACAGGTCCACTGACCAATGTGAATTATTACATGATATTTTAACAATCAGTCCCCTTAAACTATTACCATATTATATAAACTACCACCTCCGTGTTCTTGTGGTAGAGCGTCCGCCCGGAGAGCGGAAGGTCCGGGGTTCAATGCACGACCATGTCATAGCAAAAGACGTTTAAAGATGGTACTTGTTCCCCTGTCTGGCCGACTGCACTTGATCTGATCGATGGAGAAAAGAGAAACAACACACAATGTTTTTTGTTCTTAACCAAACATATGGCCATGATGGCATTTGAAACAGTATCTGTAAATCAAGTAGAAAGAACAAGAGCGTACAAGATTGTTTTCACGGTTTAAATTACCAGATATTCATGATGTTTATGTGGAAATGTTTGTGAACTGTGTGTTGCTCCCAGACGTCTGATCGTGACGGCAGACCCACAGTGGGCCAAGATGAAGCTGTCCGGCACTCTTCCATCCCTCACCTTCCATCTCAATGAAAGAAAGGTCAGATTAATGAAACAAGCCATTTTAGCTATGTTAAACAGATGTGAAAATACATGTTTCAGAGATTTTAGATGTTTGATCCATTGATTAATTATGTTCAATGTTATGCAAGTCGATGCATGCAGTACATGCCCCCCTTTCTATTCTGGGTCAGATTCGAGTACGTGTACTTGTCATATGAGCAGATCAGAATAATTTGTTTGTTCCTTTGTTGTTTAACACCACACTCAGCAATATTCCAGCTATATGAAAGCGATCTGTAAATAATCGGGTCTGGACCAGACAATTCGGTGATTCACATCATGAACATTGATCCACGCAGTTAGTCATGTATGGGGTGTCGTTATATAGCTGTTACATTTGTGACAATGAATGTGGTGGGATGGACTATATCATCATGTTTTGTTTGTTTGTTTGTTTGTTGTTTAACGCCGCACTCAGCAGTATTCCAGCTATATGACGGCGGTTATCATCATGTAGAACGATGAAAGATTTGTTACATAGGTAAAGTTACATTAAATTCCACAACGGGAGCACATGCGCAGTTATCCGATGTGTCATATCTCCATTCTATTTAGATAAATGCCCTGGTTCTATTCACCACCTTAGCTTCCTATTGAGTGTTGTTTGGATAATACCATGCTAAAAATAGCCTCCCAATCAAATTACACGCTTTTGTGACAATTGACACAAACAGCGATATCTCCCGTACTTGCCTTGCTGCTGACACGTGGGAAGACCTGGTAACAGAAGAACTTCAATTGTCTGGTTTTAAAACTCAAGAAAACATCATCCCAGTTTTTTATTTTGATCAGCTATATTATCAAGTGCTAGCAGTTTTGAATTTTGTACAGTAAAGGAGGCGGTCGGGGAGCCTAGTGGTTAAAGCGTTCGTTCGTCATGCCGAAGACCAGGGTTTGATTCCCGACATGGGTACAATGTGTGAAGCCGGTTTCTGGTGTCCCCCGCCGTGATATTGCTGGAATATTGCTAAAAGCGTCGTAAAACCAAACTCACTCACTCACTCATTGTACAGTAAAGCCAGGTTGAACTCAAGCTCATGAATGAGAGAAATGGAGTTGGTGACGTTGTTTCCTTAACAAAGCTTTTGTGTGAATGGTATTAAACAAAATAGAATGCAGATGTTGTACGCTGGATACTGTATACACCCTCATGGATACCGCCAGTAGATACTGCACAGTGCCAGAACTTGGCACTTGTCCTGTAGTCCTTGCCAAACTGCCCAATAGTTAAGGTATCATTAGGACAAGTAGAAATTTGGTACTTTTACGGGGTTTTCATTACAGTGTTATCATTATAAGGACTAATGGACTAACAGTGTAAGTTTCTACCACTGCACGATGGTACCATGCCTGTGATGACTTCCACCTTGTATTTCCAGATCCATGCCGTCAACACCTCCGTGGACATTGTGTCGAGGGGTAGCTCCGGTTCCTCCCTCCAGACAGTCACTGACAACATGTCAATGTCCAGTGTTGAGTCGGACCTGGCACAGCAGTCACTGGCATCGGTGTAAGAACTTTACTTTACTTCACTCCAACATAGTCAAAAGTTCTAATTGCCCCAAATGTTTTATGTTCTTGAAAGACCAACTTTTATGTTTGACCTAAGTAATTCTTAAGGTCTTTGACTGTTATAGCAGTGAGACTATGTGTTGAATAAATATAATGCTAGAAATAGGATCTACCCTAACTGAGGTCTTTGACTGTTATAGCAGTGAGACTGTATGTGTTCATGAAATATAAGGCTAGAAATAGGATCTACCCTAACTGAGGTCTTTGACTGTTATAGCAGTGAGACTGTATGTGTTGAATAAATATAATGCTAGAAATAGGATCTACCCTAACTGAGGTCTTTGACTGTTATAGCAGTGAGACTGTATGTGTTCATGAAATATAATGCTAGAAATAGGGTGACACCTAACTGTGGGCTTTGACTGTTATAGCAGTGAGACTGTGATGAAGAAAGGCAAGGAGGAGATAGACAACAAGCTGGTGGTGCTGCAGTTCCTCATCCACAACCTCTCCGTGGAGATCCAGAGTCAGGGTACGGAGATACAGCTGTCTTGCTGCATCAAACAAGGATAACACTGTCTTGGTTTAGACACACTTTACTTTTGTCAACATAAGCAGTTTGCCTATATATCTTTTGCTCATCATTTCACCCTCAACCAAACACTTTTGCAAAAACTATTGCCTGGTCTTGACCCTCAGCATCATTTCAAGTAGATGGTACTCTTAACATCGGGGACTGCCTCCGTGGTCTAGTGGTAGAGCGTCCATCCGGAGAACGGAAGGTCCAGGGTTTGATCCCCGACCATGTCATACCAAAAGATGTTTAAAGATGGTACTTGTTGTTACCCTGTCTGGCGCTCGGCATTAAGGGGTTAAAACAAGGACTGGTCGGCTCAGAGTCAGTATACTGTGTCTGAGTGGGGTATTCATGTTAAACTGCGGCATGGTATCTCAGTGAACTAGCACTATAAATCGGCATCAGTCTGGACTAGTACAAGCAGCCACACACACACGTGCATGCATGTCACTATATTAGTGCAATAATCTTGGACGCGACGTTAAGCCCCATTTCACCTCACCTCACCTACCCTCACCTACCCTCACCTACCCTCACCTCACCTCACCTACCCTCACCTCACCTCACCTCACCTCACCTTAACATGGGGCTGTCATGAGCTAAGCTTACAAGCCAGAGAAGTGGTGGGTTACCTGCTGGGAAAAGTGTTGACTCATCACAACATGAACCCAGGTTTTGCTTCCCCACACTGGGGTACAACGTGTGACATCCATTTCCAGTGGCGCCAGCCGGGATATTGCAGGAACATGCTACAAGTGGCGTAAACACAACTCACATACTAGCCCAAAGAAGATGTTACTAGCCTCAATTTTTGGACTAGTGATTGGTCACATACTGTCATTGGTCTTGATAAACATCTCAGCTGAATAATGTAAATATTATATTTTTCAAACATAAACGCAAATTAGTCAAAAGTTATGTTGTCGAGTTGATGTGTCTGTCCAATAGTAATAAGATTTGTCAAGGATTTGTCCCAGTGTATGTATTGAAGCCTTACCATGGACCCAGTCTAGTCTGGCTTCACCCTTCTTCAGGTCAAGCTCTAGCCGAGTTCCGAGTGACCGATGTGCAGGCTGATGTGTCCAAGAAGTCCCAAAACACCTCCCTCAAGCTCACGGTCCACAGCCTCCTTGTGGTGGATGCTCTGCAGAGCTACGGACCAGACTTCGAGCTGCTCATTGCATCACACAAACATCTTGTGTAAGTAAAAATACCATAACTCTTGTGGGGATTCCAGGAAAGAATAGGTACCCTGTGTCCGTTGTAAGTGCTGACTAATCAGGATAGGGTTATTACAATTATATGACCTGGGCCGCATGGATTGTTGCTCATGCTGTCCATCACTGGTTTGTCTGGTCCAGACTCCAGGATGTTGCTGGAGTATTGCTGATGGTGGAATTATTGTTATTAAACGACTTTGACTACTACACCAGCATGTAACAAATGTTTAGTATCAGCCTTTGATTTGTCAGATTAATTTTCAGTCTTTTTTAAATGTAACTATTCTACTTTTGGCCTGAACTTAAACACGATTCACTCCTTCTCCAGACTAGACACTCGTAGTGGGAGTATCCGTGGATCTGACGCTGGGTCTCCCCTGTCCCCCGCATCCCCCACCTCCCCCGGCTCACCAGGGATGGAGGGTGCTAGTTCCCCCATGGCATCGGGCTCCTTCCAGAGCGGTAGTTTCCAGTCCATCCAGGAAGCCATATCTTCCGCATTCCAGGTGTTCGCAGGTCAGTACACTCTTACAGAGCCTTGTTGTGTTGGGATGGAAGTATACCTTGTAATGCACGTTGTCCATAGTGTAGAGAGTAGGGGTGTAATGATTGATCAAACTATCACTGCAGCACAATTGACCATGGCATAATGCTAATGTATGAATGACATGTTAAAATACCAATAGTTAACACTGATGCCACATTACACTAGCAATAGTATCAACATGTAATATTTAGTGAAATAGATTGTTAATCCGTTGAGTTTACATTTGTTTTGATCGAACCAACCAACACACACCCATACATGTACTCCCCCCAAACCCACCCACACCCACACACACACCCGCACATCAACTCAACCACACATCCAACACTTCCACACATCTACATCCACAAACCCACACACACCCACACACTCACCCGCACATCAACACAACCACACATCCAACACACCCACACATCTACATCCACAAACCCACACACACCCACACACACACCCACACATCAACACAACCACACATCCAACACACCGACACATGTACACCCACAAACCCACACCCACCCACACCCACACCCACACACACCCCCGCTCATCAACACAACCACACATCCAACACACACCCACACATGTACACCCACAAACCCACACCCACCCACACCCACACCCACACACACCCCCGCTCATCAACACAACCACACATCCAACACACACCCACACATGTACACCCACAAACCCACACCCACCCACACCCACACCCACACCCACACACACACCCGCACATCAACTCAACCACACATCCAACACACACCCACACTCCCACACATGTACACCCACCCACACAAACACATACCAACACACCCACACATGTACACCCACCCACACAAACACATACCAACACGCCCACACATGTACACCCACCCACACAAACACATAACAACACGCCCACACATGTACACCCACCCACACAAACACATACCAACACGCCCACACATGTACACCCACCCACACAAACACATACCAACACGCCCACACATGTACACCCACCCACACAAACACATACCAACACGCCCACACATGTACACCCACCCACACAAACACATACCAACACGCCCACACATGTACACCCACCCACACAAACACATACCAACACGCCCACACATGTACACCCACCCACACAAACACATACCAACACGCACACACATGTACACCCACCCACACAAACACATACCAACACGCCCACACATGTACACCCACAAACCCACCAACACACACACACACACTCACCCACATCACGTCTACCTACCCACACATCACCTACCCATGCACTCGTACATCCACACTCCAACCCCACACGTACACCAGCCCACACACAGGTACACCAGCCCACACACACATGTACACACACACTCCTACTCACACACATGTACAACAACCCCCACACACATGTACACCAGCCCACACACACACGTACACCAGCCCACACACACATGTACACCAGCCCACATGTACACCAGCCCACACACACATGTACAACATCCACACACACACGTACACCAGCCCACCCACACATGTACACCAGCCCACACACACATGTACAACAACCCACACACACATGTACACCAGCCCACACACACATGTACACCAGCCCACACACACACGTACACCAGCCCACACACACATGTACACCAGCCCACACACACATGTACACCAGCCCACACGTACACCAGCCCACACACACATGTACACCAGCCCACACACATAGGTACACCAGCCCACACACACATGTACACCACACACTCCTACTCACAGACATGTACACTAGCCCACACACACACATGTACACCAGCCCACACACACATGTACAACAACCCACACACACATGTACACCAGCCCACATGTACACCAGCCCACACACACATGTACAACATCCACACACACACGTACACCAGCCCACCCACACACGTACACCAGCCCACACACACACGTACACCAGCCCACACACACACGTACACCAGCCCACACACACATGTACACCAGCCCACACACACATGTACACCAGCCCACACACACACATGTACACCAGCCCACACACACACGTACACCAACCCACACACACATGTACACCAGCCCACACACACATGTACACCAGCCCACACACACACGTACACCAGCCCACACACACATGTACACCAGCCCACACACACATGTACACCAGCCCACACGTACACCAGCCCACACACACATGTACACCAGCCCACACACATAGGTACACCAGCCCACACACACATGTACACCACACACTCCTACTCACAGACATGTACAACAACCCACACACACCCTTGCTAACTTTGAAACTCACTCGCTCTCGCTCAATGAATGAATGAATGAATGTCATTGTTTAAGGACCAAGCTCGCCCCAGTCACTGAATCCCGGAGAGGATGTAAACGGTCCCTCCTTCACCAGTCTGGGGCAGAGCTCCGAGGCCCTCATCATCATGGAGTACGAGCAGATCATAGACCCCGGACCGGAGGGGGACAAGACAGTTGATGGAGGCATGCAGATACTCAACCTCCAGTTCAACAGTCTGGATTTCATAGGTTAGTTACCCTTGCTGTGCCAGGATCTGCTGTACTCGCAAACACATCTAGTTTGATGACACGTAACCTTGCTTTCACTGCAAAATGTCATGTCCAGTAAATGTTTTGTTACTGATTACACATTGTAAATATATGTTGATGTGTTCCAGCTAACCAAGAGACCATTGTAGAGATTCTCAGTTTCCTGAAGAGAGCATTCCCCTCCTCCAGCGACAAGCAGTCCTCCCGACCTCCTCAGGACAGGCGCCCATCCAGACGCCAAGACTCCATCATTGTACGTTCACTCTCTGTTGTATCATTCAGGATCATGTTGAGATCCCAGTGCAAAAAGCTTCACCAGTACTCCATGCATGTCTTCTGTGGGGATTCTGAAGCAGAGGCAATATTCTAATTACCTGTGACCTTCTTTTGATAGCAACAATAAACAAGGCCAACAAAGTAATCAGACTCGTCTGGTTTTAGGCTATTGAGTCAGCCTCTTTTACTCAGTCAGCTAAAATGGGGGGTTGTCTAATAATCGGAGATGATATATGCCTCTGTCACTTTGGAACGTGTCTCTGGATGCTGCTGAGATTACAGTTATTCATCATGCAAACTGTTTCTTATGTGGTTTTGAAACTTAGTTTCAGCCCAAGAAGGACAAGGTGATGGTGACAGCTGACTTCAAGAGGCTGAACATCCTGCTGCCTCGCTTCAGTGAGAAGGAAGGGCGTAAGGTTGGGAAGAAGGTTGCCACAGCAACCATGTCAACAGCCAAGATAGAGGCATGTCTCGGTAAAGTCCAGGTTTTCAGTTGTCTATTGATTTCACAGACATAACATAAAACATAGTCACATGTATGTTTGCCAGAAAGTTAGAAGCTATTCTTCAAACAAACTTTGTCCAATGTACTTTCATTTCTCATGAAATGTAAGTGTTTAAGGTGTATCATGATTTTGAGAATGGAATCAAGAGTCATGTTACTTTATAACATAAACTTTCATCTGATGATTCATGTTTAAACATTTTATGTGTGAGCAATGGGGCGTTATGATAGTCAGTGGCAGATTTCCATCGGTTTCTTACCTGTGTCTTGTGCACCTGCTAAAGAGCTTGAAAAAAGCATTGATTTAGGATTTTGTCAATTTGACCCCCTATTCTACTGTCTTGGATCATGGTGTGGCCTTAACTTACCGTCACAAGTTTAGAGTCAGGGGATTAAGATTTGGACTGAGTAACCATGTGTAACCATGGTAACCCGTAATGCACATGTTATTTGTTTGTCCTAAGTGGTTTGTTATCCACCATGTTCCAGACGACAGTTGGCAGATAGAGGGCAGTCTTGGCGGTCTCCACTTGACCGATGTCACCCCAGAGGGCAGTCTCTATCAGCAGGTGTTCAGCGTCGGGGAAAGCCAGCTTGACCAGTCAGAGGCACTCATTTCTCCACGCACCATTCCATGCGCTATGTACCAGACCGCTCGAGATGAAGCCGTGTTCACTGATACTGTTCATGCTAAGAGTAGCTCAAAGAAGGCTTTTTCTTTCAATGTGAAAAAAACGTTACTCGAAGGAGCCCGAGATGGTACTTTTGGGCAAGCTCTCCCAGAATCGGATGAAGTCTACGCTGACTTCAGCATGGCATCTGTTTATTATACACATTCACCTCAGTTCCTCAATGAGCTGATGGACTGTATGTCAGAATTCAAGGATTACATGTCTGACTTTGCCTCCTCTATTGGCAAGGCCGCAACAGAAGTAGCCATGGGTCTGGTTAGCGGTCGAGTTGAACGTGAAGCGCATGACCTCAGCACCTGCACTCTCAACAGAGACGTATCTCTAGGGGATTTGACAGACACTGTGTTGTTAGACAATACTTTTGGGTCTGTCACTGATCTGTCTAGTCAGAGAGGGTCTTGTTTGAAGTTTACAGCCCGCATGGAGACTCCTATTATAGCCCTTCCACGAACACCCACAAGCTACCAGGTCCTTCTGGCTCACCTCGGTGAGATCACCGTGTCCAACTCTAGTCTCACCGAGTCCAGCTCAGCATCAACGATACATGACTCTATGGACCATAGCGAAGAGGTGCACATATCCCTGAGAAACATGAACCTGTATTCTCTGGATCTGGAGAAATACAATACTCAAGTAGGGCAGAGCATATCCGCAACACTCATGGGGAAGTCCTACTACAGTCTTTCATATGAACTCGGTGTGCCCATTTTGTATGACACAGCTGTTGATTTAGTGATTGCCAAAGAAACAACTGAAGTGCCTATCATCAACCCTGAGGTTACAAATGACGACTTCCCACCCAGGACTCCTCAAAAGTCGGTGCAACCAGCCCAAATAAGCAATGTGTTAAATGTGTGTGCCAAAATCACGCCGGCGGTGAAGTTGGTGTTGTCGAAGGAGGTGTATGAGCAGATACTGCAGACTCTAGACAACCTGACGTACAGTGAGGATGACTTTGCTCCTGATGCATCTGATGATTCCACCTCGGGAGGACCTGCAGCAGATGCAGCAGCTGAAGGACACTCTGAATCTCAAACAAACCTGGCTATGCAAGAGTCCACTTTACAGGAGGGATTTCTCGCAAAGCATTTCCATTTTGAAGTTCCTCTATTCGAGGTTGAACTGAGGGGGGATTTCGGGGAGGGGGAACAAGGATTGGTTGATCTCAAGCTGACTGACTTTTCAATGAATTATGCCAAAGATAATAAAGTTGTGACAGAGATGCAACTCAGACTGAAATCTCTCTCAATGGATGATTTGTTAGAATCCGAGAAATCGGCTCATAGACAAATCATGGTTTCTCGTAGTTCACATAAAGAAGCTGATGTTGATGATGCGAAACCCAAAACATTCCTGTCGACATCATGTCCCGACAGTACCATCATTGCTCCAGTGCCTCTCATGCCAGCATCCTTGCCATCCAGCTTCCACGAGAAGACCCTGAAGCCCACATCGAAGAAACAAACCACAGCATTCTACATTGGTTTCGTCCAGAACCAGAGAACACGGGGGAAGGACAGGTGGGTTTACTTACTGGTCTCCATTATTTCAATGGGTGTGAGTGTAATTTGTATTGTAATATGCAGACAATAATGTTACACTGGTCTGTAAGTCAGAATTTTGATGCCCTTGTGAGGATTCCTGACAGTAAATGGTAATGGCAGCTAGTAGCCAAATATATGCACAGGGTTTAAAGGTAGGCCATATCTGAGGCCATACAGAGATTATTTGCTATTATGTTATAAAGAAAGAACACATTTAGTTATGGTGCAGAAGAATGTATTATTTAATATTAATTAAAAAATAGGAAAAGTCTAAATTGTCCTAAAACCATTTCTAGCAAAACACAAGGTTTGCAAGCTGGTTTTAAATGTGAGAAGACATTTAAGACACTTGTAAAAGATGTAGATATATGCTGCAGCACCATGGAACTATATATGTTTATAAAAGATATGCTACCCCACTGTTTCAGAGAGATGTTCCCCCAGACACCGCCACCATCCCCAACCCTCCGTGACATCCTGGACCCAGAGGACCCCCCCATAGAGGACCTCGTCCACATCGATGTTGTGCTTGTTGACAAGAAGTCCCCAGACTATACAACTAAATATAACAAGGTTTTTATGATTTAACACATTTGTTCAATATGATTTCAACCCTTGCATTTTCTTGTCTTTTCCTAATAAAATGGCTGTTTCATTTGTCTGTGGCTAAGTGAATGTGCATAGTTGTGTCCTTTGGGCACACCAGAAATCTAAGATCGTGGGTTCTAATCCAGTTTTGCCCTGGGTGTGTTTCCAGGTTTGTCAGCAACATACCCATGCTCGTGGGTTTCACCAAAGTGATAAATGTCTGAGACCTGCATCACTTCGGGCTTTCCTCCCACATTAAGCTGACACGTCGTGATACAACTGGAATAATGTTAAAAGTGGCATTAGTGGCTGAAGTATTCATTTGTGAAGTCAAACACCCATGTTTGATTTCCTCATGGATACAGTGTTAAGCCATGTCTCCCTGCCATTACATTGCAGGAATATTGTAGGAACTCACCCAATACACTAAATGAAGTATTTCAGATCAGACCGTCCCTATCTGATATCTGTTTCAATGACTTGACCATTATTTCATGGACCAGACAAACCGCTTCATCGATGTCAACTTCAGCAGCCTGGAGATGACAATCAACCTGCAGACATGGGTGGTCCTCCTTGATTTCCTGGGGATGGGGGCCAAGGTCCACGAAACCGAGTCCGACACTTCCGTCCTTGATCCTACGTCTGACGGGGACAGCACCCTCAACTCACCCGAGACAGGTGAGCACTAGCAGAATCTGAGGGTCTAGTGGTCTTAAAAGATTTATGTACAGAGTTATGTCCCTTAGTTTGGCCATGATCTGCTAATCTAAAGTTCAAATCCCAAATTCATTGTTATGATGTCAGCACCATATCTGTGCTCATGGGAAAAGGAATGGTACTGCCATCTCTGTGGGCTCACCCCCTTGTTGATACCCAGTGATTTACCTGAAATACTAATCTAATTGGTGATCCGGGGTAGAATAGGTCTTCAGCAACCCATGCTTGCTGTAACAGGGGACTATGCTTGACGTAATAGGTGACTAGCGGGATCGGGTGGTCAGGCTCGCTGAGTTGATGTATGTCATCAATCCCAATTGCGTGGATCGATGCTCATGATGTCAATCACTGTCATATAGCTACAATATTGCTAAGTGCAGCATTAAACAACAAACAAACAAATGATACAACTGAAATACTGTTCAGTGACATAAACATGATAAAGCCAACCTCACCACACTCCAATCCTTCCATCTTCCCCATCCAGAGGAGGTTGTAAACCAGGAAATCAACTTTGCCGTGGAGAGCTTCACCCTCATCCTCAACAAGCCGGAGTACGAGCTGGCCCAGGTGTCCATGACCAGTCTCCACTCCCACATCAGCAAGCGGGACTTCAACATGTCCTGCCGGGGTCAGCTGGGCAGCCTGACCCTCTCTGACCACTCACCCCACGGGAAGCTCTACCAGCAGAGGTTCGTCACACTGGGCAGACAGGCACTGGAGTTTGATTTCTTCAAGTAAGTAGCTCCTTTCATATCTGTTGTCAGCTCTTTCTTTCACACAGTAATCCTTATAGCCTGGTAGCCTGATGATAAGTAAATGTTAGTGTTTGAATAACTGGACAGTCAAGCCACTGGATTTATACAGGCAGGGTTAGAAATTGGCACTAGTCCTATAGTCCTTACCAAACTGTCCATTAGTTAAGGTATCATAAGGAAAAGTAGAACTTTGCAATTTTTACAGGTTTTGCTATATGTTATCATTGTAAGGACACAGTTAGTGGGGCGGTCGGGTAGCCTAGTGGTTAAAGAGCTCACTCGTCACGCCGAAGACCCGGGTCTGATTCCCGACATGGGTACAATGTGTGAAGCCCATTTCTGGTGTCCCCCGCCGGGATATTGCTGGAATATTGCTAAAAGTGGTGTAAAACCATACTCGCTCACTCACTGAAACAGTTAGTTTCTATCACTGACGGGCCCTCTGCTATTTCTACTTATCACAGGCCAAAGGGGTCCAATCTTCAAGGCAATTGTGTTATTACGACAGGAGCAAGTCCATGTTAAATGATTGAGTCGCAATATTTGAAGCGCTTTTCACCCTTTATGGGTGGGGTCCAGTAGTTAAATTGACATGTTTGGGTATGATAAGATTTAACATAATGGTAATAACAAATATTCATTTAAAATGTGTTGTCATGAAACATGGTATATGAGTAGCAGTGTTCAAAATCATGGTGACTCCTGGGGTCCTTGAGGTTTGCTGCTATGGTAACGACCTCTAGATGTTAAACTTTAGGTTTACGACAAGGACCTTTGACTCAGTTTCGAACACTGTGTAGGTATGGTTTCCCTGACGACCAGCTGCAGAGGGAGTATGATATCTACTTGAAGCTGCGGATGTCGTCGCTACGGTACATCCACACCAACCGCTTCCAGTCGGAGGTCCTGGCGTTCTGCCAGCACTTCCTACAGCTGCAGGACGTCCTGGGCAGGATGAGAGCAGCTTCAGCTGGACAAAAGGTAGCTCACAGACACATCTGTCCTAATGTATACCTGATGTAATATGGCTGACTCTGTGCCGTCATGCCTTGAGGACCTGGATCAATGCTCATGCTGTTACCCAGTGGTTTGCGTGATCCAGACTCACTCACTCACTCACTCACTCACTCACTCACTCACTCACTCACTCACTCACTCACTCACTCACTCAAAAATCATCATACCAAAAGATGGTACTTGTCGTTACCCTGCCTGGCACTTGGCATTTAGCTTCTAAGACAAGGACTGGTCAGCTCAGTCTCAGTATACAGTGTCTGATTCTTGTTCAACTGTGGCATGGTATCTCAGTTAGCTAGAACTTTTACTTCACACACATACACACACACACACACACACACACACACACATTCTTGTTTCTATTAAAGTGCAATAGTCTTGCATGAGACATTAAAGCCCTTTCATCACAGCTCACTCACTCAGTTATTCCCATTTACCAAATTTTGATAATAACATACTGATCTATTCTGTCTCTCTGTACTCAGATAAGTGAATCTGCTTCTCGAGGATCCCGAATCAAGCTTGACATTGAAGCTGGATCACCCATTCTGCTCATACCGCACAGCTCAAAAACTGACGACATTCTTGTTGCTGATCTCGGAACACTCCGAGTTGTCAACACGTTTCTCGTAGACGGAGCCGAAGGCACAAACAGATTTGACAAGAAGGGTAAACTGGAACCTGCCAAATCTAAAAGTGACACCGATGCTCAAGATCGCCGGAAAGGCTTCCAGGAAAAATCAGGCGTAGTTCATCGCGCAATGACGGACAGCATGTTCAGCGAGTACTTCGCTCCACAGTCTTCAAGTGACCCCATGTCCCAAAGCATCTATGGCAGCCTGGACTACGACCTGAGAGAACACGAGCCAGCCACCCTGGACGAGAGAGTGTACATGGTGCACGATGTAGCTGACATCAAGTCCCCGGAGAAGGAGGGGTCGAGTGTTGATCCCATTGCTGCGGGAGTACAGGCAGCTGCCAGCATCAAGAGGCCGTTCAGCGACACCCAGCTCAACCTGGCCCAGAAGAAGAACGGTGCCAGCTCCCCCCAGTCCCCCGAGGCTCATATGTGTATGTTAGATGTGTGGTCCCTCAGTCTCAAGGACATGGACCTGTTCACAGCCAAGCGGGTCAGCAAGAGGAATTACAGAGGCAACAACCTGGTCAGGGATATGGAGTTCTCAACGTATGTGGTTCAGATGGAGGTAAGTGCATATAATCTGAGTGGCACCGAATGGGAATGATTGCCTGGAAGTGTATGAATAGAATCCACTTTTAGTTACTTAAGTTCGGCTTGTTCAGTTTTGTTTCAAGTTTTGTTTTTAGGTATCAGAGGGGGCACAGATGGCCCAGTCGTCTAAGGCACCGCAACTCACTGTGCAAAGTTGTGTCCCTTGGGCACGCCAGAAACCTATGATTGTGGGTTCGAATCCGGGTTCGACTCGATTGTGTTTCTAGGTTTGTCAGCACCATACCTGTGCTCGTGGGTTTCACCGAAGTGGTAAACATCTGAGACCTGCATCACTTTGGGCTTTCCTCCCACATTAAGCTGACACGCTGTGATATAACTGGAATACTGTTAAAAGGGACGTCCCAACTCACTCACTCATTTTAGGTACCAGAGACTATGTGTTGTAGGTAATATCCTCGAAATATTTGGCAGTTTTCACTCATTTTAATCATACCAATGTATTTGATCATTTGTAAGAAAGACAATAAGCTAGTTGTCAGCTTGTTGTTGGCAATGCTGACATTGTGATATGTGTTTCTGAATAAATTTTGTTGTTGGAAAATTTCAGCCAGGGAATATTCTGCGTGAGAAGTGTCAGTTAGTTCTGCATGTGGAGAGGAACCTAGAGTGTGACATCAGCCATAGTGCCCCGGACTGGCAGGTCAACGGCAAGCTGTCCTCCATTTACTGTCACCTTGACCTTGCCCAGTACAAGCTGGTGCGGGGGATCCTGGGGCACAACCTGGGGGAGCAGGTGGAACAGTTCCGCACTCCCATGATGACACACCTGCAGGACCCCAAAATACAGGTAGGAGTTGATAGATGCCACACTTACGACTGCTAAAAACAGTCATGAAATGCCTCGATTTTTATAAAGTAAGGCTGTCATATCCATGCAATGATACATCATACAATTATTCCCGGATTCCTTCTGTGGGTATGTTATTGCAACCTTTGATTCTAAATATATTCATATATTAAAGCAAAATAAGATTATTTTTTCTAGATGATATAAAAAGCAAAATAAGATATTTATTCTTCCAGATGATGATGATGATGATATATTACACAATTGTATAAGAAAAATAAATTATATTCTATATGATGATGATGATATATATTCTACCAGATGATGATGATGATGATGATATATTACACAATTGTATAAGAAAAATAAATTATATTCTATATGATGATGATGATATATATTCTACCAGATGATGATGATGATGATGATATATTACACAATTGTATAAGAAAAATAAATTATATTCTATATGATGATGATGATGATGATATATATTCTTCCAGATGATGATGATGATGATATATTACACCATTGTATAAGAAAAATAAATTATATTCTATATTATGATGATGATGATGATATATATTCTTCCAGATGATGATGATGATGATATATTACACCATTGTATAAGAAAAATAAATTATATTCTATATTATGATGATGATGATGATGATGATGATGATGATGATGATGCAATAATAAAACACCTGATTATTATTACCCTGAGCTATGAATCAGTGTGCACTAGAATGGCATCCACTGCTCCATGAGGTGTCTACAACCATAGCTGCTTACAGGGCTACACTAGAAGGTTATCAGTCTCCTCACCATCTATATGTCCATCCTTCAGACTGTGTTGAGCGGTGATGTGTACAAGTGTATCAGCATGATGGTAGACCTGCACAACGTCAGCGTGGAGCTGCTGATGACCCACGACCAGGGACCGAGCTGTCCGGAGGTGTCCCTGGCCAAGATGGACTTCATACACTCACAGCTGTCCTACGAGAGCTTCTCTGACAACACCAAGGACATCGACCTTGTTTCACACGAGATTGTTGTTGTAGATACAAGGTTCAAAAGTAAGTTCTTTTTCAGAAGTGCAATCCTCGCATTGGATTATTTCAAATCATCATAAACAAAATTGAGAATGATGAACACAAAAGCATTAATTGACTTAGTTCTGTAACAAAGTATTTTCAGACAGTATTTTCTAAAAAAATGTCTAAAACTTAGTCTGTGCCTCTTTTGTAAAAAAATACCCTCCTCCATTAGCAGGAGTTGATCTTCCTCAGGGTGGGTAGAGCATTGTACGTCATATTCCTGCATTGGAGAATGTGCGAACAGTGCCCCTCGATGTGCAAACTGTGCCCCTCAATGTGCAAACAGTGCCCCTCAATGTGCAAACAGTGCCCCTCAATGTGCAAACAGTGCCCCTCAATGTACGAACAGTGCCCCTCAATGTAAGAATAATGCCCCTCAATGTGCAAACAGTGCCTCTCAATGTACAAACAGTGCCCCTCAATGTGCAAACAGTGCCCCTCAATGTACGAACAGTGCCCCTCAATGTAAGAATAATGCCCCTCAATGTGCAAACAGTGCCTCTCAATGTGCAAACAGTGCCCCTCAATGTACAAACAGTGCCCCTCAATGTCAAAACAGTGCCCCTCAATGTGCAACAGTGCCCCTCAATGTAAGAACAGTGCCCCTCAATGTACGAATAGTGCCCCTCAATGTACGAATAGTGCCCCTCAATGTGCAAACAGTGCCCCTCGATGTGCAAACAGTGCCCCTCAATGTACAAACAGTGCCCCTCAATATCCAAACAGTGCCCCTCAATGTCCAAACAGTGCCCCTCAATGTCCGAACAGTGCCCCTCAATGTACGAACAGTGCCCCTCAATGTCCGAACAGTGCCCCTCAATGTCCAAACAGTGCCCCTCAATGTCCAAACAGTGCCCCTCAATGTCCGAACAGTGCCCCTCAATGTACGAACAGTGCCCCTCAATGTCCGAACAGTGCCCCTGAATGTGCGAACAGGGCCCCTCAATGTACAATCATACAATCAATCATTCAATCAATCATACAATCACTGTTGTTGACATGTGACCTTGTATGTTGCAGCACAGCCGATGAACGCGCGCCCGAACGTGTTTGTGTCTGTGTTACAACCGTCCGCGGACCGCTGGAAGAAGGACGGGCTCCAGATGGAGCTCCACTACCGCTCCAGTCCCGTGGGCACCCAGTTCACTGTACTCCTTAACAACATGAAGCTCATGTGTATCTTCGACTGGCTGCTCAGTGTGCAGGAGTTCCTGCTCACGGATGCTGAGAACCCGTTCAAAGAAGGTGAATACTTTTGTGATGGCATGAGAAATTCAGTGACACTAAACACCCCACCCCATCACATCCCATGTCGCCCCACCTCACCTCACCCCACCCCATCACACCCCACCCCATCACACCTCACCTTGCCCCACCTCACCTCACCCCACCACACCTCACCCCACTTCACTCCACCTCACCCCACCACACCCCACCCTACCTCACCTCATCCAACCTCATCCCACCTCACCCTCACCTAACCTAACCTAACCTAACCTAACCCCACCCCACCCCACCTTACCTCACCTCACCTCACCTCACCTCACCTCACCTCAACTCAACTCAACTCACCTCACCTCACCTCACCTCACCTCACCTAACCTAATCTAACCCCACCCCACCCCACCCCACCCCACCCCACCCCACCCCACCCCACCTCACCTCAGCCCACACCACCCCACCCCACACCACCCCACACCACCCCACACCACACCACACCACACCACACCACACCACACCACACCACACCACACCACACCACTGAGTTAGTAACATTTCAGTAACATCAGCATTAACAAATCCAAATAAAATGTACTAAAAATAATGCCCAATACATATTAAGGCCCGTAGATTCTAAAGCCTTTGGCATAGAGGGATGATCAATGATCAGACTGTGACATAAAGGATTCTGTCGATGACTAAAACCTAAGTTGTAAGACATATATTATGATGTAATAACCAAGGAATGTTGTTTCAGAGCCACAGACCGAGGTGAAGACGGAGAGCCTGGGAGGGATGAAGAAGAGGGGGATGGGCCGTACATCCTCCCCCCTCACTGTGTCACGGGGCATCATGACAAGAAGGGGGCCCTTCGTAGAGGAGGTGAGTAGCATTCATCAGCACTGTACAACACTGTGTCTACTGTACTTGCTCTGCATACCTCTATGCTGGGTCAGCACTACAACACTGTGTCTACTGTACTTGCTCTGCATACCTCTATGCTGGGTCAGCACTACAACACTGTGTCTACTGTACTTGCTCTGCATACCTCGATGCTGGGTCAGCACTACAACACTGTGTCTACTGTACTTGCTCTGCATACCCCGATGCTGGGTCAGCACTACAACACTGTGTCTACTGTACTTGCTCTGCATACCTCTATGCTTGGTCAGCACTACAACACTGTGTCTACTGTACTTGCTCTGCATACCTCTATGCTGGGTCAGCACTACAACACTGTGTCTACTGTACTTGCTCTGCATACCTCGATGCTGGGTCAGCACTACAACACTGTGTCTACTGTACTTGCTCTGCATACCTCGATGCTGGGTCAGCACTACAACACTGTGTCTACTGTACTTGCTCTGCATACCTCGATGCTTGGTCAGCACTACAACACTGTGTCTACTGTACTTGCTCTGCATACCTCGATGCTGGGTCAGCACTACAACACTGTGTCTACTGTACTTGCTCTGCATACCTCGATGCTGGGTCAGCACTACAACACTGTGTCTACTGTACTTGCTCTGCATACCTCGATGCTGGGTCAGCACTACAACACTGTGTCTACTGTACTTGCTCTGCATACCTCTATGCTGGGTCGGCACTACAACACTGTGTCTACTGTACTTGCTCTGCATACCTCGATGCTTGGTCAGCACTACAACACTGTGTCTACTGTACCTGCTCTGCATGCCTCTATCCTGGGTCAGCACTACAACACTGTGTCTACTGTACTTGCTCTGCATACCTCTATGCTGGGTCAGCACTACAACACTGTGTCTACTGTACTTGCTCTGCATACCTCGATGCTGGGTCAGCACTACAACACTGTGTCTACTGTACTTGCTCTGCATACCTCTATGCTGGGTCAGCACTACAACACTGTGTCTACTGTACTTGCCCTGCATACCTCTATGCTGGGTCAGCACTACAACACTGTGTCTACTGTACTTGCTCTGCATACCTCTATGCTGGGTCAGCACTACAACACTGTGTCTACTGTACTTGCTCTGCATACCTCTATGCTGGGTCGGCACTACAACACTGTGTCTACTGTACTTGCCCTGCATACCTCTATGCGTGGTCAGCACTACAACACTGTGTCTACTGTACTTGCTCTGCATACCTCGATGCTTGGTCAGCACTACAACACTGTGTCTACTGTACCTGCTCTGCATACCTCTATGCTGGGTCAGCACTACAACACTGTGTCTACTGTACTAGCTCTACATACCTCTATGCTGGGTCAGCACTACAACACTGTGTCTACTGTACTTGCTCTGCATGCCTCTATGCTGGGTCAGCACTACAACACTGTGTCTACTGTACTTGCTCTGCATGCCTCTATGCTGGGTCAGCACTACAACACTGTGTCTACTGTACTTGCTCTGCATACCTCTATGCTGGGTCGGCACTACAACACTGTGTCTACTGTACTTGCTCTGCATACCTCTATGCTGGGTCAGCACTACAACACTGTGTCTACTGTACTTGCTCTGCATACCTCTATGCTGGGTCAGCACTACAACACTGTGTCTACTGTACTTGCTCTGCATACCTCTATGCTGGGTCAGCACTACAACACTGTGTCTACTGTACCTGCTCTGCATGCCTCTATGCTGGGTCAGCACTACAACACTGTGTCTACTGTACTTGCTCTGCATACCTCTATGCTGGGTCGGCACTACAACACTGTGTCTACTGTACTTGCTCTGCATACCTCTATGCTGGGTCAGCACTACAACACTGTGTCTACTGTACTTGCTCTGCATACCTCTATGCTGGGTCCGCACTACAACACTGTGTCTACTGTACTTGCTCTGCATACCTCTATGCTGGGTCCGCACTACAACACTGTGTCTACTGTACTTGCTCTGCATACCTCTATGCTGGGTCAGCACTACAACACTGTGTCTACTGTACTTGCTCTGCATACCTCTATGCTGGGTCAGCACTACAACACTGTGTCTACTGTACTTGCTCTGCATACCTCTATGCTGGGTCAGCACTACAACACTGTGTCTACTGTACTTGCTCTGCATACCTCTATGCTGGGTCCGCACTACAACACTGTGTCTACTGTACTTGCTCTGCATACCTCTATGCTGGGTCAGCACTACAACACTGTGTCTACTGTACTTGCTCTGCATACCTCTATGCTGGGTCGGCACTACAACACTGTGTCTACTGTACTTGCTCTGCATACCTCTATGCTGGGTCAGCACTACAAGTATTGTTTCTCCCCACAGGTGAATGTACCCTTTGAGCTGAAGCTGAACATCACAGACACCCAGTTTGTCGTTGTTGAGGATGCAACCACCATCGACACCAATGCAGTCATTCTCAAGGTACAAGCAGGTTTCAGAGTGTAGCAGTAACCCTTTGATGTTTGCCTGCTAGCAATAAGCATTTGCCTCAAGTTGAGGTCACCCTGAGGCTGAGGTTCAAACTCAGGTGTTGTTATGTTATCATTACTGATAAGGTTGGTAGATGGACGAAGTAATAGAGGACGGGTGAGAGGCATGATCGGCATCTAAAGCTGCAAGAGAACAATGCTGGCCTGCACCAGACAATCCTGTGTTTGACATCATGATCATCGATCTACACAAATGGGACACTATGCTGTAGTCCTGTAGAGTGTATGCAGTTCATGTAACGGGATGTAAATATGGTCCATCCGATGTAATGGCAATCTCTTAGTGACAAGAGCCTGCAGCTGTGCTTTAAAGTTGGAATGATAAGTAGATATTTAACATTCAAATTGGGAAAGGTTTGGGTCTCAAACAAATACTGGTAGACGTACTCCCATGATGTGAGGGACCCTGTTCTAGACTGTTGGGTAGTAATCATAGCCATCATGATGATGAAAATATGCTTTGCAAATCATGCAGTCGACCTAAATCTGCACTTTGAAATTCCTGTTGTTAACAAACCGGATGTCTAGTTCGTTATGCGATTTTAATTCGACTATGCATAGACTCGTTAGTCAAGCCAAAATGTAATAATTGCAGGCTGGTTCGGCAAGGGTGGAAACTGGACTTTATACTCCCTTGCCTCGGGAAGATGACATCAGACCCCCTCCACTATTTATATGTATCACTGTTGTAACACAAATAACTTATCATTTGCAAAATAAAGTAAAAAATGATGTTCCACCAAAATAATCACACACTTCATTGTCACATTTCTGACCACAAATGCATATTAATGGATCTGCAGAGATGAAATTATGTACTATTTTGCTATCCCCCAGACTACGGCTGTCCTGATGTACAAGCCTCAGGCCCGAGACAAGGTGTTGCGGTGTAGTCTGCAGAGCATTGAGGTCTTCTCCTGCTGTCTCATGTCCGAGGAGGACACGTCACTGTCCATTGTGGACCCCATGACCATCAGCATCGAGATGAACGCCAACCCTCTCCCCGATCTCCGACCCAACCCCTTGGGTGGGCTTCTTGATGTCAAGGAGGCAGATCAGAGACAACTCTTACTGGAGGTATGGACACCTTGAAACGCTGGAACCTGCTCAATCTGGACACATCTTTTGCTATCAATATCAGTCTGATTGACAGGTTTCAGGACTGAAATACAGCTTAGAAAGAAACTATTTTGGGGACAAGTGGCAGTTCTTTCAGATTTTACTCATCAGGGGTAGAAACTAATAGTTTCAGTTCACTAGTCCTTATGATGATAACATATATGGCCTTAATAATGGCAAATTTCTACTAGTCCTTATGATACCTTAACTATTGGGCAGTTTGGCAATGACTACAGGACTAGTGCCAATTTCTAATGCTGCTCATGTCATTCAAAACACACTTTGTTTGTCAAACTATCAATCAATTATCACCCTAGTCACACAGAAACAATGTCTTTGTTTTACACAGGACACTAAATACATCTATAGATGAGAACATTTTATGTTTTGAAAATCTCAAATAATCCTTTTCCATACTTCAAAGTTCTGACATTGGTACTTTTGTATGATCCATTGTTATAACTGACGGCCTATTTTGTATGGTGACATGACAAAGCTGAACTTATTTGACAGGTAAACTTCAACACAATGACAATCCGTGTGTCGTACCATGACATGATGCTGTTTCTCTCCATCCTCAACTCCCTGCCACAGCAGGCCCTCCAGGCCAAGCAGAGGCACAACCAGTATACCGGCACAACACTGCAACATGGTAGGTGTCCAACCAGTATACCGGCACAACACTGCAGCATGGTAGGTGTCTAGCCCGTATACCGGCACAACACTGCAGCATGGTAGGTGTCTAGCCCGTATACCGACACAACACTGCAGCATGGTAGGTGTCTAACCCGTATACCGGCACAACACTGCAGCATGGTAGGTGTCTAACCAGTATACCAGCACAACACTGCAGCATGGTAGGTGTCTAGCCAGTATACCAGCACAACACTGCAGCATGGTAGGTGTCTAACCAGTATACCGGCACAACACTGCAGCATGGTAGGTGTCTAGCCCGTATAGATTTGCATAGAGTTACATCCCTTACCTTTGCCAGGATCTGCTTGGTCCGTTTTTGACCAATTTATTATCCTTGATCTGTCAGCACTATATCCATGCATATTGGGTTCATCACCATTGTGCCAAGTGTCTACAACTTGCCTCATTTCAGCTGTATTTCCTCATTACTCTGTAATATAACTGAAACACAAAGCAGTATTAATCATGAACTCTTTTACTATGGAAATATTCTCTGTGATCTGAACAATGTACAAAATCTGTTGACACATTTAGGAAGCCATTGTGGCCCCAATCCACTAGGAAGCCATTGTGACCAAACAAGTCTGTTTAACCCCAAAGATATAAATCTTGGAAAAGTAGCATAAAAAAGACCAGTGTAAAATACGGCTGAAGTATGAGATGTTGTTTTCCAGAGGAGATGCTGAAGAAGCTGAGTGAGCTGGGTTTCAGCCACAAGGACTGTGAGAAGGCTCTGTCAGAGTGTGATGGCAGCCAGGAGGCTGCTGCTCTGTGGCTGGCAAAGAATGCCACACCTGTCCCACAGAACCACAAGCAGAACTTCGCCATCACATCAGCCGAGGTACATAATGAGGCAGACTCCTGCACAACTGCAGCTCTTTAGTGACAAAGTCGACAGAATTTATGGATGACAACTTCTTTATTTACTGTAAAGGTGACATTTCAGTAGAGATCCAATATTATCTGATACTTATCCGATAACGGTATGAGGATCTATATCAAGATGTTGCCTTCACAGTATTTAACGTTGTTATCCATAAATTGTGTCTACTTTGTCATCCGTCAACTTCTAAGTAATGCCGATCAAACAATTCAGCTCACAAGTGAAGTCCATGCAGTACAATGTATAGTGAACAATATTTTCTTAAACAATTGTCATGGCATGGGGGCTGAAGAACTAGATGCCAGAATTTATTATCATTTTTCAAATCCCAGATTTGCACAGAATACGAATCCTGGTTTCTCAGCACCTCACCCATAATTGTGGGTTTCACTCACCTAAGACCTGCAACACTTCTTTCTTTCCTCCCACATTAAGCTGACATACCTTGATATAACTGAGCACGGTTCCGAGCAGCGTTAACTTGGCACTTAGAAGCTATTATAACCAAAGTCCACATTCATATGCCATTGTAACCTCAGTCCACATTTGGAAGGCATTATGACCCCGATCCACACTGTGAAGACATAGCTGACCCAATCTAGCTTAGGAGCCATTGTGACCCTGACCAACACTGTGAGGCCATGACTGCCCCAATCTAGCTTAGGAGCCATTGTGACCCTGACCAACACTGTGAAGCTATAGCTGACCCAATCTAGCTTAGGAGCCATTGTGACCCCGATCCACACTGTGAGGCCATGACTGCCCCAATCTAGCTTAGGAGCCATTGTGACCCTGACCAACACTGTGAGGCCATGACTGCCCCAATCTAGCTTAGGAGCCATTGTGACCCCGATCCACACTGTGAGGCCATGACTGCCCCAATCTAGCTTAGGAGCCATTGTGACCCTGACCAACACTGTGAGGCCATGACTGCCCCAATCTAGCTTAGGAGCCATTGTGACCCTGACCAACACTGTTAGGCCATGACTGCCCCAATCTAGCTTAGGAGCCATTGTGACCCTGACCAACACTGTGAGGCCATGAATGCCCCAATCTAGCTTAGGAGCCATTATGACCCCGATCCACACTGTGAGGCCATGACTGCCCCAATCTAGCTTAGGAGCCATTGTGACCCTGACCAACACTGTGAGGCCATGACTGCTCCAATCTAGCTTAGGAGCCATTATAACCCCGATCCACACTGTGAGGCCATGACTGCCCCAATCTAGCTTAGGAGCCATTGTGACCCTGACATACACTGTGAGTCCATGACTCCCCCAATCTAGCTTAGGAGCCATTGTGACCCCGATCCACACTGTGAGGCCATGACTGCCCCAATCTAGCTTAGGAGCCATTATGACCCCGATCCACACTGTGAAGCCATGACTGCCCCAATCTAGCTTAGGAGCCATTGTGACCCTGACCAACACTGTTAGGCCATGACTGCCCCAATCTAGCTTAGGAGCCATTGTGACCCTGACCAACACTGTGAAGCTATAGCTGACCCAATCTAGCTTAGGAGCCATTGTGACCCCGATCCACACTGTGAAGCCATGACTGCCCCAATCTAGCTTAGGAGCCATTGTGACCCCGATCCACACTGTGAGGCCATGACTGCCCCAATCTAGCTTAGGAGCCATTGTGACCCCGATCCACGCTGTGAAGCCATGACTGCCCCAATCTAGCTTAGGAGCCATTGTGACCCCGATCCACACTGTGAGGCCATGACTGCCCCAATCTAGCTTAGAAGCCATTGTGACCCTGACCAACACTGTGAGGCCATGACTGCCCCAATCTAGCTTAGGAGCCATTGTGACCCTGACCAACACTGTGAAGCTATAGCTGACCCAATCTAGCTTAGGAGCCATTGTGACCCCGATCCACACTGTGAGGCCATGACTGCCCCAATCTAGCTTAGGAGCCATTGTGACCCTGACCAACACTGTGAGGCCATGACTGCCCCAATCTAGCTTAGGAGCCATTATGACCCCGATCCACACTGTGAGGCCATGACTGCCCCAATCTAGCTTAGGAGCCATTGTGACCCTGACCAACACTGTGAGGCCATGACTGCCCCAATCTAGCTTAGGAGCCATTGTGACCCCAATCCACACTGTGAGGCCATGACTGCCCCAATCTAGCTTAGGAGCCATTATGACCCCGATCCACACTGTGAGGCCATGACTGCCCCAATCTAGCTTAGGAGCCATTGTGACCCCGATCCACACTGTGAGGCCATGACTGCCCCAATCTAGCTTAGGAGCCATTGTGACCCTGACCAACACTGTGAGGCCATGAATGCCCCAATCTAGCTTAGGAGCCATTATGACCCCAATCCACACTGTGAGGCCATGACTGCCCCAATCTAGCTTAGGAGCCATTGTGACCCCGATCCACACTGTGAGGCCATGACTGCCCCAATCTAGCTTAGGAGCCATTATGACCCCGATCCACACTGTGAGGCCATGACTGCCCCAATCTAGCTTAGGAGCCATTGTGACCCTGACCAACACTGTGAGGCCATGACTGCCCCAATCTAGCTTAGGAGCCATTGTGACCCCGATCCACACTGTGAGGCCATGACTGCCCCAATCTAGCTTAGGAGCCATTATGACCCCGATCCACACTGTGAAGCCATGACTGCCCCAATCTAGCTTAGGAGCCATTGTGACCCTGACCAACACTGTGAGGCCATGACTGCCCCAATCTAGCTTAGGAGCCATTGTGACCCTGACCAACACTGTGAAGCTATAGCTGACCCAATCTAGCTTAGGAGCCATTGTGACCCTGACCAACACTGTGAGGCCATGACTGCCCCAATCTAGCTTAGGAGCCATTGTGACCCCGATCCACACTGTTAGGCCATGACTGCCCCAATCTAGCTTAGGAGCCATTGTGACCCTGACCAACACTGTGAGGCCATGACTGCCCCAATCTAGCTTAGGAGCCATTGTGACCCTGACCAACACTGTGAGGCCATGACTGCCCCAATCTAGCTTAGGAGCCATTGTGACCCTGACCAACACTGTGAGGCCATGACTGCCCCAATCTAGCTTAGGAGCCATTGTGACCCCGATCCACACTGTGAGGCCATGACTGCCCCAATCTAGCTTAGGAGCCATTATGACCCCGATCTAGCTTAATTAGGAGCCATTGTGACCCCGATCCACACTGTGAAGCCATGACTGGGCACAGTTCGGAGCAGCGTTAACACCAATTCTCTCATAGATGTTAACGAGGGAGATCTGTCAAAGTAAATGATATTCACAGTGTTTACACTATCATAAGATTAACACCACCACTCTGATGACTTTCAGCTGAAGGCAGTGTCTGTGTGTCTGTGTCTGATAGATGACTGTGGAGATGCTGACGTCCCCCTGGCTGAGATCTCCTTCAGCGGTAGGTTGACTAAACACAGGTCATCATTACAACACTAACCTACAATCAAACCCTGTTGTCTTGAACTCCCGGGGCCCTGTGAAATAGTTACACTTATCCGAGGTTCTACACATCCAACTTGACCGTTTGACCTATAGCACCAGACAACAGAAAACATTAATATTAGTGCTGGGACGACTCCAAATTTACTACCTGGGTACCCGACCCCCTATTACCCGATCCAACACGGATAACTGCTGTAGGTCTCATGAGTTGGTTACAAAATGTCCATTTTGGAATGTTTTACCGGACCACTGGCAAAAAGTATTTAGATACACATATAAAACGATCTGGTCATGCATACACTGAAGTGGGCTGAAACTGTACCTTTACTCAAAACTACTCAAGGAATGTGCCTATAGTCATAAAGATATGCAAACATTAGCGACTTATAGGTAACCATGGAGTTAGAGTAGTGATTTTTTCTCATTAAACAATATATCATGTGACTAGCCAAGGGTCTGGGTAGTCCTACACAGGACCCACCCGACCCGGGTACCTGAGTTACCCATCCCAGCCCTAACTTATATGCATGTATTTCACATCTCTGGATTATCATGACATCACATGACTTATGATATGATGATACGACTTATTAGGATAAGTTTTAATTTATTTTTAAGTCTTTGTACAACTGGGTTAGTCTTGAGACAACTGAACTGTGTTCATTGGCTGAACCACTGGAGACATTGCAGTCAGTGGTGATGGCCATGCACTCTCCTACTGCAAGCGTTCGCTCATCACGCCGAAGACCCGGGTTAGATTCCCGACATTTGTACAATGTGTGAAGCCCCTTTCTGGTGTTCCCCGCCGTGATATTGCTGGAATATTGCTAAAAGCGGTGTAAAACCATACTCACTCACTCATTCACTCTCCTACTGCAGGTATCCATTTCAACCAGACGATGGAGCCCAACATTGAAGGTAAAGCGATATTCCAGATGACCGGAGAGTACTACAACCGCAGCCTGTCTGGCTGGGAGCCCTTCCTGGAGACATGGAGGTGAGCTGCCCCTTCTTCCAGTGTTGCACTTATCAGTTCTCTGTCAGATCACTTAGTGGCCACGCTGGGGGAAAAGTAGGATTCACAGCAACTCCAGCTTGTCTTAGTAACCCTGACCAGTCTTGTTGGTCAGGCTGTCAATCAGTGGTATAACTAAATAATTAATTGTTTACAGGTCAGCATATTTATACTCTGACTAATGCTGCATATCACTCTTACTCACTCACCCCATACGGCAGAGACCATGGGCTCCAGCTTGTCTTAAGAACCCTGACCAGTCTTGTTGGTCATGCTGTCAATCAGTGGTTTAACTAAATCATTGATTATTTACAGGAGAAATTATGTATACTTGTACTATTGTGCATATCACGCTCACTCACTCACGCACTCTCACTCACTCGCTCACTCACTCACTCACCCTAGTTACTGGTGTACAAAACTCACTCAAGTTTTTTCCCACAAAAGAAAATGGCTGTCCCAGACTCTGGCCTGACGAAGTTCGGTATTCTGTAGACGTCCCTGACATGTACAGAATGCATTGGACTTTATATTGTAATTAATTCTTCTGGCAGTGTACATCATCATGTTTGTCTTTCACAGGTGTCTAGCAGAGTGGAAGCAGTTTAAAGAACCAGAAGAAAAGATGTCTTTCCAGATTTCAAGTAAGTCAATTACTGCACTTTCTACTTTGTAATATTGCCAGTAGGTATGAAGACATCATTTTCACATACTGCTGTGTCTGATCATGAGGAATCTGCTTGTCTATGAGCTTGTTAATGTTGTTGAGGGGAGAGTTGGGTAGTCTAGTGGTTAAAGTGTACACTCATCACACCAGGTGCCGTTGTTTGATTCCCCACATTGATACAGTGTATGAAGCCCATGATATTGAGGGAATATTGCTGATATGCGGCATAAAACTGTACTCACTCACCCATGCTATTGATATGTTGGTTTCAGCCAATGAGGTGCTGAATGTGAATCTGACCAGCACTCTCCTGGAACAGTATCACCTGACCAAGGGCAACTGGACGGAAGACTACCTGAAGGACAACAGGTCAGGCCACAGTCTTTTATTTGAAGTAATTGCTGACTGTATTTATAGTGCAAGATGTTTCATATCTTCTTCATTAACCATGTACATGTATATACTTCTGGATAGGCTTTGTTCTGTGAGAAGTTTTAAATGGCTAGAGACTACATTAGATTTATTTGAACAATTATTATTTGATGAATCATTTTAATTTTCTATCCAATCAAAGGTGGAACAATTTCACAAATAAGTATTTTCTGATTGTAATTCTGTCCATAGAATCCTTAAGCAGAAAAATAAAAGTTTTGTCAAAGCTTCATATTAAAATAAAGGGGAAAATGATCTTAAAAAATCTTTAATCAAGATACAATTTATTGCTTGTTATCTATTCACCTTTTCCCTGCTTGTTGTAAGGGCACTGTTTGAGAGGATCGGGTAGTTATAATGCGTAACAGCCTAGTGAGGTGTCTGTTGTAAGGGCACTGTGGGAGAGGATCGGGTAGTTATAATGTGTAACAGCCTAGTGAGGTGTCTGTTGTAAGGGCACTGTGGGAGAGGATCGGGTAGTTATAATGTGTAACAGTCTAGTGAGGTGTCTGTTGTAAGGGCACTGTGGGAGAGGATCGGGTAGTTATAATGTGTAACAGTCTAGTGAGGTGTCTGTTGTAAGGGCACTGTGGGAGAGGATCGGGTAGTTATAATGTGTAACAGCCTAGTGAGGTGTCTGTTGTAAGGGCACTGTGGGAGAGGATAGGGTAGTTATAATGTGTAACAGTCTAGTGAGGTGTCTGTTGTAAGGGCACTGTGGGAGAGGATCGGGTAGTTATAATATGTAACAGCCTAGTGAGGTGTCTGTTGAAAGGGCACTGTGGGAGAGGATCGGGTAGTTATAATGTGTAACAGTCTAGTGAGGTGTCTGTTGTAAGGGCACTGTGGGAGAGGATCGGGTAGTTATAATATGTAACAGCCTAGTGAGGTGTCTGTTGTAAGGGCACTGTGGGAGAGGATCGGGTAGTTATAATGTGTAACAGCCTAGTGAGGTGTCTGTTGTAAGGGCACTGTGGGAGAGGATCGGGTAGTTATAATGTGTAACAGCCTAGTGAGGTGTCTGTTGTGAGGGCACTGTGGGAGAGGATCGGGTAGTTATAATGTGTAACAGCCTAGTGAGGTGTCTGTTGTAAGGGCACTGTGGGAGAGGATCGGGTAGTTATAATGTGTAACAGCCTAGTGAGGTGTCTGTTGTAAGGGCACTGTGGGAGAGGATCGGGTAGTTATAATGTGTAACAGCCTAATGAGGTGTCTGTTGTAAGGGCACTGTGGGAGAGGATCGGGTTGTTATAATGTGTAACAGCCTAATGAGGTGTCTGTTGTAAGGGTACTGTGGGAGAGGATCGGGTAGTTATAATGTGTAACAGCCTAATGAGGTGTCTGTTGTAAGGGCACTGTGGGAGAGGATCGGGTAGTTATAATGTGTAACAGTCTAGTGAGGTGTCTGTTGAAAGGGCACTGTGGGAGAGGATCGGGTAGTTATAATGTGTAACAGCCTAATGAGGTGTCTGTTGTAAGGGCACTGTGGGAGAGGATCGGGTAGTTATAATGTGTAACAGTCTAGTGAGGTGTCTGTTGTAAGGGCACTGTGGGAGAGGATCGGGTAGTTATAATGTGTAACAGCCTAATGAGGTGTCTGTTGTAAGGGCACTGTGAGAGAGGATCGGGTTGTTATAATGTGTAACAGCCTAATGAGGTGTCTGTTGTAAGGGTACTGTGGGAGAGGATCGGGTAGTTATAATGTGTAACAGCCTAATGAGGTGTCTGTTGTAAGGGCGCTGTGGGAGAGGATCGGGTAGTTATAATGTGTAACAGCCTAGTGAGGTGTCTGTTGTAAGGGCACTGTGGGAGAGGATCGGGTAGTTATAATGTGTAACAGCCTAATGAGGTGTCTGTTGTAAGGGCACTGTGGGAGAGGATCGGGTAGTTATAATGTGTAACAGCCTAATGAGGTGTCTGTTGTAAGGGCACTGTGGGAGAGGATCGGGTTGTTATAATGTGTAACAGCCTAATGAGGTGTCTGTTGTAAGGGTACTGTGGGAGAGGATCGGGTAGTTATAATGTGTAACAGCCTAATGAGGTGTCTGTTGTAAGGGCACTGTGGGAGAGGATCGGGTAGTTATAATGTGTAACAGCCTAGTGAGGTGTCTGTTGTAAGGGCGCTGTGGGAGAGGATCGGGTAGTTATAATGTGTAACAGCCTAGTGAGGTGTCTGTTGTAAGGGCACTGTGGGAGAGGATCGGGTAGTTATAATGTGTAACAGCCTAGTGAGGTGTCTGTTGTAAGGGCGCTGTGGGAGAGGATCGGGTAGTTATAATGTGTAACAGCCTAGTGAGGTGTCTGTTGTAAGGGCGCTGTGGGAGAGGATCGGGTAGTTATAATGTGTAACAGCCTTGTGAGGTGTCTGTTGTAAGGGCACTGTGGGAGAGGATCGGGTAGTTATAATGTGTAACAGCCTAATGAGGTGTCTGTTGTAAGGGCACTGTGGGAGAGGATCGGGTTGTTATAATGTGTAACAGCCTAATGAGGTGTCTGTTGTAAGGGCACTGTGGGAGAGGATCGGGTAGTTATAATGTGTAACAGCCTAATGAGGTGTCTGTTGTAAGGGCACTGTGGGAGAGGATCGGGTAGTTATAATGTGTAACAGCCTAATGAGGTGTCTGTTGTAAGGGCACTGTGGGAGAGGATCGGGTAGTTATAATGTGTAACAGCCTAATGAGGTGTCTGTTGTAAGGGCACTGTGGGAGAGGATCGGGTAGTTATAATGTGTAACAGCCTAATGAGGTGTCTGTTGTAAGGGCACTGTGGGAGAGGATCGGGTAGTTATAATGTGTAACAGCCTAGTGAGGTGTCTGTTGTAAGGGCACTGTGGGAGAGGATCGGGTAGTTATAATGTGTAACAGCCTAATGAGGTGTCTGTTGTAAGGGCACTGTGGGAGAGGATCGGGTAGTTATAATGTGTAACAGCCTAATGAGGTGTCTGTTGTAAGGGCACTGTGGGAGAGGATCGGGTAGTTATAATGTGTAACAGCCTAATGAGGTGTCTGTTGTAAGGGCACTGTGGGAGAGGATCGGGTAGTTATAATGTGTAACAGCCTAATGAGGTGTCTGTTGTAAGGGCACTGTGGGAGAGGATCGGGTAGTTATAATGTGTAACAGCCTAATGAGGTGTCTGTTGTGAGGGCACTGTGGGAGAGGATCGGGTAGTTATAATGTGTAACAGCCTAATGAGGTGTCTGTTGTAAGGGCACTGTGGGAGAGGATCGGGTAGTTATAATGTGTAACAGCCTAATGAGGTGTCTGTTGTGAGGGCACTGTGGGAGAGGATCGGGTAGTTATAATGTGTAACAGCCTAATGAGGTGTCTGTTGTAAGGGCACTGTGGGAGAGGATCGGGTAGTTATAATGTGTAACAGCCTAATGAGGTGTCTGTTGTAAGGGCACTGTGGGAGAGGATCGGGTAGTTATAATGTGTAACAGCCTAATGAGGTGTCTGTTGTAAGGGCACTGTGGGAGAGGATCGGGTAGTTATAATGTGTAACAGCCTAATGAGGTGTCTGTTGTAAGGGCACTGTGGGAGAGGATCGGGTAGTTATAATGTGTAACAGCCTAATGAGGTGTCTGTTGTGAGGGCACTGTGGGAGAGGATCGGGTAGTTATAATGTGTAACAGCCTAATGAGGTGTCTGTTGTAAGGGCACTGTGGGAGAGGATCGGGTAGTTATAATGTGTAACAGCCTAATGAGGTGTCTGTTGTGAGGGCACTGTGGGAGAGGATCGGGTAGTTATAATGTGTAACAGCCTAATGAGGTGTCATCATAGCCCAGACGTGCGGATCCTTGTTCATGCTGTCAATCACTGGTTTGTCTGGTCAAGACTTGATTATTTACAGGCCAGAGTTGCTTAGTTGGAATATTGCAGAGTGCTGTGTCAAACTCTCATTTACTCACTCACTCTCCCAGCCTCATCAGTAATGACTGTTGAAGAAATGGATATCTGTTGTGAGGATATCCCCTTCAACTAAGTGACATTTTACGTAGGTACATTGTAGAGATAGGTCAAGGGGTCCTTGTCATAACCCTAATGTTAACAGTTAAAGGTTAAGGGGATCCATTGATTCAAATGCCATAGGAGAGCATCACAAGGGACCCAGGACCTCCTCAATTTTGAAACCTGTGTTATGCTGTAGAGAAATCCACAATAACTGTCATTGTTTTTCAGAGACAGTATGAAGTCCCAAGTAAAGGATTCTGTCAGTCCTAGTTCACTACCATCCTCCAAACTACTCCGTCGACGCCTTCCATTCATCCCGTACACCATCCGCAACGACACAGGCTGCGACCTGTGGTACATCACTGCCATCTCGTCTCCATCAAAGTAAGGATGTTCAGAATAATTAAGAATCCATGAAGACCTGGGTTGAATTGATCTTCAACCACCCATGCTTGTTGTAAGAGGCAAATAACGAGGTCGGGTGGTCAGGCTTGCTGACCTGGTTGATGAAGGTCATCATATCCCAATTGTGTAGATTGATGCTCATAATGTCAATATGTATTCCGGTTGTCTGCAGAACTGATATCTTTATAAGCCTATGAGACCACCTCCGTGGTCTAGTGGTAGAGCATCCGCCCGGAGACTGGAAAGTCTGGGGTTCGATCCCTGGCCACGCCATACCTAAAGATGGTACTTGTAGTTACACTGCCTGGCACTCTGGCATTAAGTGGCTAAAACAAAGACTGGTTGGCGCAAAGTCAGTAAACTGTGTCTGAGTGGGGTATTCATGTTAAACTGCGGCATGGTATCTCAGTGGTCTAGCACTATGAATTCGGCACTAGTCTGACTAGTACAAGCAGCCACACACACACAAGCTTGCACGTCTCTTTATAAGTGCAATAATCTTGGACGCATCTTTAAACCCCATTTCACCTCACCTATAATCCTGTGACGAAGCTGATGTTATCTTGTTTTACTCTAAATTATCAAACTGCTGTCATGGAATTATGTTTTTGGAAGTAGTGACACTTTGTGGGTGCCTCAATGTATTAAACAAGATGAAGCAAAGGCAACTTTGTATGCCATGAATGTATTGGACTTCATATTGTAAATAATTCTTCTGGCAGTATAGGGGGTAAGGCTGTAATTGCAGTTTGTATGTTGGTTTTCAGTGAACCGGGTATGAACGACACGGGGAATGTCCAGTCGTATGACAATGCCTACATTCAGGCCTCCGATTGGAAGCGGGTCACAACTGGAGAGTCCAAACCATTTTACTTCCATCGCAGAGAAAAACTCCGACACAAGGTAGGCAACTCATTACACATAGACACTCTAGCCTATGGTGTCCAGTGATCGAACTGAAGCACGCAAGTCAAAGGATCTCCTTATCATAACCCTGATGTTACATGAACATACAATGCCAGTTTAGAAAGTGGTCAAATGTAACAAACGTTACCTTTAGGATAACACTTTCTTAGTAAAATACAGATTCTAGTACTTTTTTTGGTTGAGTCCGATCAGGGATTCGAACCCACACTCTCAAACTGAAGGACCTCATTGCCGGTTCACAAAGTTGGCGATCTAACCCACTCAGCCAGAGGCTTCCACAAAATTGGTAGTGTAGATCCCGTACTTTGTGTACCCCTCTGACGAGTGTAAATTGGCACGGCTCAGAGGTGTAAACAAAGTACGTGATCTAGACTACCAGTGTCAGACTTTCATTTTTGTGGAAGCCTCTGTGGCTGAGTGGGTTAGATCGCTGACTTGATCAATACTAGAATCTGTACTGTACTAAGAAAGTGTTATCTCAAATATAACATTTGTCACTGATGTTACACGTTAAAGATAGAGGGCATTCTTAGATTCAAATACCATTGAGAAGACCTCAAGGATTCCAGGACACTCTTGATTTAGAACACTGGGGTACACATAAGATTGCTGTCTTTGTGATGACACCGGGTAGCTAGATATGTGACATTGAACACAAGGCAGCACTGCATCTGATTTATAATGTTTGTAATGATGACATTGCAGTCACCTTTTGATTTGATTGTGTGTACACTGGGTGAAATGCATCAACTACAATGTTGTGGTTGTAGTTAGAACTGCAGATTCCCCAGGTGAGATATGGGAGTGAGATGAATCTACATGACTGCAGAGCTGAAAGTCGTGGCTCCAAGTAGCTGCCGAATCAGCAAATGATGAAACAGACATCCTTGATAAAATAGCTGTGCTATGTTTTCGTACAGACGCTCTTTCTATAAGTTCAGTATTATCAGCAAATGTTTGTCTTGTAGAAAACCCACGGGATGCACATCAACCAGCTGCTGGTGACAGTGGCTGGCTGGCAACGCCTCACCCCCATCACTGTGGACAAGGTGGGCGTATACTTCCGATATACCGAGCCCGACAAGAAGACACCCACAGTCAGCACGGTAAGATATACCCACGAAGTCTTGCCACACCCACAGTCAACACGGTAAGATACACCCACGAGGTCTGGTCACAGCCACAGTCAACACGGTAAGATAAACCCGCGAAGTCTGGCCACACCGACAGTCAACACGGTAAGATACACCCACGAAGTCTGGTCACACCCACAGTCAACACAGTAAGATATACCTGCGAAGTCTGGTCACACCCACAGTCAACACAGTAAGATACACCCACGAAGTCTGGTCACACCCACAGTCAACACAGTAAGATACACCCACGAAGTCTGGTCAAACCCACAGTCAACACGGTAAGATACACCCACGAGTCTTGTCACACCCACAGTCAACACAGTAAGATACACCCGCAATATCTGGCCAAGCCCGCGAAATCTGGCCACACCCACAGTCAACACGGTAAGATACACCCACGAGGTCTGGTCACATCCACAGTCAGCACAGTAAGATACACCCACGAGGTCTGGTCACACCCACAGTCAACACGGTAAGATACACCCACGAGGTCTGGTCACACCCACAGTCAACACGGTAAGATACACCCGCGAAGTCTGGTCACACCCACAGTCAACACAGTAAGATATACCCACGAAGTCTTGTCACACCCACAGTCAGCACAGTAAGATACACCCACGAGGTCTGGTCACACCCACAGTCAACACGGTAAGATACACCCACGAGGTCTGGTCACACCCACAGTCAACACGGTAAGATACACCCACGAAGTCTGGTCACACCCACAGTCAACACAGTAAGATATACCCACGAGGTCTGGTCACACCCACAGTCAACACGGTAAGATACACCCGCGAAGTCTGGTCACACCCACAGTCAACACGGTAAGATATACCCACGAAGTCTGGTCACACCCACAGTCAGCACAGTAAGATACACCCACGAAGTCTGGCCACACCCACAGTCAACATGGTAAGATACACCCACGAAGTCTGGCCACACCCACAGTCAACACGGTAAGATACACCCATGAAGTCTTGTCACACCGACAGTCAACACAGTAAGATACACCCGCAATATCTGGCCAAGCCCGCGAAATCTGGCCACACCCACAGTCAACACGGTTAGATACACTCGTGAAATCTGGCCACACCCACAGTCAACACGGTAAGATACACCCACAAAATCTGGCCTCACCCGCGAAATCTGGCCACACCCACAGTCAACACAGTAAGATACATTCGCGAAATCAGGGGGCACACCCACAGATAACAAAGTACGATACATTCCGGGATATCTGACCACACCCACAGTTAACATAGTACGATACATTCCGGGATATCTGACCACACCCACAGTTAACATAGTACGATACATTCCGGGATATCTGACCACACCCACAGTTAACATAGTACGATACATTCCGGGATATCTGACCACACCCACAGTTAACATAGTACGATACATTCCGGGATATCTGACCACACCCACAGTTAACATAGTACGATACATTCCGGGATATCTGACCACACCCACAGTTAACATAGTACGATACATTCCGGGATATCTGGCCACACCCACAGATAACATAGTACGATACATTCCGGGATATCTGGCCACACCCACAGATAACATAGTACAGTCAAGTCCCGTTAATCCAACATGGTTGGTTGCATATGATTATGTCGGATTAATAAGTATATCGGATAAACGAAATTAAGTAGTAACATTCGTTAAAAACATAGTCTGGAATGGAAGTAGCAAGTTTGAAACTGTTACCGCAAAGCTTAAGACTTATCTCGCATCAAAACACGGGCTGTGTACTCGTGGGCAGATGACGTACAGTAATTCATTGCAAATTAGGTGTGTCGGAGTCGGAGTGCGAGACTGTCAGATTAACGGGTGTAGATAGCACTGATTTAATCGGTTCCAATCATTAGTGTCAGATAAAGGTGATTGTCAGATTAACGAGTGTCGGATTTACGAGACTTGACAGTATGATACATTCCGGCATATCTGGTCACAGGGTCAATTATGATGTGACAAGCCAGTGATGTGAAACATTATGACATCATGATACAGGCCGACAACCAACTTGTTTGGGGTTTTACAAGATGGCAACTGACCTATCAGACAGCTACTTTCTGTAACAAGTACTGATCAAGACATTTACTGACATTGATGTTGATGGACACATTAGCTCTCTCCTGTATAGTAGGAGTGCCAAGATACACCAACCTCACATAGTGATACATCTCACAATATTTATTTGTTTCTTTGTCTGTTGTTTAACGCCGTACTCAGCAATAATCCAGCTATATGATGGCGGTAAGTAAACAATCAAGACTGGACCAGACAATACATTGATTGACATCATGAACATCGATCAACGCAATTGGGATACAATGACATGCATCAACCAGGTCAGTGAGCCTGACCACCCGATCCTGTTAGTCACCTCTTACAACAAGCATAGTCACCTCTTACAACAAGCATAGTCATCACTTACAGCAAGCATGGGTTGCTGAAGACCTACTCTAACCCGGATCTTCACAGGTCACATCTCGCAAGACGTTAACCATGATACTTGTAGATACTAAATTGTACCTTGTTTTCTATTGATATTCTCCATGTTCCACCTGGGTAATATGAGTTGGTTGCTATAGACTAGTTTGTGGTTCATCTTCCCGAGGCAAGAGAGTTAACTGACTATAAAGTCCAGTTTTCCCCCGTGCCGAACTAGGCTAGTATTATGGAGTTACATTTTTGCTGGACTAATGAGTCTATGCATAGTCCAATCAAAATCACGCACTGAAATCAATATCCGGTTCGTAAACTGTCGTGGATTATTTTATGTGACATCATTCTTCCCAGTTCAACATCGCGCTGATGTAATCCTTTGCCTCTCTCACTGTAGCTTTACCCAGCATGCATTGTGATCGAAGTGAAGCAGGATGGGAGTGCACGGAAGTTGATTGTGGTGCGGTCGTCCCTCGTTGTGGTCAATCAGCTGGACTGTCCACTGCAGGTTAGGATGACCAGCACGGATGAGACAGGTAAGGAAGATCTACGATGTTTGTCTGAGGCAGTTGGTCCAAAGTTCTATCACTCTTCTTTAAGTTTGAAATCATTTATTAATACATTTAGCTTCATAAGGTGAGATTTATTGTCTTTTGAAAAGATTTTAAGTGTCAAAAACCCATTTTATTTTTGAATTTTAAATAAATAATTGTTGCAATCCAAATGTTCATCTTTTGCTTTCTTAACTTTCTCAGCAAGACCCATCACTGAGTAGTGCATGTATATATTAAGTTTCTTGTCAAATTGCCTTAGATATTCACTCAAAGGCAAAAGTAACTCTCATGTTTTTTGTCAGGATGGTGGGTAGCCTAGTGATTAAGGTGTTTAGTTGTTCACTCAGAAGACATGGGTTTGATTCCCCACATGAGTGTAATATGTGGATCCTATACCTGTGTCCACATGCGGCTGTAGTATAGCTCATAGTCATTCATTCTAATTTATTGTTATATACATTTAACCTAAAATTCTGTAACTTTTGCCTTTGAGTGTATCTGTGATAAACTCCACTGAACAATTCAAATTTTGAGTTGACAAAATTTCAGAGGTGACATCCTATGCTCTTTCTGCATATAGACATGCATTGTCCGCCACTGAACCTACAGGTTAGCACTCTTGTTGGCTGCATGACAGCATGTAGTTCAGTGAAACACACCTAGGTCCACAGTAGGGCTGAATATACAGGGAGAGTTCACCCCACCTATACCCCACCCCCACCCCCCACACACAATGACAGCATGTGGTTCGGTGAAACACACCTAGGTCCAAAGTAGGGCTGAATATATAGGGAGAGTTCACCCCACCCCCACACACACACACACAATGACAGCATGTAGTTCAGTGAAACACACCTAGGTCCAAAGTAGGGCTGAATATATAGGGAGAGTTCACCCCACCCCCCACCCCCACACACACCCACACCCCACACACAATGACAGCATGTAGTTCAGTGAAACACACCTAGGTCCAAAGTAGGGCTGAATATACAGGGAGAGTTCACCCCACCCCCCACACACAATGACAGCATGTAGTTCAGTGAAACACACCTAGGTCCAAAGTAGGGCTGAATATATAGGGAGAGTTCACCCCACCCCCACCCCCCACACACAATGACAGCATGTAGTTCAGTGAAACACACCTAGGTCCAAAGTAGGGCTGAATATATAGGGAGAGTTCACCCCAGGTTATAGCTTATAGGGATGACTAGCCCTTATAGTACTGACATATTAACACCACCACCCTGTCTGAAAGGCATGACAATTTTCTTGCTCTAATGATAGATACCCTTAACATCAGACAAACTGACTCTGACTAGTGCCAAGTTACATGTCTGTAGTACCCTGTTTTTGAAGTGATGTTATTTGTGTAATATATATGTGTGTGTGTGTAGATTATGTATTTGAAAACATTACTACAGAAGTATAACAATGATTACCAATAGCACCTACAGTCTAATGTAATGTAATGTAATTGGAAACAATATTCTTTTTGTCTGCCTTACAGCACTTTAACATGATGGTCAGCTCACTAATGTTATAAGTGATTTGTATATTACGAGATTTATGTCTATCAAATCATGAAATAATCCTCATTTAACCCTGATGGTTATGAACACATAGCAGAGCCATAAGCATGGTGGTGATTTAATGTGGATGATTCCTGCTCCAGGCTCCAAGTCTATGACCCTGCAGCGGAATGTCCCCACCCCGGTGCCCCTGCCCCAGGTGTACTGGACGCTGAAGGCTCGGCCGGCGGAGTGGCCAGTAGACTACTGTGACCGTCCCCTACACTGGCGACAGGTCATCAAGGCCGGGGAGTTCAGTGATGGCATTCGAGAGTGTAAGAGCAACGATGGTGCTGGGGAAATGTACAGGTGGGTGGAGCTAGTTGTGATAATTTGTCCGTAGCTGATGGTTGTTTCCGAAATCTGTTGCTATTAATCCATGTTGAATAAGTGTAATGGGAACAGGAATAAAACATGTTGCCATACATGATGATTAAGTTGCTGTCAGTCCTCTTCATCAAAAACAGAATGGAAGAAAGTAACAAGATATTACTTCCTGTTGACCCTGCGACACAGATTGAGTAAGACACAAGGTATCCGTCTTTATCCGCCCTAGTGCTACCAGGAGACCATAGGTCTCTAGTCAGGCCTCAAAGTTTAAATTTTATCCAAGTAGCCATATGGCTACAAGCACTTTTTTCCAGGTAGCCAGTGGTAATTAAAATCAAGAAGCCAATATTGTAGGTAGCCAAAAGCATTTGAAATTATCTTTTATCAAATAACTATTATAATATGTACAAGTCATAGCACTGTAGGAAACTGTACTTGATTTTTGGTATTTGTGACTCAAACAATAATGCAATTTATGTTACTAGATTATTTAGGTATATCCTTGATTATCCAATGAGCATTGTCAACTGAAATAAAATGCTAATTACATTCTTGTTTCCCAGTTGTATTCCCGAACAATAAATGTTTCTTATTCTTGACTCCCAATGGTGATTCCCTGACAGAATAGGTCTCCATGAAGTGCCCATGCTTCACCTGAAGTAGGGAGACCCGTGAACATCCGGGGTAGAATAGGTCTTCAGCAACCAATGCTTGCTGTAAAAGGCGACTATGCTTGTCGTAAGAGGCAACTAACGGGATCGGATGGTCTGACTCTTAACTTGGTTGATGCATGTCATCAATCCAAATTGTGTGAATCGGTGCTCATGATATCAATCACTGGATTGTCTGGTGAAGACTCGATTATTTACAGATCGCTGTCATATAGCTGGAATATTGCTGAGTGTGGCATTAAACAATAAACCAACCAACCTGAAGTAGTGACACTGCTTGTTGTAAGGTGTTGATCATGTTACCAAAACAGCACTGGCGATGAATACAATTTAAATAAATGACCTCAAGGAAAACCAACTATTAATTGTGATTTCATTATGGTGTGATCACCATACTTCAGCTTATTCTATCAGCCACAGGTTGATATTGGTGATTTTAGTACAAATAGCCATCCTAGATTCTCTATGAATCTGTGTCCTTCCCAGGTTCTGTGTGTCAGTGCGGAGGGAGCTGTACCCCGAAGTGATCACCCTGGAGAATGGTAGCACCTCCACCCCCTCCCTGCCCGGCCACACCATCACCCTGGTGCCCCCCCTCACCATCACCAACCTGCTGCCCCTGGAGATGCACTACTACCTGAAGAAGACCGACATCTCGGGGAACCTCAAGCCGGGAAAGTCAGCAGCACTGCATGGGGTGAGATTATTACAACTCATGTTCATTATTAAGCTTGTAAGGCATGGGGGCGTTGTCGTTACCCTTATGTTAAAACTTGAAGATTTAGATGGCCCCTGGGTTCAAATACTATAGCAGCGTGTCTCAAGAACCCCAAGACCCCCCTCTTAATTGCAAACACTATAACTCATCAGCATGACAGTGTTAGAGTGAGTGAGTGAGTGGTTTTATGCAGCTTTTATCAATATTCTAGTAGTATCACGGCGGGGAACACCAGAAATGGGCTTCACACATTGTACCCATGTGGGGAATCGAACCTGGTCTTCAGCGTGACGAGCGAATGCTTTAACCACTAGGCTACCCCACTGCCCCAGTGTTAAGTGAAACAATGTTCTTGTGATCTGTGTTTCAACAAGTTGGCAGTGCCTCAACTAATGATGCTCTAATAGTGTATACAGTCAGCGGGGCATTGCTCGATGAGGCATTGCAGGTCTTACAGTAGCCCTCTACCTTCAGAATATACTCCAGATGTGTCTCTTCCCCCTATCACATATGACTCTCTGGCTCTCTGCCCTATTGCCCTATATGTCCCTCTATGTCCCTCTATGTCCCTCTATGTCTACATCTCTGTACCCAGTGAAATATGCCCAAAATGTGCCTCACTGCCATATGAAACGTGGACAGAAGGATTCGAACCAAGCCAAAACATTGAAAGCATTCGAGCGAACACACCACTTGTTCAGGTGTGGTGTTGTTCAGGTTCTGAACAGCTGCATGTGCACACCGGTGGCATGCGCAAAGGCATGCGTCAGAGAAATCTCTCCCTTGGCTTGCACAAAGGCATGCGTCAGAGAAATCTCTCCCTTGGCTTGCACAAAGGCATGCGTCAGAGAAATCTCTCCCTTGGCTTGCACAAAGGCATGCATCAGAGAAATCTCTCCCTTGGCTTGCACAAAGGCATGCGTCAGAGAAATCTCTCCCTTGGTTTGTCACTTTATAGTCATGCTTTGATAGAGACCTTCCTCTAACAGTGTCAAATCAGGGCACAATTGCATAAAATGTTTAAAGTCAAATAAGGACTTTAATAAAGCCAAATAATGTTTTTTATGTTTGTCAAATAAGGCGTAAAAACATAGTCAAATATGGACTAAAAGATTATTAAATAAGGACTAAGGACTTATTGTTGTAATTATTTTAGAAATTGTTAGTTAATATAAATATGGTGTAAATTTGAGTTTCATGCTGCATATCAAAACATGTCTGCCATGTCCCCCCCCCCAGGCTGACCTGCGCCATGACCTGCTGCTGGGCGTGCACCTGGAGAACCTCCCCCAGTGCAAGGAGCTGACCATCCCCCCCAGCACCACCAAGTACAGAGTCAAGCTGCGCGTCTACGACGACAAGAAGAGGCTGCTGGAGCTAATCCTCAGGATCAAGTCTGCCAGAGGAGGATCTCTGCAGGTAAGCCAGCATACAGCGCCCTCACTTGCTATTGTCAGCTTGGAATCCTTGTACATCAGGGCCCTGTCCACAAAGTAATCGTAACGCCGAGGTGATCGTAACTCCCATACTTTAAGATAGACTTACGATAGTTGTAGCGCTAAGATCGCTTTGTGGAACGGGGACCAGGACTATAGTAAGGAATTCAGATCAGAATAGTTCCTCCTTACCCCAAGCTTGTTGTGGAACCCGAATAATGAGGCCCATGAAGATACAGATAGAGCAGAGGTCTTAAGCAACCCATGCTTGCAGTAAGAGGCGACTATGCTTGTAAGAGGCAACTTACGAGGTCGGATGGTCAGGCTCACCGACTTGGTTGAAGCATGTCATCGTATCCCAATTGCGTGGGTCGATGCTTATGACGTCAATCACTGTTTTTTCTGGTCCAGACCCGATTATTTACAGATCGCCATCACATGGCTGGAATATTGCTGAGTGCGGCGTTAAACAACAAACCAGACAACAAGTTAATGCTTGAAAATGTATCTACACAATTGCCTCTTAAATGTGAGTAATTGTGCACATGTTATAAAAAGTGTTGCCTGCCTCACTCATGCCTGAAACTGATGACCATGACATTGAATCCTAGTTTGTTGATTATGATCCTTAAGTGTGTTCACTGAAACACTGATATAGTGTAAAGCCCAATTCACTCGCTTACTGTCATACGTTTAAAATACCACATGGAGAATCTCCTATTGCCTGTGGTGACTTTGTGTTGTGAATGTCCAGCTGAGTCTGCAGGCCCCGTACTGGCTGGTGAACAAGTCCGGTCTGCCGCTGATATTCCGACAGGACAGTGCTCGGGCTGAGGCGGCCGGACAGCTGGAGGAGCATGAACTGGCTCGCAGTGTCACCCCACTTCTCTTCAGCTTCTCGGACAAGGAGGCTCCCAATCTGTGAGTTGCTGTGTTTCAAACAAGTTACTACCTTCCGCCACTGTGGTTGTAGGAATAGGTGCTGTCTGTCTGTCTTGCTTTCCACATCTGACATTGCTAGCAGGATAAAGGAAACTTTGCATTTGGCAATTTACAGAGTTATGTCCCTTGATACTTTCTTTGTTTAAAGGCAAGTAAAGATATAAAAAAATTGTTGCAAATATCAATTTTCCTGGATGCATTTAGTCAATTACTGAGTAAAATTCATAATATTTGTAGAAAGTATTTAAATGTCCAAGTAAAAGTGAAGAAATCACATGCTCCATAATCGGCTGTCAAAACAAACCTATTTGAGGACATGGCTTTCTGCTACCGGCGTAGCGGTGACCACTGTTTTCATTGGCTGATATGTTTGCAATTTTATCTATGTTGTGATTCTTAGCTGTTTCTGTTAATCCTACTGTAACAATGTCCCTAAATCCTGCCGGGTATCATGCAGGAAGCAAAAGCACTGTAAGTCCCCGTGATTCCCAGTTAGGTAGTCTAGCTTTGGTTGCTTGTGGTCTATAGCCTGGTTTTAATTTATATGAACTAATTAACTGAAAAATTATTTGTTTTAATATTGCTTAGGTTTGTTTTATATCTAAACTGATATTTACCTTACTGTTTTACTGTCCTTCATCGACAGGTCTTTAATAATAGTAACTACCTTGTTCTCATCGCGATATGGCTGCAGTATTGTTGATGAGATGTCAAATGTTAACTCACTCACTCACTCTACAATGTCCCAGTTCACTCATAGCACTCACTACAGACCTAGATCTGGACTGGGGGCCGTGACCATGGCGTTACTCTGTGGCAAATTGCTCTGTCACAGATATTAATTTTATACGTATGACTATCCTGTGTCCCCTTTTAAGGAGTTGAGCTGATAGTGTGTTGAGTCCATCTTCCAGCACAGTGTTTAATTCTGTCATCAGCTTCAGTGAATGGTAATAAGTAGCAGCCTTAAAATCTGACCTGCTTCCTGGAAAGCATGTACATATTTTGTTTAACTGATTGTTGTTTGAGTAGCAGGGACCATGGATGGCCCAGTTGTGTTGAACAACAGCAATTTTCTGTGTAGAGTCGCTCTCCTTAAGGCATTCCATGACCTTGTGAGGGGGCAGGGGTGGCCCAGTCGTCTAAGGCGCTGCAATTCGCTGTGCAGAGTTGTGTCCCTTGGGCACGCCAGAAACCTATGATTGTGGGTTTGAATCTCGGTTCGCCCCAATTATGTTTCTAGTTTTGTCAGCACCATACCAGTGCTCGTGGGTTTCAGGGAAGTGGTAAACATCTAAGACCTGCATCACTTCAGGCTTTCCTACCACATTAAGCTGACATGCCGTGATATAACAGGAATACTGTTAAAAGTAGCATGAAACCTAACTCACTCACTCACCATGACCTTGTGTAGGGTTTTAGGTTTAGGATTTGTTATACTGGAACAAAAATTGTTTTCTAATAATTTCAGGTGCACCATGAGAGTTGGCAAATCTGTCCATGGAGAGAATGCTCTCCCACAGTGGTAAGAAATGATGCTGTCAGGTATAAGGCTACCGGTACTATACCCATATCAGGTATTGATTTTGTAACCACGACCCATGAAGATCCGGTACATGCTTGCTGTAAGAGGCGACTAAAGGGATTGGGTGGTCAGGCTCGCTGACTTGGTTGATGCATGTCATAGTATCCCAATTATCTAAGATCGATGCTCACTAGGTTATCTGGACCAGACTCGATTATTTACAGACCCATGTCATATAGCTGGAATATTGCTGAGTGCAGCGTTACTAACAAACAAATATTGTGACCACATGAAAACTTCCTGGTCTCCAGGGGCAGAGGGGTAGCCTGGTGGTAAGAGCATTGGTTCGTCTGTACCAAGGTTTGATACAAAGACAAAGAGTTTTTGTTTTAAACAAGCAATTTTACAGGATAATTTTATAACTTTTGATGTAAAACAAACAAGAATGCAATTTTAATTTGGAAAATACCCTTAGTGGATTCCTGGTCAGAATAGGCCCTCAATAACATGATTGGGCGGACAGGCATGTTGACTCAGACCAGGTGGCTCAGGCTTGTTATCATTATGCCCCACAGGTGTAGAACACTTCGTCTCTCCCCAGTTCCCAAGCATCACGCAGACTGGCGCAGACTTGGTTATATACATGTTGTTGTGATAAAGCTGGAATATTGCTGACTCGATCGGCTTTAAGCAACAAGCACTCTCACACATTTGGGATAGAAAGAATTAATCCTGATATTTATTGTATTTGTTAATGACTTACAGTTAAATAAGAACATTTTCCATGCAAGTTTCCATGCAGCATGGAAGTGTTCCAATATGTCTGTGCAGGGATTTTTCTGGGAAGGACCCTTGGACTTTGGCCCATAAATCTAAAAAAAGGCCCACATTTTCAAAAGCAGTGGGACTGTATTATATAAACATCTCAAAGAAATTGTTCGAAATTTCGGCTAACAATGCTAAGTTGGAAAATTCCCAGAATGATCCCTGTCTGTGTTTGACACTTTGACAACATTTCCTTGTGAAGGTGTAAGCGTTTCTCCCTGGAGCGAGGGATCGGCATGAGACAGCTCCACATCGTGCCACGACACAGCAACAGACCTGACTGGTTAGTAGATCTGCAAACCCAGGCCCGACAGCGCTTCTTATTAGCCATTCCTAACAGCATTCAGTAAGTGTCGTACAACTAACTCTGCTTGCAGCCATTTTGGCCAGCATTCATCTGGACGAAGGATTACCTCCCACTCTAGGGAATAGATACTTCTCTGTGGTCTTGGGAATGGCAAGCTTTTCTATTGCATATATTTCTATTGAATAACAAAGCTATTTTTTAATAGAAGAATAATATTTTAATGTTATATTTAATGACTTTTTTCATCAAGTATTTTTCTTCATCAATATTTTTTCCTTTGATTACTCTTAAGTGAGAACTATAAAGATAATATTTATGTTTAAATCTGAAGAATAATATTTGCTTTCATAATTGTCGAAACTCTTATCTGTAAGTGAAGGTCTTGCTACTAGTGTACGGGTAGGGAATTAGGATATTACCTATTGTGTAAATTGTGAGAATTTGTAAATGGTAAGAGTTGTCAGATGCTTCCATGTTTTTTGTATTTTTTGTTGTGGTGCCTCCTGTTTTAGATTCTTTTTTAAATTCTTTTTTTAACTCTTTCTTAATACTTTGTTATATTCTTTCTTGTGTTCTTTCTTTATATTCTTGTTTTTTTCTATTATCTGTGTACTTATTTAACTGTCGGACATAGAAAAACAATTTATTATTTTATTTGAGACATGTGACAATAAACTAATACTTCACATCATACAACTTGGTTGCCAAGCATTAAGTACCTAGTTATTGTACTACCCCGGAATAACATGTACATGTAGATCATTCTGTTGTTTGGTTTGTTTACTTGTGAGTTTAATGTGTGTTTGTAGTAGAGGCTTTCATAATGAAACTAAATTACAATAATTATTTTTGGTAGTTAGTAGTGTATACTAGGGATATTAATTTGTTGCCTATTACTATTAAATAATTAAATAATAAATCCTTGATAATTGACAGTGGTGATTCGCGGTAAGATCAGAATTAATAACTCTGCATATTTTGAATAAACTACAAAGAATCATTTGAACTCTTTTAAAAAATCTGCATGTAATAGGGGCCATTAGTTGTGTCCCTTTGTCGTGGCAGAATCCAGTGATCATGGGTTTGATTCCAAGATTCACCCTGATTATAATGATTGGTTTGTTAGCACCTTACCCATGCTCTTGGGTATCACCACATGTTGTACTGGCATAGACTCTGGGCTTTCCTCCCACATGAAGCTGACATACCTCAGTAAGAATATGACAGCCAGCCTCTACTCACAATAAATACCTTTACAGTTGAACCCCGTTATCTTGAATCAAGGGGGACCATGTTTTAGCTTTGTGATATCCGGACATCAAGGTAACAAGCATGAACATTATATAATATTGCTGTCGGCACTGGAGAATAGGTTCAAGATATGGTATGTTCGAGATGACAGGGTTTAAGATAATAAGGTTCGACTGTATGTGGTTCTTAAGTCGGAAGCTGAATCAAATACTTCGTAGGGATATACAAAACTGATAGGGACCTTAGGTAACTTCAGGGCCCTGTTCCTCAGAGCGATGTTAGGGATCAACTGTCATAAACCTATGTTAAAGTATGTGACTTACAATCACCTTTGCGCTAAGATTGCTTTGTGGAATGGGGCCCTGGTCGTAACAAAAAAAAAGGTCTTCTACTCACCAGTAATTTTTGACAATAGAATTGACTTGAGTCTGTTTGGGCAACAGCTGTGATGCGTTAGAAGGCCTAGTGGTCTAAGGTGCCACAATCCTCTGTGCAGAGTTGTGTCCCTTAGCTGCATCAGGATTGGCTTGTGTGGGGTTTGGGCCCCAGTTTTGCCCTTGATCCTTGGCCTATCAGCACCATTCATGGAGGCTTCCTCCATGTGGTAAATGCGTGTTGCCTACTTCATGTTCCGTTTCCTGTTAGTGACACATCAAGATATAGCTGATATAACTGTTTGATTGGCATTCTAGAAGATGGTGAGTAAATAAGAAAACGTATAACTTCATGGACAACAGCTTCTGGTTTATTGCATGTAGCGACATTGCAATATAGATTCTCACACTGTTATCAAGGTAGAGTGAATAAAAACTCTTATTGATTCTCTTGCCTACCACCATATCCTCAGATTTGGATGGATGTGCTGTGTTTAAGCATGATACACATGTATCAGAGTTGTAAGGATATAAAGAACACCAGTCATATCAATATATTTGTAAAGATTAAGGCCAGTCCTATTTAATTACTTGATTTTTTTTTCTTCAGATTTTTATGCTATAAATACCTAAAGGCAAGAGGGCCAAAAAATAAAAATCAATAAAAATCTATTTTTAAAAACAAATCTCTAAATTTACCATATTTTTTTACCTTTATGGATTTTGGGGTGGAATGAAGTGGTGAAATAGTAATGTTTAGTTTTATGTGAAGTTTTAGCTGGGGCTTGAAGAAACAGTGAAAATGGATGTTGGATTTTTACGAGTGGATGAGTGATGAAAATTAAAAGTGTATCTGTAAAACATGTAATTAAATTGGTCTTGCCAATTGCCATGCTGTATTGTACTGATCCTTCTTTCTCCTCTCCCCCATGCTGACAGTGACCCCCTCTGTCTGCCTCACTCCGTCTCTCAAACCACCAGGTACACCAGCCACACACCAACACTAGTGTAGCTCTCAACGTATGTAGCCCTAAGCTTAAAACATGTTGGCGGTTATGAATATATGATCTAGGTGTACTCGTCATTTGTCTTCATCTTTACTACATGTATTTAGTGATTCTGCTTGTTGAACATTGCAGCTCATAGACAGTGTTTAAGATAACCACCTACCCGACCTATTTTACTGATGGACGGTTGGTTTTGAAACTTTGCAAGCCTGATGGTCTGGGGTTACTAAGTTGACAATCCACCAATTTATTGTTATTTTCTGAGAAGTAACATCAAACAGTACTATTCTTATGTTTAGCCTTTTGTTACCTTTGTTCGTTAGTCTAGAAAATTCTGGACTAGCAACATTTTATCTGGTCTGGTAACTTTGCAAAGTTTCCAGTCCAGTTGTCGGACTTAAATTTGGGTGTATTTTGACACTGTTGTAGATTATTATAGATATGGTTTACTGAGGAGTGTGCTCAGTTGGGTAAAGAGAAACACAGTCACTGTATCACTACTGGAGGCAAACCTGGGCAGCGACATGCCCTGTGCAGTGAAATATTGTTCTCAAAGATGTCTTAAAGAATGACAGGGCTACATACGTTGATTGCAGTAGTAGCAGCATCTGTTATCCTCAGTTGTCTTCATTTACAGGTAAAGTTGCAAGATCACAGCATTGTTCCATTAAGCAAACTAAGCACCATGACAATTGTATCTCCCATACTTAACATTCACTTACAATTGGAGCACAAAGAGGTTTTATAGAGACAAAGTTCCCAAAATAAAAATAGAAGATACTGGGCATTGATATGCCCCAACATGGTGATTCACTAAAAATAGAATATACCAGCTAGATTGTCAAGAATCCTGTTCATGTTTATGACAATCTCTGTACACACAAAATTGAGAGTTGTTTCTTCATCGTCATGAAAGGATTAGCGTTTTGACGATAATAATTCTCTTAGACCTTCTAAGAATCTATCCAAGTCTTGTCTTGCACCTTTAGTTCCAACACTGATATTATTATGCTTGATGACACCAAACATTGTTGGTTTTCACAAGACTTCTTGTTTCATTTTTGCCAGATTCTTTTATTTTATCGTCTCTTTCTTATGCATCTCCTAATTTTGTTGTATTTATGTTGTTCTTGTATTCAGTGATGAAATATGAATGCATATTTTACTTCTCTGGTAAAAGGCATGGACATCTGGCATGAGACTGTGTTATACATAGAACTAAATGTACATAGCTGGTGTGCAAGTAGGTGCTTGCTCTCGTGACGGGAATGTGAAAGTACTATATTGATACAACCATACAGCATTAAGCATTTCTTCCTTGATAGGCATTTAGAAGTTGGAGTACTAAGTAAGGATAAGAATTTATGGAGGAACAGCTTCTTTATTACAATTAAGAGCGACGTTTCAGTGTAGGTTCTAACACCGTCACTTGCTTGATAACGGTGTTAGAACCTACACCAAAACGTCGCTCTTAATTGTAATAAAGAAATTGTTCATCCATAAGTTCTTATCCTTACTTAGCATTAAGCATGTTACATCCCCTGTTCTTGGTACTCTGACTTGTAGGGCTGGGACAGGTAACTCAGGTACCCGGGTCGGGTGGGTACTGAGTAAGCCCGGGAACCCACAGGACGACCCCGGACCCATGGTTAGTCACGTGATCATATTGTTTCATGGCAAAAGTTATCTAGAACTCTATGGTTACACTATAAGTGATAAATGTTCACATTTCTTTCTGACTTTGCACACATTCCTTCTGACTTTATATGTTTGCATAATGATAAAACATCAGTCAACGTCAATGTATGCATGACCAGATCGATTTATACGTGTATCTAAATTTATTTTGACAGGAGTACGGTCAAACTATTCCCAATCGGACATGTTTTACCTATCTCTTGAGATCTACAGTAGGTACCTGGGTAGGGTCGGGTAATTGGGGGTTGGGTACCCGGGTAGTAAATTTGGACTCGTCCCAGCCCTACTGACCTGATACCAGAGCACTTCTCTCCTCTCCTGTGATCAATTAGAGAGAAGGCTATGTTAAAAGACGTGCTATGTTTACCATTTCATTGGTCCTTTGACTCAGGAAGCAGAGGCTTTGTATAACTTTTATTTGATAATTCTAAACTTGTTATGTACCTCGCTGATCCAGTTTGCTATAACTGATAAGGCACAGCATGTGATCAATCAAAGCATTTGATTGTCATAATTCTTCATGGCTTGTGCATTGATCAAGGGTTCAAATCCCAGTTCACCATGATAATGTTTGTAGTTTTGTCAGCACCATACCCATGGGTTTCAGCAAATTAGTAAATGCCTTAGACATGCATTTCTTCTGGCTTTCCTCCCACATCAAGCTGACACAGTTGTTTGACTGGAAACAATTGTAAATCACTCCTTACTCATGGCAATGATACAATAAAAAAATGGTATAAAATAATTTCTGTCCTGGGTTTCAGAACACATTTATACATTTAAAGGAATTAGTCCGTGTCATTTCTTGTGAGTATTTTGAATGTTTACCTAAGATTCATCCCGTTTACTTCACGTTTTCGTCCTGTGTGTTGTTGCAGGGTGTACAACATCGGTATTGAAGTGAGCCCCGGCCGTGGGAACTACCGAGACACCAACATTGTAACCTTTGCTCCTAGATACGTCATTGACAACCAGTCACAGAGAACGCTGGCCATTGCCCAGAAACACTACACAGAGAAACAGGTAGGTCATACTTCTTATTGCTGACGGGGCGCTGGGGTAGCCTAGTGGTTGCAGCATTCACTCATTACGCCAAGGGCTTGGGTTCAATTCCAAAGTTCATGGACACAGTGCGTGAAGCAGGTTTTTTGTGATATTTTACTAGAAAGTTTGTTGAAAGCAGTATAACACCAGACTCACTCGCTAACTCACTCACTCACTCACTCAATCAGTCAGTCAGTCAGTCAGTCAGTCAGTCAGTCAGTCAGTCAGTCAGTCAGTCAATCCATTAGGATACTTTGAAAACATAGTTCAGATTTTCAGGTTATTTACCCCAGGTCATATGTGTTTTTATGACACGTTGCCCTCTGAGCCATAAATGTATACCGGCAATATGATTTGTTGACTCTTAGATGCTGTAAGAGCAGATGAAGCTTCAGAACAATGATTTGATTTAACTGATTGGCTTACGAGCCTAAGATTCGGTGTAATATTATCTCCTCTCCCACGCTCAGATATAGTGTAAATATATACTAATTTGATAAGAATAATAGATCATAAATATATTGCATTATTATTATTCAGTTGAGCTCGGAGGAGTACTTGACCGCCCTGCCCAGCTGCAAGCTGCCGTTCCACTGGCCGCGCCAGGACCTTGACCAGCTGCTGTGTGTCCTCATGCTGGACACTGGGGGCTGCAACTGGTCAGGGGGCTTCCGGATCGACAAGGTCAACTCTTTCCACATCAACATGAGGTGTGTCACGGACGCGTTTCTTGTGTTACTATCAGTTTAAGTATTCACATTTTGATATGACTTCTAACCTTCATGAGCTCCATCTATTATTTGGAAAGAGGGTTTTTGTGTAGGGTGTAATGCTTATATCTTTCGGTGCATCACAATATTCTGTGCCATCATATATGAGCATCGTATCAAATGGTCAGGGATCGGTACTGACAATCAAGTGCATATATGATGATAACATGCATATGCCAAGTGTTGATATTTCAGTTATAGTATTGTGTGTCATAATACCTACATGACCTATAATAACTACCTAACCTATAATAATTGCCAAACCATCAACACATGTTCCCTATGTCAACAATGTATCGTTACAGCTGTTGCAAGAATTTTGTCAAAAAGAAACACCTCCAGTAATTTAGACTAGTTATTGTCCTCACTACAGGCCTTGGCCAATCATCTGAGGCACCACAGTTCTCAATACAGAGTTGAGTCCCTTGGACACACCAGGAACCTATGAGTGTGGGTTCGAATCCTGTGTCCCCCTGATTATGATCACTCACTCACTCACTCACTCACTCACTCACTGACACACTCACTCACTCACTCACTCACTCACTCACTCACTCACTCACTCACTCCACTCACTCACTCACTGACACACTCACTCACTCCACTCCACTCCACTCCACTCCACTCCACTCCACTCCACTCCACTCCACTCACTCACTCATTCACTCTTGTGTATCCCCGTGGGTTGTAGGGATGGTCAGGGAGACTGCCTGCTGCTGAAGGTGGAGGTTGTCCTCCAGGGACCGACATTCTTCATCATGTTTGCCGATGCTGACATCCAGCCACCCCCGTTCCGACTAGACAACCTGTCAGAGGTGGGTACAGACAACATCAGTAGTTGGTGTTCAGATGCAGAGGTGAGCTATGTTTCCTTGAGAAAGCCCTGCGAAGAATTCAGTGACACAACAGTTGGAGTACCTCATGCCTTTAGAAGTTGTCATTTTGGGATATGATTGAGGATTCAGAGTAGGCATATTACTTGGATGGATGAGCGCCAAGTGAAGACCTGCAGCCTTCACATAGCTGATCAGATGTCCGGGTTAGACCAGGTCCACAGCAACCTATGATTGTCATAGAAGCAATGTAATAAATCGGGTGGTCAGGTCCTGTGGCAGTTGATTGTGTGTCATAGTACCCTAAATGTGTGGTTCGCTGCTCACAATATCAACCACCAGTTTGTCGGGTCTACTCAATATTTACCTGGTGCAGTTATTTACCTGGAGAATTAAACAATGTTCACTCACTCACCTTGTGAAGACCTGAGTCGTCAGCATGGTTCATCATTGGATCATGAGGTCAGTCTTGGTTTTTGTCTGGATTTGACTGAAACTTTTTGTTTTTTTCATAGGTCCCTGTGTATTTCAACCAAGCAAAAACAAACCAAGCCAAGTTCCGCACCCTCCTGAAGCCACATTCCAGCAGTAAGTTGTCTGCAGTCATTTCAATGTTTTTTAATTTTATGACTGAGAATTTCTGTTTTATCAAGAAAACAATTCAGGAACCATTGCAAAGTACAGAAGTTTTCAGGCTTCGAAATCCATTTTTCAACAAGTCAGATTGCAGCACACTAACTTGTTTTTAACAATCCCAGAGGACACACATGGAAACAAAAGCTTATAGGACAATTTCCATCTTTAGTCTTACTGATTGAAAAAATAGAAATTGATAAAGTTTTTGTGTTGGGTCTGAATAAGGTATACCTTCTTCTGAAGACCGCCTCCGTGGTCTAGTGGTAGAGCGTCCGCCCAGAGAGCAGAAGGTCTGGGGTTCGATCCCCAGCCGCGTCATACCAAAAGACGTTAAAAGATGGTACTTGTTGTTACCCTGTCTGGCGCTCGGCATTAAGGGGCTAAAACAAGGACTGGATGGCTCGGAGTCAGTATACTGTGTCTGTGTGGCGTATTTATGTTAAACTGTGGCGTGGTATCTCAGTGAGCTAGCACTGTAAATCGGCATCAGTCCGGACTAGTACAAGCAGCCACACAAACACACACTCATACATGCACGTCGCTATATAAGTGCAATAATCTTGGACATCGCTGCCGTTGGATGTTAAACCCCATTTCACCTCACCTCACCTCACCTTCTTCTGACAGTGTCGTATGCATGGGATGAGCCAACTCTGGATCCGTTCCTGACGCTGCAGATCCACGGCGGCCAGTCTGCCGACTACAACATGAACAAGCTGGAGGAGGAACATCAGCTGTGTTACGAGAACTTCCTCTATCTGGCAGTCACAAACACCTTCGACATGTAAGATATGATTTACATGAGGGGTGCCATATTAGGGCCTCATTTAGAAATGATCTTAGAGATGCGACCATCATAACTCCCATACTCTAACGTCACTGGTTTTCTGGACAGAGAAAGCTACATCCTATATGCTATAACATTTAGACCAGATGCAAATAATAATGTGTCGTATGGGACTGAAAAAGGTATGGCTGATTGAATCATTAAAACTACATATGGTATGCACTTAACTGTCATTTCTATTCTGATTTTAAAAAAATCAACATTCTTCTCTGAACTGTCTTGACAGTGTCATGTGCAATGCTTTGATGTCGTCAGCTTTGTGTGAAGTCCAGTTTAGCATATCATGTCACAGCGTACATAGACATCGAGTAGATCACTGTGGTTACCTTCATGTCTGGGATCGCCCATAATATTCTCAAGAGTCTCCAGGACTCACAGGTAGATGAGACCAAGGTACATGCCTGCTAATATAGACTAAGATCACTTTTCGAACACAAGGAACAGAATGTTTCCCCCTATCTGGTACTTGGTCCATTGTTAGCTCACCTGGTCCGAAGGACCAAGGTGAGCTTATGCCATACCGTGGCGTCCGTTGTCCGTCCTCCGTCTGTCGTCCGTACATCAACATTTTTTTCAAACGACTTCTTCTGAACCACCTATTGGAAATTAATGAAGCATCCCTAGGTGGTGGGGATTAAAAATTTACAAATGGTAGCGCTGACCCCCCAGGGGACTGAGGGCCGGGGCCAAATAGGAGTAATTTGGCTATATTGCTTTTAACGACTTCTTCTATGGAACTAAGAGATAGATATCAACCATGTTTGGTTGGAAGCATTCTCTGAGGGTGAGGATTCAAAATTGTATAAATGGAGGGGGCTGAGGGGCTGGGCCAAATAGGGGTAATTTGGTTATGTTGCTTTAAACGACTTCTTCTCTGGAACTAAGGATAGATATCGACCATATATGGTTGGAAGCATTCATTGTGGTGAGGATTCAAATTGGAGAAATGGAGGGGCTGAAACCCACATGATCCTCGGTTGTCTTACCAGACTTGTTGACAAGGATACCATGCTTGTCTTGCAGGAATTGGAAGGGTCCGGAGACACACCTGGTCATCGACTGTGTCCATAACAACAATCTCGTCTTCAAGAGACAGGTGAGTGTATTTGTTCTGTTGATACAGAACTGATACCTGTTCATACTTTGTCACTCTTAGACCTCTTGTTCTACTGAAGGGCAGCAGGGTAGCCTCTTGGTTAAAACGTTTCCATGTCTCCTAGACAACCTGGTTTGGTTCCTGTCACTGGTACCATGTGTGAAATCCATTTGTTATGACTGGAATAAAGACCTGTGTGATACCTCTCACCTACTCATGGTTTGACTGCAAGGTTGTAGACCAAATTGTTTAACCTGCGTAGTGTAGAGATGCGGTAAGGTTTTGTCAAAATGTGACCACTGACACTGCACTTCTTTAATCCAGTACGTTACTTGGTCATCTCAATTCCACACTGTTCATTGTTGTGACTGACTTCACAGGTAGAGATTGTGATGACCTGAATCGATGTCGGTCATGTGACTGTCCCAGTGCTGACTTCACAGATCGAGATTGTGATGACCTGAATCAATGTCGGCCATGTGACTGTCCCAGGGCTGACTTCACAGGTCGAGATTGTGATGACCTGAATCGGTGTCGGTCATGTGACTGTCCCAGGGCTGCATTCACAGGTCGAGATTGTGATGACCTGAATCGATGTCGGTCATGTGACTGTCCCAGGGCTGACTTCACAGATCGAGATTGTGATGACCTGAATCGATGTCGGTCATGTGACTGTCCCAGGGCTGACTTCACAGGTCGAGATTGTGATGACCTGAATCGATGTCGGTCATGTGACTGTCCCAGGGCTGCCTTCACAGGTCGAGATTGTGATGACCTGAATCGATGTCGGTCATGTGACTGTCCCAGGGCTGACTTCACAGATCGAGATTGTGATGACCTGAATCGATGTCGGTCAGGTGACTGTCCCAGGGCTGCCTTCACAGGTCGAGATTGTGATGACCTGAATCGATGTCGGCCATGTGACTGTCCCAGGGCTGCCTTCACAGGTCGAGACTGTGATAACCTGAATCGATGTCGGTCATGTGACTGTCCCAGGGCTGACTTCACAGGTCGAGATTGTGATGACCTGAATCGATGTCGGTCATGTGACTGTCCCAGGGCTGACTTCACAGGTCGAGATTGTGATGACCTGAATCGATGTCGGTCATGTGACTGTCCCAGGGCTGACTTCACAGGTCGAGATTGTGATGACCTGAATCGATGTCGGCCATGTGACTGTCCCAGGGCTGACTTCACAGGTCGAGATTGTGATGACCTGAATCGATGTCGGTCATGTGACTGTCCCAGGGCTGACTTCACAGGTCAAGATTGTGATGACCTGAATCGATGTCGGTCATGTGACTGTCCCAGGGCTGACAACACAGGTCAAGATTTTTATGACCAAAGTCTAAAACATAAGTCAGTCATATGTTACAACCAAAATGTCACAAATGTGGAAGGGATTAACACTGCAAAATTCTTTTTGTTTTTGTTTTTATTTTACCCAACCAGCATCTCTTTCATGAAGATGATTAAGCAAAAGAGTTCCTACTTATCCACAAATGTTCAGATTTTCGTCATCTTGGTCATGTATTCCCGTGTGCATGTAGGTATGGTTGCATGCCCATAAAGGCATTAAAATCTCTCACACATACCTATTACTTGTTATTTCAGGAGAACGGGAAGAGAAGTCAGTTGTGGCGTATGACAAGCTCAGGGATGCTCGAACATGAGGGGTCAATGCCACCGCGTGACCCCCAGAAGAAGTCGACGACGAAGCCCAGCCCTGGACTAGTGTTGGACATCGGGGACATCGCACCCCAGCCTGGAAGATGTGTACCACTGGTGCTGAAGAAACCGGATTTAAGGAGGAAGTCTACACAGACATGGAGGTTTACTGAGGTGTGTGTGCTCTTCTCAGTTTCTGTCCAAGTACTTGAACGCAGTGATGGTATTCAACTGCACAAGTGACACATTAATCATCTTAGTTCTATACATTTTTTAGTCGCACATGAACGCATACGTTCAGTAAAATCCTCAGGAGTAAAATTACCTGAAAGTTGCCAATCCACGCACCTTAATCCACCCCCCACATCCAAAATTCAACCACACCACCCTTCTCCCATCCAAACACCTAACCACATCTAAACACACAAACACACCCAGCTTCATATACCTGGGTCGCATTGCCTGAACTAGAGGTATTTATGATAATTGCGATGCCAGTGCCATGATCCCACCAAGAAGTGTAAATCTTCACTCACTCACCCTCCTCTTATCAGTAATAAGTGATCAGGCCAAGGCGGCCACACAAACACCCTGTGACTGGATGCTGCTGTTTGTGTTGTAGGATGGTCGACTCTGCTGCAGTGCTGGAACCCTGTGTGTCCAGTCAATAGATGGAGTCCGAGGACTGCAAGATGGTACGTATTCTGCCATATGTGAATCCTGCAAGCTGCTTGGTCTCCCAGCTAAAAGGATTTCCCTAAAAGCCTCTACAATTCAAACACTGATTTTCCTGAATAAATGGTGCAAAATAATGGTTCCTAGAATATTTTTACAAGTGGGACAGTGTACTTTGGATCTGACGAATAAAGATTAAGAGAGAGTAAAAGTAGTGTATCAGATATTTTTTTAATTTGATGCCAACATGTTCTGTATGGCATGTTAACCATGTCATAGCGCTTCAGTCAACATCCTTGTATATATTCTCTAAAAGAAAAAACACATACTTACACTTTCAGTTTTGAATGTGTTCTACAGGTTACGAACCTTTAAACCAAAAAGGGGCGGTCGGGTAGCCTAGTGGTTAAAGCGTTCGCTCGTCACACCGAAGACCCGGGTTCGATTCCCGACATGGGTACAATGTGTGAAGCCCATTTCTGATGTCCCCCGCCATGATATTGCTGGAATATTGCTAAAAGCGGCGTAAAACCATACTCACTCACTCACTCACTTTGAAAAACACGGTAGGTTTTCTTCTTGAATACATGTATACAAAGTCAAGGCTGCTTACTGAGTCTACCAGTGTGTTCATCCCGTCTCCCCAGTTAGTGTATCAACTCGTGTGTTGACTGTCACAGGTGCCATTGCTGTGCTGGGTCCCTGGAAGTCAGAGGGTGAGAGTGAGGCTTCAACGTCGACGCCGACGCCGACGCCGACCCCACCCCACATGCAGATATCTCGCAGCAAGCTCCGCCCTGGCTCGGGAGTGCTGGTCATCAGGGCGACAATGGAGGGGCCTATCCGTGTGCTGCAGATCTCTGACAGACAACAGACAGTGAGTTGTACCTCTAGGTAGCTAGGCTTCTCTGACAGACACCATACGGTGAGATGTACCTCCATGTGTCTGGCTTCTGTGACAGACAACAGATAGTGAGATGTACCTCCATGTGTCTTGGCTTCTCTGACAGACACCATACAGTGAGATGTACCTCCATGTGTCTGGCTTCTGTGACAGACAACAGACAGTGAGATGTACCTCCATGTGTCTGGGCTTCTGTGACAGACAACAGACAGTGAGATGTACCTCCATGTGTCTGGGCTTCTGTGACAGACAACAGACAGTGAGATGTACCTCCATGTGTCTGGCTTCTGTGACAGACAACAGACAGTGAGATGTACCTCCATGTGTCTTGGCTTCTGTGACAGACAACAGACAGTGAGATGTACCTCCATGTGTCTTGGCTTCTGTGACAGACAACAGACAGTGAGATGTACCTCCATGTGTCTGGCTTCTGTGACAGACAACAGACAGTGAGATGTACCTCCATGTGTCTTGGCTTCTGTGACAGACAACAGACAGTGAGATGTACCTCCATGTGTCTGGGCTTCTGTGACAGACAACAGACAGTGAGATGTACCTCCATGTGTCTGGCTTCTGTGACAGACAACAGATAGTGAGATGTACCTCCATGTGTCTTGGCTTCTGTGACAGACAACAGACAGTGAGATGTACCTCCATGTGTCTGGCTTCTGTGACAGACAACAGACAGTGAGATGTACCTCCATGTGTCTTGGCTTCTGTGACAGACAACAGACAGTGAGATGTACCTCCATGTGTCTGGGCTTCTGTGACAGACAACAGACAGTGAGATGTACCTCCATGTGTCTGGGCTTCTGTGACAGACACCATACAGTGAGATGTACCTCTGTGTCTGGGCTGCTGTGACAGACAACAGACAGTGAGATGTACCTCAATGTGTCTGGGCTTCTGTGACAGACAACAGACAGTGAGATGTACCTCCATGTGTCTGGGCTTCTGTGACAGACAACAGACAGTGAGATGTACCTCCATGTGTCTGGGCTTCTCTGACAGACAACAGACAGTGAGTTGTCCCTCTATGTGTCTGGGCTTCTGTGACAGACACCATACAGTGAGATGTACCTCCATGTGTCTGGGCTTCTGTGACAGACAACAGACAGTGAGATGTACCTCCATGTGTCTGGGCTTCTGTGACAGACAACAGACAGTGAGATGTACCTCCATGTGTCTGGGCTTCTGTGACAGACAACAGACAGTGAGATGTACCTCCATGTGTCTTGGCTTCTGTGACAGACAACAGACAGTGAGATGTACCTCCATGTGTCTGGGCTTCTGTGACAGACAACAGACAGTGAGATGTACCTCCATGTGTCTGGGCTTCTGTGACAGACAACAGACAGTGAGATGTACCTCCATGTGTCTTGGCTTCTGTGACAGACAACAGACAGTGAGATGTACCTCCATGTGTCTTGGCTTCTGTGACAGACAACAGACAGTGAGATGTACCTCTGTGTCTGGAGTTTTCTCTGAAACATTAATGAAAGAAAAAGGTTGTTTTCGTCAAGTCCGTGATAATGCCAATGCGACGTTAAATTTTGACTTCCCATTACCTGCTTTGACATTTTTGCATTATAAAATGTAGAAAAAGACTAAATTGGAAGAAAACACTGACAATTACCAATTTCTATTTTATTTTACATTTGTACAACCAAGTATTTATGAACAATGTTGTTTGACTCCAGAGTTTAACCAAGAGGACCATAGGGGAGTGGGAGGTCTACGATCACGCACAGAACGGCAAGAAGAGTCCTGGGTCACCAAAGGCAGAACTTGTGCCCAACCAGAACATTGAGGTCATTTTCAACCTTAAAGGAGGACTTGGGGTGTCTCTTGTCAACTCTGTACCTGAGGAACTTGTCTATATATCCCTCTCCAACATCACCGTGGAGATGACCTCCAGAGTTGACCTGATGACCCTGGACCTCAGTGTGGGAGAAGTTCAGGTAAACAACATCTTGTGCTACCACCTCGGTTGTGTAATATTTGTTGATGTGTGAAAAGTATCAACTGCTTCTGTCATGTTATGTAAGACTAAGCGTCAAATGATTTATGAAGGAAGAGATCAACGGTAGTTGTGATACGATTGTGGTTCATGAGATCAGCCAACTTTATGAAAGAATGAGTAACTGGAACAAAAGATTGCACTATTCAATGGTTGAAACATATGTACAAATATTTCCCTGATGTTCAGTGCTGCCTTCCTTCCAGATTGACAATCAGTTCCTGGGTGCCCAGCGGCGCGTGGTGATGTATGTGACACCAATTTCCCGCAAGGACGTTCCTGACAACACACCAGCTCTCCACATCACAGCTCACAAAGTCCCCAGCACCAAGTGGAATGCCGACATATTCAAGGTACATGTTCGGATGGCAAGGTTGTTAAAATAGACAGACACAGGTTCTTCATATATACATTTGTATTTATCTGCCAACACAATACACCTCCTGCACTCACACTGGCTGTCACAACTGCATGCCTTAGGCAAACCAAGATGGCTGCCATTAAGTCATTCCCAAAGCACAGAGGGCAGTTTTGTGTTTGAGGGGAAGTTTCGTATCCACATATTAACAAATACAGTTACCGTATTCGACGTTATAAGTGCCCAGGGGGCTCTCCAACTTAGAAATAGGGGGCTGTTATTAGAATATAATTTTGGTGAGAGAAAAAACAGAGTCGAAAGATCGTAAATTTCGTGGTTTATGCTGACAGCCTGAAATGATACAAAAGAAAAGTCTGTGCATATTATACACGACAGATATATTTTCCAGAATTTAATTGCCCATTATTAAGGATCCATATAACACATGAGTTCATATTATACACGAATAAATAAGTCTTGTGTACATTGACCAATCGGAAGGGGTGCTAATTGGGATTGTTTACTAGCCAATATATTAGCAAATATCACCGTTGGCACTTATTATAGCGGGGCGCTTATAATGTCGAATACGGTATATCCCTTATTGGTGCCGCGAGCCGTCCTAATCCTTGGTCCTTGGTTATCAGCACCATACTCATGCGTGTTGATCTCATTAAAGTGACCTGCGTCACTTAAGGTTTTTCCCAGCTGTAATAGTCTCACTTGTCATTAAATAACCAAAATACTGTTCAAGTTGGTGTCAAACCTAAATACACAATCACAACATATTTTAATATTAAAACGGACTACAGATGAGACAGACTAGAGAAAAACTGGCCTGCTCAGTGACTTGTATCTATTGACACAAGTAATCATTATTCATCTTATGAATACATAACCCGTGAAGATCCGGGTTAGAATAGGTCTTCAGCAAACCATGCTTGTCGTAAGAGGCAACTATGCTTGTCGTAAGAGCTGACTAACAGGATCAGGTGGTCAGACTTGGTGACTTGGTTGATGCATGTCAATGTATTCCAATTATTTAGATCGATGCTCATGATGTCAGTCACTGGATTGTCTTGTCCAGATTCAGTTATTTACAGACCGCTGTCATATAGCTGGCATACTGCTGAGTGAGGTGGTAAATAACAACAAAAACAAAAAAGGTTAAGATTACATAGATCTGTTCTGGTGCTAAATGTATTGTGTTTGATCTTCCAGCACTTGTATGTGTCAAACAAGAGGATGACGGTTCATTTGGAGGAGATGTTGCTATGGAAACTGATTCAGTTTTTTGGCTACCACAAAGCTGATGCCAATATTCAAACACTGGAGGACAGTTTCGACACACACAGGTGAAATACATTTCCATTTAGCAGCGTTAGAAATTGGCACTAGTCCTATAGTCCTTGCCAAACTGCCCAATGGTAAAGGTATCATAAGGACTAGTAGAAATTTGTCCTTTTTAAGGGTTTTGCTATATGTTATCATTATAAGGACTAGTGGCCGAAAACTGTTAGTTTCTAACCTTGCATTTAGCATCACAGGCTATACTTGCAGGATTATGATAACAATATGTTATGGGTTAAGCAGGGTCTGACTTGTGCAGGATTACTTTTGAAAGAGGCTCCTGTAGGAGTCCAGGTTAAAACAGGCGTACAGCTTGATCTGACAGCAGGGATCATTGCTCGTAATTATATCAATCACTGGACTGTCTTGTTCAGGCTTAATTATTTACAGGTGGTCGACATAGAGCTGAAATATTGTGGTGTGGTGTGGTGTTAAACAACAAACAGCATCGTAAAGGAGGGAACGCTGTCCAGTTTTCTTGTATTGGGTTCAAGTAGTGGTTTTCTTTGTTTGTAGGTACTTGGTGATTTTAAGATGATGTGAGGCAGGGTGTTTGGTGTTGAGGTGTGTTTGGTGATGAGGTGGGGTGTTTGGTCATGAGTTGGGGTTTTTGGTCATTTGGTGGGGTTTTTGAGGGTGAGGTGGGGTGTTTTGTGGTGAGGGAGCAAGGTTTGAAAATCTAACAATTAATTTATGATGGCCTTACATCGACTTACCTAACAGACCTGACAGAGGACTGTGTTTGTTGTTTCAGAGTGCTGTCTGCGGCCACCTCTATCCAGGCCAAGCGGTACTACTTTGGTGCCCTGAAGCTGAACGTCAGCCGCATCACTCTCAGCATGGTCACCACAAGTAAACTGCCCCCCGAACTCAAGGCCATCAAACACGCTCAGTCCACCACACTCGTAGCGTTTGAGGATGCCAAAGTGGATCTGGGTTAGTAGTTTTAGTGTTTGACCTCGAAGTGTATCAGCCAAAACATTTAGTTTCATGGTAGGACCTCAAAGTGTATCAGCCAATATGCCTACAGTTTCATTGCTGAACGTTGAGGTGTTTGATGGCAGGACCCATGAAGATTCCGGGGTAGAAAAGGTCTTCAGCAACCCATGCTTGAGGTAAAAGGCGGCTATGCTTGTCGTAAAAGGTGACTAACGGGATCAGGTGGTCAGGCTCGCTGACTTGGTTGATGCATGTCATCGATCCCAATTGTGTGGATCGATGCTCATGATATTAATCACTGGATTGTCTAGTCCAGACTCGATTATTTACAGACCGCCGTCATATAGCTGGAATATTGCTGAGTTCGGCATTAAACAACCAACCAACCAACCATGGCAGGACCTCCTATTGGGTGTAACTAACTTTGGGCTAGTATTCACTTATGTACTTTTTCCATTTTATGTCAACGGACTCAGTGCTCCAGACAAGTTGTGTATCTACAGAAAATAAACACAGAAAGAAATTAACTATTTTGCGTTCCTTTCTTGCCAATATGCATGAAACATTTCAACAACCCAATGGTGTGACTGTGATGTGCTGACTTATCCAGTGTCGCCTTGCGTAATGCTGTATCTTTATAGTGATGTACAAATAGACTGCAGGCATGATATACAACAGCTCTGCTACAGTCAATGCTGCTCAAACATCAATATGTTTCACTTATAGTAACTTAGGCACAGACACACTGGGCACAACATGAATTATTTATTACAGAAAACGTCAATGCCAGTAAATAACCAATCTCTATTACCCGCCGAAGCATTCCATTTGGCGTAAATTGCGAATAGCCATAATTAATGAATGGATAACTGAAAATCAGTGATGACACCAGGTGTTCGAGAAAAGGGTAAGCATGTCCTTAGAAATGTCCGGTCATTTGTTATACCCAATAGACTGGAGTAAATGGAGTAAAAACATTAAACCTCTAAAGAATACTGTAAAACCCTAGTAAGACCGATGACATGTGAGCAACATCTGCAGCACAGGTCACTCACTCCTATGACATGTTGCAGATCCCTATGTGAGGAGTCATCCGTTTGAGACCAGTTCCTTCCTCATCAGCGAGATCATGAGCCACTACACAGAGGTAAGGTCTCAACGTCGATGCATCAGTTACATCAGGCAAGACAAAACAGAAATATGTGCCACTACAAATGTTGTATGTGTTCAACTTAACTGTTTTATCTTGCCAGGAGTTGAAGAGCCAAGCTGCCAAGATCCTTGGCTCTGTGGACTTCCTGGGCAACCCCTTGGGGCTGTTCAACGATGTGACGGAGGGCATCTCCGGTCTCATCAAGGACGGCAATGTAGGGGGACTCCTCAAGAATGTGGCTCACGGAGTGTCAAACTCCGCTGCCAAGGTGAGGATTTAGAGAATAACTTACAAGCTTCAAAGACTACAGATAATCTGTCTCAAGGGAAATAATTTTGTAATTTCCATTCCTTGGTGAAGGCCAGACTTTCAAAATTATTTCATACAGGACAGAAAATCCATAAATCCTGGATTATGAATAGGTTATTATGTGTATTATCAAACTAATTACATTAAGTAATACGTTACCACTGTTATACCGAGGCTGTTGTCTCCCACAACTGCTGCTATAGCGAAATCTACCACAGAGATCTCAATTACCTCATGCAGCACGTGCGTAGCCACCTAGCTGCCATGTGACACCCTTCACTCTTGTCTCCTTCGTCTGCTTAGCAAGACGTGTTTTCTCCTGCTGAAGCGTTCCTTGAAGATTTGGTGATATTTATTATAGTTTATTCTCTAATAAACTGTGCTTTTATGGGGCGTTGCGGTAGCTACGCTTGGTTATAATTTTCCCGCCAAACGGAAAATTTTTCCCGCCCTTTTTTCTATATACTTGCGGGGTTCGCGTATGCACGTTGTGTTTTACGTTTCCCCTGTTCTTGTATGTTTTGGGGGTTAACATAACTTATTTCTTTAATAAAAGTTATATGTGTATGTTATATGTTCACATTGCTCGTTTATTATCTTGTGAAAATGTTCGTTTGTGAATCATTGTGGTGCGTGCGTTGTAACCATGTTTTGTTCTTTGTTTATAGCAAACAATCAATGTCTGACATGGATATGTCCCCAGTGTCCACCCCCTCTACCCCTGCTCCTCGGAGTTATGGGGTGTGCAGAAAGTTTTTGTCGTCCCGGGATCCCCACGTTCGTTGCCCGCGGTGCAGGGTTCCTTGCGGGGACACCCGGTGCATCCTGTGCGAAGGTCTGGGGCCTGCGGATTTTGAGCGGTACTGGCTGTACGTACAGTCCGTCTCCACCCCTGTGGTGGCCGGTTCGTCCGGTCGGGGTCCCCGTGCGGGTACCACCTCCTCGGCTGCGGCGGATCCCCTTGCGGCCCTCGGGCTGTCTGGGGATTCCGTCGCCGCATTGTTGTCGAAACTTGTGGATTCCATGCTGGCGGCCTTATCGCAAGATAGGCCGCTGGCTGTTCCGTCCCCGGCCTCTTCGGTGGCCGCGGGGTCCACCGGTAAAGCGGCGGATCTCTTGGCGGCCCGTGTGCTGTCCGGGGATTCCGTCGCTGCATTACTTGCATAACTTGTGGACTCCAAGCTGGCGGCCTTATCTCAGGATAGGCCGCTGGCTGTTCCGTCCCCGGCCACTTCGGTGGCCGCGGGGTCGGACGCGGGGTCCACCGGTACGGCGGCGGCTCCCGTGGTCACCGGTCCTTCCCCCGAACCGTTGCTCCCGCTATCGGTTTAGGACCGCGTGGCCATGGTTTATGACCTCTTTGAGGACATGCCCCGGCCGGTACCGCGGGGAATCCACGACTGTGGGTTCCTCCAAGTATACGATGAGTCTTCCGACTCGGCTTTCCCCGCATCAACCTTGCTGCGCGGTTTCAAGCCTTCCTTGGAGAACGCCTTCGCGGCGGCCTCCGGTGGGGGTCTCCCGTTGCCTCCGACGTCGTGGAGAAAGGGTTTATTCCCGGTACATGACCTTGCCTTTCCCGAGGCTGGTCCTACCGCGGAGGCCCATGTTGAGCGGTTGGGTGTCCGTGCCCCACCGGCTGCTACGGTAACGCAAGCTACCTTGCACCAGCTGGACGCCCTCGCTCGGCACTCCATGTCTCACGGAGACACTTACTTGGCTGCAGCGGCCCGTCTGGTCGAAGGTTCTCCCACGGACCGTGACCAGCGCATTTACAACTGCCTGCTCAGTTTAAATGCTTCCCTGGAGTACGTTGCCGAGGACTCTCGGCACACACTTGCTCTTGTTGGGTCCCTGCATAGGCGCCTGGGTGCCGCTCCTAACCGGAGCGCGCCCCAGGCTGCTGCGGCCGGTAGGTCTAAGGGGTCGGGTTCTTCTTCCTCTGGGAAGTAGCCCCGCCCTGAGGGCTCCGGTATGGGCAATCAGCTGCCCTTTCGCGGGAAAACGGGGAACTGGGGGAAGCCCAAGTCGTCGACGGACGGCAAGGGCCCCTCCAGGTGACTCTCATTGGAGGGGTTCGTATGCCGACAGCGCCAACTTCGGTTGGCCCTTAGGCGAACCCGAGTCACTTGGCCCTGGACAGTTGCGCCTGTCGCAACCTGTCAGGGCCCCCTCTCCTTCCCCAGTGGGAGCCAGACTCCAGACTTACTGGGAGAATTGGGAACAAGTGTTCGACGACCCGTGGGTGGTCAACACGATTCGGTACGGCTATCGGCTTGATCTCAAAGCGAATCCGCCGCTCACCGTTGCCCCGTTGGCAGGTTTCGATTCGGAAACCGATCTTCCCATCCTCGCCGATGCCATCGGCAGGTTGGTGGAGAAGGGGCAGTACGGGAGTTAGCTCTACCAGAAATAACACCGGGGTTTTACTCCAGGATATTTCTCGTTCCCAAGTAGGACAGTGCCGAACTCAGAATGATTCACACGTCCGCTCCCTGGCTGTTCACCCGGTTAACCACCCCCATAGTGGGGTTCCTCCACAGGAGGGGTGTCCGGTACTTCGCGTACCTGGACGACTCGCTAGTAGCAAATCGAATGACGGACACCCTGTCACGCCATCTCGATTTCGCACGTCGGCTCTTGGAGCAATTTGGGTGGATTACCAATCTCCCCAAGAGCGAGTTAACCCCTTCTCAGAACTTGCTGTTCATCGGAGGTCGGTTCAACACGGTGTCCCATCGCCTCTTTGTCCCCCCAGACCGGTGGCACAAAATTCAGGCGATGATTGCCAAAGTCTTAGCGGTGCAACAGACTGTTCACTTTTGGGAACAGCTGTTAGGGCTACTTGTATCAGCCCAGGACTGCACCGCACGGGGTCGTCTCCAACTCCGCCCGCTGCAACGGTTTTTAATCCAGTTGTTAGCAACGGAGGTGAACAGTGCGACCGTCGCCCTCCCGGATCGGCTCCGACCGCATCTGGAGTGGTGGACGGTCCCTTACATTGTCTTATCAGGAGTCTCTATGCGGCCCTACCGGGCCACGTTGACCCTGTATACAGACGCCTCTCTAGTGGGCTGGGGCGCCCATCTAAAGGGGGAGGTGAGCTCGGGGCTGTGGTGCTTAGACGAACTAGGTCTTCACATCACTTGTCTCGAGTTCAAGGCAGTGATCAACGCAGTCAATCACTGGAAGCATCGTCTCGTCGACGCCCGGCTCATGCTGGCGACCGACAACACGACGGTAGTGTCCTATGTGAACAAACTGGGGGGAACCCACAGTCACTCGCTACTCGATCTCACGTTCGAGTTTACGCTCTGGTGGACAGTGTCCCGTGCCAGATACGCGCCCGTCACATCCCAGGTGTGCGGAACGTACTGGCCGATGCTCTATCGAGGCCTCAGGATCCGAGCCCCACAGAGTGGATGCTGAACCCAGTAGTGTTTCAGTGGCTGTGCGAACGTTTGGGTCGTCCGATGGTCGACCTGTTCGCAACGCGGTTCAACAATCAACTCCCGTTGTTTGTATCACCAGTCCCGGTCCCGAGGGCCATCGATCACGATGCTCTCGCGTTAGACTGGACGGGCTTGGTCGCTTATGCTTACCCGCCGACAGCGTTGATACCACACATTCTAAGCCGGCTCCGAGGAGTTCGCTGTCGAATGTTACTGATCGCGCCCATGTGGCCGAACAGATCGTGGTACCCCGACTTGCTGACCCAGGTCACGCAGTCGCCACTTCCACTGCCTGTGAGACCAGATCTCTTGATCCACCCTCACACCCGTCAGCTTCATCCAAACGCAGGGCAGTTCAATCTGCACGCGTGGATGTTGTCACCGAGCGTCTGAGGAGTAAAGTTTTTTCTCGCCGGGCGTCTCGGGCATACGTTAGTATGCATCGTGATTCTACCCAGAAGGTGTATAATGCACGTTGGGTTATTTTCACGAAGTGGTGTTGTAAACATCACATTCATTCGCCAGATAAGGTATCTGTGCAGGATATTGCTCGTTTCATGTCTCACTTGCGAGAGACCCGGAAACTCTCCGGGGGTTCCATTGCCAACTATGTCTCGTCCGTTGCTACGGTACGGGACGTTGCTATGGGTACCAGTCTCTCCAAAGAGCCGGTGATACGGGGTATTATCAAGGGTTTCAAACAGCACGATCTTAAGAAGGGCCGCCTTCGGGCACCGGCCTGGGATCTTTCCCTAGTGTTGCAATCACTTACGGAAGCTCCGTATGAACCCTTGCATAGTGCTTCGTTCCGGCATGTGACTTGGAAAACAGCATTTCTCCTCTCCTTTGCCACGGCGGCACGTGTATCCGAAATTCATGCACTCGATGTCGCCAAGGTACGATTCGATAGGGGTGACGAAGGAGCGGTCCGCCTGGGCCTGCTCATGGGCTTCGTCGCCAAGAATCAGAGAGTCGGGCAAACGGAGAGAGAATTCACTGTAAGATCACTCAAAGAAATCTTACATCCTGCTGATACTGAGGACAGAGCGCTGTGTCCGGTTAGGGCCCTTAAGTATTATCTTAAGGCTTCGAATGAACGTAGACAAGGGCGTGACCGTCTGTTCATATCGTGTAACCCTAATCGCACGGTTGACATACCTCGCAACTCGATTGCGTTGTGGCTTCGTTCTGTCATCAATCTGGCGTACCGGTCTCGGGGGTTACCGGTAGCGGGGTCAAACCCGCACGAGATCAGGGCGCTAGCGGCAACATTTGCCCTACACTCGAATATCTCTGTTCGCAGAATATTACGAGGTTGTTACTGGCGTTCTGACTCGGTTTTTGCCAATCATTACCTCAAACAGGTCGCTGATGCCGTCGTGGAGAGTGTGCACCGTCTTGGCCCACGGATCGCGGCGCAAGCGGGCACCTAAGGGGTGTGCCCAGCGCAATTCCGAACTCCTCAGGCGTCTGACCTTGCACGGTGGTCAATCTGGGTCTACTCCAATGTTCCCACTGCCGTGGGTACAGGAGTTGGGGTCCCGCAAACCAGCGCACTCACACCACAGGTGAGGGCGGCTTTTTGTGTGCTTTGTCCTTATTTGTATTTTGACAATTATGTCTTTAATTGTCTGTCGTGTATCCCAACCTTGTGATGCATGCTTACAAATACTGGAATTAGGTCACGCGCCTAATGCATACTTTAAGTAGGCTTGCTCTGGGATATACGGTCTGAATGAAATTAATTTCCCTCTTTTCGACTGTTTAACCTGATCTAAGATTAAGCTCACGCGGATACAGTGTTCTCATCCGCTGCGGCGATGAAATACCTATCCAGTAGGGCCGTTTGGAGTCACCAATCGTTTTGGCAATGACGATTGAGCCTTACGGTATGCGCTTGACAGTGCTTTGGTATTCCTATAGGGTAACGCCTAGCTAGGTGCATGCGCATCGAGTGCTTCCGCCTTGGTGTTTACTTCCGCTGGTCGGAAGGAACGCTAGCAGTCAGGATTCGGGTTGTAGGTGCTCCCCACCGCCTACTGTGGTAGTCAGCCTCGGTATAACAGTGGTAACGTATTACTTAATGTAATTTGTAGAATTTTCCTATTCGGAATATTCTATAAGTAATACGTTACCACTGGGCTGCTGCCCGCCCGTCCGTCCCCCGAGCACTTGCTCTCGCAGGAGACAAGAGTGAAGGGTGTCACATGGCAGCTAGGTGGCTACGCACGTGCTGCATGAGGTAATTGAGATCTCTGTGGTAGATTTCGCTATAGCAGCAGTTGTGGGAGACAACAGCCTCGGTATAACAGTGGTAACGTATTACTTATAGAATATTCCGAATAGGAAAATTCTACAATTTTCTTCTCTTTTTTTTTGAGTGGAGAAAACAGCTCAGTGAATCTATTGTTGGAATTATATCATATAACTGTGTATGATTATCAATGTGAAATTTACATGATATAAGACTTTTCCATTGGACAAGATGACCGAGAAATTGATGTTCATAAGTGTACAAACGACAATTTGACATTCATATGTTTTTTACGAGACTGAATTCTTGAAATGACGTAAACGCTGATGGACTACAGCTGGTTGTTGTATGGCTGTCAGTGTAAACATGAAGTCAAAGGTACAATATGATATTGTGTATAGACCTAGGCCTACACCCTTCGAGGTATAAAAAATACGTAGCAATATAAAAAATGATAAGAATTGATATTATGAAGACTGGATGACACCGATTCAGATTATTTGCAAGAATCTGTTGACATCAAGTCAGGTCACCATGGATGGCTTCACAAACAATGAAAAGAATTGAATGAGGGTGTCCGATATATCAGGTTATACATTACCCAGGGTATCAATGATCTACAAATCTAAGTGTGCTGACTCAGCAATACAAGAATGAGCTCTACATATCCCCATCTTGTGTGTCCAGGTGGCGGGGTCTCTGTCAGACGGCCTGACCACAGCCTCCATGGATGAGAACCACAAGGAGACCCGGGACCTGATCCGCCAGCAGTCCTGCTCCACCGGGGACCACCTGATTGCCGGCATGAAGGGCCTCGGCTACGGCATCTTCGGTGGGATCACCAGCGTCTTCACTCAGCCGATAAGTGGCGCCAAGGCCGAGGGCGTGGAGGTAACAACTGCTGGAGAAGATAACATGTTTTAGTATTGGGATGTTGTATATGTTTGGCTTGTGTTTAATAGAGGACATGTGATAGTGTTGTAGCTCCTGAAAGTGGCCAGGGGGCACGGGTGGCCCAGTCGTCTAAGGCGCCGCGATTCGCTGTGCAGAGTTGCGTCCCTTCGGCACGCCAGAAACCTATGATTGTGGGTTCGAATCCCGGTTCGCCACGATTATGTTTCTAGGTTTGTCAGCACCATACCCGTGCTCGTGGGTTTCACTGAAGTGGTAACCTGCATCACTTCGGGCTTTCCTCCCACATTAAGGTGACACGCCGTATTATGACTGGAATACTGTTAAAAGCGGCGTTAAACCCAACTCACTCACTCACTCACTGTAAGTGGCCAGAAACTGCAGAATCAGCAGAAAAAAATGTCGTTGATTTTATGTAGGTTACCTGAAATGAATGAGCATGAATGTCCTTTGGTGAAATGAATGTTTAAGGCTGCATGCAATCAAATCCTTATGTAAAAGGTGCTGATGGGACTAGCTCTGTTTTTGCACATAATTCAAACATGATTCTAGTTGAGTCTGAACCCAACAAGCCAGTGGTTGATAGCATGAGCATGGATGAACACTGCCAGAGTGCAATAACACATAGTATAACCACACAAGCCCAGTTGGTTGGCCCTCCGGACAAGCACAGGCTATATGGGACCTACTGTAGATCAGAATCCCCATAGTTTTTAGAGAAAACCTGAATCAGATCACTAAGGAGTATTAGATCAATACAAATGTAACAGTCATGAGTGCATCAGAGGAGAAATCACGTCATGAAAAAATATCTTAGCCATATTTCTAAGTAATCTTCCTACGTTGATGGTGACTTTATGATGAAGTTAAAACTAAGGTAGGTAGGTAGCAGGATCAAATTTTGGAATGCTCCTGCTGTGTGGATCTTGCTGTAGTGTGACTTGGTGTTGCAGGGTTTCTTCAAGGGAGTCGGGAAGGGCGTGATCGGCACAGTCACCAAGCCAGTTGCCGGGGTCTTTGACCTGACGTCGGGTGTGGCCAATGCTGTCCGGGACACGAGTCGGAGCTCCTCTCGGCAACTGCCTCCCCGGGTACGACACCCCCGCAGCTGCCAGGGCCCGGGGGGACTTCTCCCATCATACTCCAGCCAACAGGCAGAGGCCCAGCGTCTCCTGTACTTGCTCAATGACAACGACTTCTCAGAATTGTAAGTTTTGTAACCGTATATTGACTTGTATACAGACTTGGATTTGTAATTGTATGTTGAAATATTAAACAAGTAATGTAGGAGGGACATGGGTGGTTTAGTCATCTAAGGTGACTCAAGTCGCTTCCCTTGGAAATGCCAGGATCCTATGATTGTTGGTTCTTGTCCCAGATTCGCCCTGATTGTGATCCCTGTTTTTTCAGCACCAAGCCCATGCTCAAGGGTTTCACCATAATGGTAAACATCTAAGACCTTCATGACTTCAGGCTTTCCTAGCTTAAGCTGACACACAGTGATATAACTGGACTACTCCTCAAAGAAGCAGGGGCGGTCGGGGAGCCTAGTGGTTAAAGCGTTCGCTCGTCACGCTGAAGACCCGGGTTCGATTCCCAACATGGGTACAATGTGTGAAGCCCATTTCTGGTGTCCCCCACCGTGATATTGCTGGAATATTGCTAAAAGCGGCGTTAAAACTCACTCACTCAAAGAAGCATTAGTTCCAACTCCCTCCCTCATACACGATTGTTTAGGCTCTGTATGAACATACCGTATGTAGGACAACCAATGGAGTTCCTTAGACATAAAACAAGAGAGTCTACTGAACATGCTGTGAATCCTGTGTGACACAGGAATACAATGTGACGACGTGCTGTTTCTCAAAGTGATCTATGCACTATACGACTGTCATACCTCCCATACTTTCGCTGAGATGTACAAGAGTTGCAGCACTAAGATTGCTTTGTAAAGATCAACTAAGGCCTCTGTATGTTTTTGTGATGCCTCAATGGTGTAGTAGATAGAGTAACTGCCCAGAGAACGGTAGGTCAGTGGTTTAATCCCCTTGCAAGGTCACACCAAAAGACATAGAAAGATGGTACTTATTACCCTGCCTGGCACTCAGGATTGAGTGAGTGAGTGAGTGAGTTGGGTTTAATGCCTCTTTTATCAGTATTTCAGTTATATCACGGCGTGTCAGCTTAATGTTGGAGGAAAGCCCGAGTCGATGCAGGTCTCAGACGTTTACCACTTTGGTGATACCCACGAGCACGAGTATGGTGCTGACAAACCTAGAAACACAATCAGGGCAAACAGAGATTCGAACTCACAATCATAGGTTTCTGGCGTGTCCAAGGGACACAACTCTGCACAGCGAGCACTCAGGATAGAGGGTATAAGACAAGGACTGGTCGGCTTGGAGTCTGTGTACTGAGTGGTACACGCTGCTATATAAGTGCAATAGTCTTGAACCCCACATTTACCCCATGTCACCTCACCTATATATTGTATTGATGACATTTTAAGTTAGACAAGTCTACAGTGTGAAGAGACTGTTGTATCTATGTGCCCTGTTTGTCCTCAGTCCTATCGCCCTGGAGCAGATGCGTGGTCAGGCACACAAGGACTCCCTCCACGTCCTCATCACCTCCAAACAGGTGTACTTCCTGCGCAAACCGTCCGGGCAGGAGGACGATGTTGTCCTCGACATCCTACACAAGGACCTCATTCGCTGTAATGTTCAGGAGGATCGTGAGTAGTTGTTAGGGCACACTTTTGTTTTTATGCTTTTTTTTGGAGGGGGGACACATTTTTTTAAGTATTTGTAAGGCATTTAGAAGTGATACACATAAGAAAGAGAATTTATGGATGTCAACTTCTTTATTATGTTTCTCATAATAAAGAAGTTGACATCCATAAATTCTCTTCCTTCATCTTATTTTGTTTGGAGACACGTTCTTTTGTTACAAGGCAATTTTCTGAAGTTTGACACTGTTTTTGTCATTGAGGAGGTCAGTTGTTGTGATTTGTTATCACAACGCTAAATCACTAAACTTGAACTGTTGTGTGTGGTAGTGTTCTAATGACTTAATGTAAGTCAATCTGAAGAATCATGAGCTAAAAGTCAAGTTGTGGAAGATATGGCATTCCATATGAACCAGGAAGAGAATCTATTCCCATTTTGCGATATGTTAGAAAATGAGGGAATACATATATATATGTAAATATTGTGAGTTTTGTGGGAATCGTGTTAAAGTCTTGTATGACTGACCAAGTTGTCATGAATCGTGTTAAAGTCTTGTATGACTGACCAAGTTGTCATGAATCGTGTTAAAGTCTTGTATGACTGACCAAGTTGTCATGAATCGTGTTAAAGTCTTGTATGACTGACCAAGTTGTCATGAATTGTGTTAAAGTCTTGTATGACTGACCAAGTTGTCATGAATCGTGTTAAAGTCTTGTATGACTGACCAAGTTGTCATGAATTGTGTTAAAGTCTTGTATGACTGACCAAGTTGTCATGAATGCTGTGGATCATGAAAGACATCACTACAAGTATTCCCCTGGCTCACATTAGTTTTGTCCTGACAAACTGGAGTCAGCATACTTCGTGTGTGGAATTTTAATATTTTGGTCTTTCTTAAGATATTTCTGATTTCTCAACAGAGAGCCGAATCAGGCAGTGTTCAACAACATGTAATTGTGTATCTCAAGCCTTGATTGGAATCATAAGTTCTCAAAAAGAATAATTAGGGGATTTGTTAACTGGAATGTAGGGCTACTAGTATATATCTCATGATGTTTTGGTGAATCATGGACAATGCAGAAATACACTAAGCAAAAGAAGTTAAAGAACACCCAATTTCTTCATGTGACTATAGTTAGTCTGTCATGTCATGGCAGATTAACAATAGTCATCAGGTTTTTTGCGTAATATATTTTTTTCTTCCATAGCATCAACATCAGTCTTTTGAGCTTGAAACAAGTACAAGATTTTCATCATCTGGCCCAGGCTAGAGTTTTGTATGGTCATTTATATTTGATGGGCAGTGAGAATGTATGCTAGAATCAGACTAGTAGTTGATGACAATGCATGCTATGAAATGTACATCTGACATGTGTCCTGGTGCTGCAGCTGTGGGCCGGCCGATTGACCCCGCCACGGGTAAACCCATCCCCAAGCGCTACTACATCGAGCTGAGCATGAAGGCCGACAACGGAGGATCTGCAACATCCGACAACATCAAGCGGCCGCAGGTGCGGTGTGAGCGTCACAGTGTGGCACTGAAGGTAAATGCAAGTTCTTGAGTGTAATGTTCCAAACCCGTAGTTGCCCAAACTCCCTAACTGGCACCTCGCACAAAACAATGCAAGACACCAAATGAATTTGATCTGCAGTTAGCAAGGCATAGTGATTAGGGTAGTGATTCTCTCTGCAGAGTTGTCTTCCATCAATGTGCCAGGATCTGCTGATGATTGATCATTGGTTTGTTTGGTTGATTGTTTCTTGTTAAACGTTGCACTCAGCAATAGCTATATTCTAGCTATGTAATGGCAGTCTGTAAATAATCGAGTCTGGACCAGACAATCCAGTGATTGACATCATGAGCATCGATCTACGTAATTGGGATACAATAAAATGCTTCAACCAAGTCAGCAAGCCTGACCACCCGATCCCATTAGTCACCTCTTACAACAAGCATAGTCGCCTCTTAAGACAAGCATGGGTTGCCGAAGAATTGGTCTTCAGCAGCCCAGAGCTGTCAGACAGAGCCCCCTCTACCCTGATCTTCAAGAGTGTGATCATTGTGCCTAGATTTACCCTGATTGTTATCCCTGGTTTGTCAGCGTCATGCCCATGGATTTCAGCAGTGTGACTGATGTCTACTACCTGCATCACTTTCTCCTGCATTAAACTGACACCCCGTCATGTCCCCGAAGTAACGTTCCCAGTGGAACTCAAGCCAGTGGAACTCAAGCCAACTCACTCACTCCTTCACCCAGATCTCCAGCAGTTTTTGTCTGAAGTATTGTTTCCCAAAACCATAATGTTGGTCGTGAAATTAAGATGAAAATAAATTACATAATCACAAAGTTGGAAAATGTTTCTTTAGAATTATCAGTAGGGAGAAATAAGGAAAACATATTTGCAAGGGTTTTATCGTTTTGTTTGCAGGTGACCAATGAGATCAACTATGCGAAGGGCTTGTATGAAGAGGTTGTCCACACTCTGCAGCCATTCCCATCAACAGACGACCTGGAATTGTGATCTCACACAGAGCCTGGTTGACACTGTGTCAAAGCACATGTGTATTAAATCCTAGTATTTTGCAATTCATCACAAGATGGCACTGATGTATGACATCATAACATAACAGCTGTCACAGGAGAATGTGTGATGCCGTGTTATCCACAGAAATATGCTTCAGATTGCTGGGGCAAGGTCATTGATTTCGGGGGGAAAAAACAATACCCTGATGTGTGAAACATGTCCTGGCCCTATGTTCTTGAAAACAGTCCCAGGAAGTGGGTAGTTAGTCTCGTCATGATACACAGCAGTGTAACACTCATGTCATGACGACGTCTGAATCTAGTCCTTGCGTGACATTCAGTAGTATCACCTCCTACCTCCATGACATCATATCATCCAAATATGTGACAAACACCCAATGACATTGTGATGACATCCGAACACAAGGACAACTGACAAACACACCCGATGACATTGTGATGACATCCAAAACCAAGGATCTGTGATGAACACACCCAATGACATTGTGATGACATCCGAACACAAGGACAACTGACAAACACACCCGATGACATTGTGATGACATCCGAAACCAAGGATCTGTGATGAACACACCCAATGACATTGTGATGACATCCGAACACAAGGATCTGTGCTGAACACACCAGATGACATTGTGATGACATCCGAAACCAAGGATCTGTGATGAACACACCCAATGACATTGTGATGACATCCGAACACAAGGACCTGCGATGAACACACCAGATGACATTGTGATGACGTCCAAAACGGGAAAACATCATTATGAAAACAGGTCATTCCGAAACCTAGATTCAGCCTGGCCGTTGTTGTTTCTGCCACAAATGTGAATCAGGTTTCTTGTAGTTTGTAATGGAAACGAACACCAAAAATGGAAACAAACTAAAAACAGAACCAGCTTGTTACTGCTATGTAGTTTGGTTTCACAATTCTCATGTAATAGTAATTTTAGATACATTTTGAGTAAACTGGATCTAATGAAAACAGTTTTGAAAAGAGTGAACGCCATCTGAGATGTGGAAATAATACCAATTCAGGAAGTACTCAACAGCATTTAGTTATGTGATCTTCCAGTGTAGCTACTGTACAGGACTTGGTAGGTCTGTCGTGATTTGATGAATGATAACTTGTATGCAATGTGTCTTTGATAACCAGGTTCAATGGTCGAGATACAATTGACTATCCCTGCTTAATAGACAGATTGCTGTCAGTTGTATTGTTGAAGCGTTTATGTTAAGGGAGGTAACTCTTGCAGGCAGCTTTGTAGTCACTACCATTTAGTGATGGGAATAACTTGGTGGGCAGTCGTAATGTTAGCCTGTGATGTAGTTTTAAGTAATAATAATAATAATAATAATTTTTAAAATATAACAAGAAATATGCATATGCAGTGGAACCTAGTTAACTTTTAGTTGTTTTATTTCTTTTTATGTTGTTAATCTTTGCAGTCTAGACAAAATCCACATCAGCAATATTGCCTAGACTGTGGTATCAGGGTCCCTTAACGTCAAAGCTGAAGCAGATCTATGGCCAACGTGAAGCAGTGCAGATGAGAAGGCTGGATTGAATATTCTGTATGAAACAAGAAGTGTTTTGATTCTCATCCTACAGCAGCAGTGTTTAGTGACTGACAATATAGGACATCAGCAATGGGATATCGCTGCAATTTGAAATTGAGGTAAATAAGTAAAAGAATCATTTTGATTTGAAAAATAACTATTTTAGGAAAGTTAAATACTCTTAATGCATCCTTGACAAGGAGCTTCTGTATGAAATTCAGTGAATGAAATATGACAACATTAACACAAGCTTGTTAAAGATAGCCCTCCTAAATGAGAGAGAACAAATAAAAGAATGTGATGTAATAACAGTGTTTGAAATAAGCTTGAAAGCCATGTTTTTGTCATAACCTGTATCTTTAAACTGGAGAACATGGTGGGGGAGGGGGTCCTTTGATTCAAATACTATAGCCACAACCTCCGAAATGCTGTCAATTCCAGCACTAGAAACTATGGTTATGTTAGGTTTCAAAGTGTAAAGAATTATGCTGATGTTCAAAGATAAGTCCAGGCCAAGTTAATTATTTGTTTTATTTGTCCCCAAATACCTGAAGGCAGGAGGGGTAAAAATAAATCATTTTATGATACGAACACTCAGTGACTAAATGTATTATTGAATTGTCACTATTATATATTTCTTGTTTGAGTATTATTTTATGGCTAAAACTGATGAGAGATGTGTAAACTATGTAATTAAGTTGAGCTGGCCTGTGAAATATTGTTTAACACTGACATGCTGATATAATGTCAGTGAAGGTTTACGATGGCATGGTCCAGTATCCCATGAATACCGTCATATCACCCAGATCCATGCATCCTAGACTAGACGTTGGTAATGGTGACCCTATATCATCTCCCTACCTCCCTACATCAACAACACTGAGAGGGCTTTCATTTGTGTGATACATGTATATTATTCCGTTTGTAGGGCTGGCTATCAATATAGGTCATGGAGGTCAATAATCGCTTACTAAATATTGATCAATTATCCATAAATATCGAAAGAACTTTAAGCAAATGACATATTTATGGATGGATTACTTTGTTGATATTTGAGATACAACAAAAACACTTCCGTCTTCGACAATTTCCATTATTCACAATGACAAGTCGGTAAATCTAAACTTTTTTTTATAACAGTTTATGTGAGTTATTATCGATGATAACAGTTTGATTTCAATAAATATTAATATTTCCATCGGCGATAATTCCGATTACCGATCTTTTTAGCCAGTCGTACTAGTTTGTATAAATGGATTTGTTCCAAGTAGACGGGAGTCATGTTGTGCATAATGATATTGTGATCTGTAGATATATACATAGCGTTGTACATAGAACTGTGTGAAGAAGCATCTTACACTTGTATATATGTCCGTCAGTATTGTGTGGCTACTTAAATGTGTGTGTATATATATAGCATAGTATTTATTAATGGTATTTATGAAGGCAAGATTGACATGGATTTCTAAGAATGAAACAGGTTGGTATCCGTAAATATATCTTGTCTTCATACAGCTTCTGAAGCCGCTTAACTATACCACTCAAAACAAGTTAAGGAACACCAACATTTGAAAAGCTGTGTGTTGCAATACCAACAGCCATGACAGATTAACTATAGTCATGTGAAACAATTGGTGTTGTTTCACTACTTTTGAGTGGTATATATACATGTCTAGATTCAACAATAATTATGTGATGAAGCCATGTTTCTGTGATTTTGAAAATGGACATTTTGGGCATGTAAAATTGAAACAATGAATTTTGGAAATATTGACATAGTGCGAGACTTGTAGAAGGCTTCCACTTGTCAGTATGTTGTTATTCCCACCTTTAAGTGAGGCCCAGGAACCCCAATGGTTTGTCCAGCCCTGGCCTGCATTGTGCCAAGTTCCTGGTATTATTGCCAGTCAGCGAAATGATGAGGCTGAAAGCCCACATTGTATGATTATTTAGGTGTCTGTCTGTTTTAGCATGAGAGATGGAGGTAACCCATCATTGTGGCTTCATCCTGAATCTAGTGGAGAGTTTGTTCCTTGTAGATGTCAGCTCATTGAGAATAGCATGACCTGTTTACATTCCATAGTGTATATACTTAGCACGACCGGAGTTCTATTGTAGAGGGAGCTGTATTGGGAGTAAAATCCAGTAGGGAACACCAAATATATATGATCCTCTCTCAATGCACTCTAGGGGCTCAGGGGGCCCAGTTAGCAGAGAACCACACACCACTGTTCAGAGTTTGGGCCCAGAGGTATACCAAAATTCAATTGGGTTTGAATCCCAAATTTGCCTTTGTTATGATTCTTGGTTTGCCAGTGCCAACCCATGCTCAGGGTAATGTCCAAGCCATGGCGAACTTTCCTCCCACATCACAACACGCCATCATAACTGAAATACATGACAGATTAATTATTGTAATATACATAATCGGGTACCCCGGGTATTCTTTATCTTCTTTGGAGTAGTATATTTTTTAATCATGACATTCCCATGGATACAAAATAGTCAAAGTAGTGTGTTGAGAAAAAAAAGAAAAAGCAATATTTGAAAGTAAAGTGACCATTCATCCTATATTTTGGTGCTGTTCACTCCCCATCCACCCCTCTATGATACATGACCGGTCCCTCGATGATAGAATGCCATGTTTTGTTATATGCATAAACCACATCTGTCTTTCTACGGAGTCTTTTAGAAGTGTATTGTGTTCAGATGGACAAGATGCTTGAAATTGATAGCATAGGTGTTGTTTAGAGCCTTGGTTCAAGAATATTTGTCAAGAAATGCCTGGCGACTGTTTCAATACACTGACCAGGTTGAAGGCTACTGAACTACCAGGTAGAAGTGTATAAATGTGACCTGATCAAGTTGGGTTCCTGGTAGACTGGCATCTTCTCATGGTGGAAGGAGACATTCATTATGAAATATGCACTCATCACTCAGGATTATCTAGAACACAAGTGCCAATGTGATTATCATGTTTTGTTTGTATAAAACTGAGTTTTATCATTTGTATATTGTTTGGTGTTTGAATTGTTTTTGCTCCTAGTGCAATTATATGTGGACAGTTTACTTGATTGTTGTTAGTTTTGCTTTTTCTCCTGGGTTTGTAGTGATTTATTGATGTGACAACCATGACAGGGCTATTACATTGTGGGGCTTAGGGTGGCCACACCTCACTCATGGGTTTGAATCCCAGATTTGCCCTGATGACTGCCAGCAAATTTTGACATGAAAAGTCTATATTCCAATCAGAGGTTTCAAACCACAATCACCACCTATGATTTTAAAAAGCTGATTTGACACCTTCATCCTATCAGAATTGTAAATGTTTCGTAAAGTTCTTTCGCAGTCACTGTAGGTTGGCATTTTAAAATGAGGATATACAATTACAGATTAGATCATGCAAATTTAACATTTGAAACCTCATGCTGTATGTTCAGGTCCAAATTCAATTTTGCATGGTCAAACCTCCAGAGTAAGACTGAGGTTTGTTTTTGTTTTAGCGTTTCCAGTCATTCAGAAACTTTCTCTGAAAGAAGGATCCAAACTATTTTAGTTATTTTTTCACATCACCATTTTTTTAGGACATTCAGCATTTCCACTGAACAACTTTACATTATTTCTAAGTTTAAGGATAAAGGCAAACTAATCATTCCCTGAGTAACTTCAGATCACTTTAGAATTTTGAAATGCACAAAGTCTATAATTGGTTTGTTTTTTCACTGCCAACACCATCTCTGAATTTTAGTCATGAGGTGTGAAGCAGAAGAGCTTCGGTATTTTCAGGCATTAGGCATTAGTACAAACCTGTTCCATGAGGTAAGACGAGTTCTATGGATGAACAACTTCTTTATTACAATTAGTGCAACGTTTCGGTGTAGATCCTAAGTGTGCTTGATAAAGGTGTTAGGATCTACACTGAAACGTCGCACTAATTGTAATAAAGAAGTTGTTCATCCATAGAACTCGTCTTACTTCATCACACCAACTTCTAAATGCCACTGAAAGAAGCTGTTCCGTGAGCACTAAAAATACCAAAGAATAATCACCATGGTTTGATGAGGGCGTCTGGCATTTATGAGTAGCTGAAAAATGTTGCCCATTCCATTTTGTGGATAACATCATTTTAAGCTTAGAAAATAGAACACAATGTTTTGTCTTTGGTATTAATAGTATTGATCATAAACCATAAATATATATATTTCTATGGTATAAATAGTCATCTGGATTCTGAAATATTGATGGACTCAGTCATGCACAGAGGTAGTAGAACACAGCACAGACTTTGTCTTGTAATCACCGACAATTCCGATTCATAGTTTCGAGTTGAGGTTACATTTACTTTCTTTCAATCAATTGGATAAACATTTTTCGAAGATCTTTAAAAATATATTTTTGTGCTATTTTAGTATTTGTTTGCTGTCAAATCTGATGTGTCCACATGTTTGGGTTATTTTACCATCTTGATGTTGAAAACTATAGCATCAAACGTAATTAAATGCTTTTTGGCATCTTCTAGGACCTGCATCACTTTAGGTTCTCTGTGACGTGAGCAAGGAAGTGCATGTGGGTATTTATGCCAGCTGTATCATGGCTGCCTGTAAATTGTCAAGCCTGGATCAAGGTTGGACCAGGCAAGCCAGAGGTTTATAGCATGGGCAATGATCACCCGGTCAAACATTGTAACCCTTGAAACTCACTGGTCTGCTGTTTTGGCAAGGGTACTGGGATCTATTCTGTCCCTGGAGTCCCTAAAGGGAACATACTTGGGATAGTTGGGATCTCTTCTGCCCTGGAGTCCCTACAGGGAACACGCATGGGATAGTGGGGATCTATTCTGTCCCTGGAGTCCCTAAAGGGAACATACTTGGGATAGTGGGGATCTCCTCTGCCCTGGAGTCCCTACAGGGAACACGCATGGGATAGTGGGGATCTATTCTGTCCCTGGAATCCCTACAGGAAACATACTTGGGATAGTGGGGATCTATTCTGTCCATGGAGTCCCTAAAGGGAACATACTTGGGATAGTGGGGATCTATTCTGTCCCTGGAATCCCTACAGGGAACACACATGGGATAGTGGGGATCTATTCTGTCCCTGGAATCCCTACAGGAAACATACTTGGGATAGTGGGGATCTATTCTGTCCCTGGAGTCCCTAAAGGGAACATACTTGGGATAGTGGGGATCTATTCTGCCCTTGAAACCCTACTGGGGACACACATGGGGTACTGGGGATCTATTCTTTCTTGGAATCACTATGGGGTACTGGGGGTCTACTCTTGGAATCACTATGGGGTGGTGGGGATCTATTCTGCCCTGGAATCCCTACAGGGGACACTCATGGAGTACTGGGGATCTATTCTTCCCTGGAATGCCCATGGCTATGTCATGTGTTACTTAATTCTTTGTGTAAATATCATGAGAAATTTTCACCTCGGGTAAACAAGAAAAAGAAAACTAACTGTATGAGTATCTGCATCAGTTTTCACTGAATGTGTTATATTAATATTTTTATCAGAGGTTATTTTCATAAGACTATTGAAAGGATTTGTTTTTTTATGAAGCAACAGCCTTCAGTTTTCTCTAGAAATCTGTGAGAAACAAGTTGTTATGTGAGTCAGAACGTGACACAACCTCGGAGCCCAAAACAGTAGCCCTTGACACTGTGTTATTTTACCGGTATGTTTTACAGGACCTTTTTTTTAAAATACTGAAAGAATAATAAATTATTGTATATAAGAATATTATATTTTCTTTTTCTTTACATTGTTGACCTCACAGAGTAAAAGAAATATCATCTCCATTTCTCACAGGTTTCAGTGGCTGGGATTTAAGATATATACTGGGTATGAGTTATCTAATTCTGACCATTATTATCTTAAATTATTTTCAGAAGCAAGTTTGTATTTTTGTAATCCATTTAAATCAGAACCTGTGGGTAAACTGAAATAATATTTAATGATTTCTCCACTGTTTGCTCGTAGTATTTGGTATCAAATCAATCTATATATAAACCAAACAAATAGAAACGTCTTCTTTATAAGTAATATTTTGTTTTAGGTATCAGGTATTCCTTTGCTAACAACACAGCACACAACTGCTGCGTCCATGTATGGTGATTATTGGCAGTTCCTCATGTAAACAGCATATCATCACAACCCTAGTTTTTTTGTATTTCGTTGAAATTGTTTAAGATGATTTTACACATTTCCAGTTCAAAGTTGGAGAATGTTATAATGCTGATCATGTCTCTGTCTATTATGAGGATCATTACCTGTCGTGTGGGATGTTCCAGTCCATCAGAGGGTGACCAGTAGAAAGTGCCTTGTAAAATAATGATGCTTAATCTTGAATTTGTTTCATACTTGTTCTTTTCTCTTTGAGCATTTTATTACATCATCAAACATATATCAATATTTCTTATTTTCATTGGTATTTAGCCACAGGTATTGGAAACAATTCATGTTAAACTGCAAACTTAAATATTTGAGATCTGAACATGGGACATACAGAATATCATTAAATTGGTTACCCTGGAGCTCTTATGCAAGCCTTATTAAAAATGGTGCTGAACTTTCTTATTTCATATATGCACCAAGAAAAAGGCTAAGCACTGGTTAATATACTTTCTAAATATAGTGAAACTTTTCTTGACACATAGCTTGTACTTTATTTCAAAGTGACATTCTGACATTTAATATCAGTACTGAAACTTAATCCATTAATTAATAACTTGTTTTGCTTCTATTCTGTGGCAAAAGTAGTTTGACTACCCCTTCAATTGATTGCACTGACTCTCTTGCAACATTTGACAATACTTAGTCCTTATAGCTATCTCAAGAAACATGAAGTGTTCTTTTCATAGTTGAAATAGGTCTCGGTGGTTTCAAAACCAGATCAGTGTCATGTGTGGATAATTTAAAAAATATGCATGGATGTTTGCATATGAAAATAAGGAAGGGTGGTGTATAACGTTGTTCGATGGGTATATAAGAAACAAATCTTGTCCTTTAACTTCTATGATAACCTACTCCATCATTTATTGGGTGCAGTTGGGATAGCCTTGGATGTTGCATAAAACCGCCAGTTTCAGTTGCCATCTGCTGTAGGCCTTGTGTTCCCTCAAGCGCCATTGTCCACTAGAATAAAGCACCCAGGAATGGTTGTAGTTAGGTCGCCCGAGATGGGAAACTCTGGAATTGCAATACTAATCCTACTCTCTGATGTAATGTGATGTGTGTGACAAGGGAGCATCAGCCAGCTGTTCCGTCACTTTGTGAAGAGTTGTTGTTTGTTGTTAATTGTTTGTTGTTGTTGTTGCTGGTTTCCCCAACAAGCTGGGTCACACAGGTAAGCCTCTCTATGATCAAACTTGGTAATAAACAGGGGAAGCCTGCTTCCATCGCCACCTTGTTGCTGTTGTTTGTTGACATGTTATACCAGTTTATATACCTGTAGATATACCTTGTCCCACCAGGACTAGTTCACAGTGATTCTTATACTATACTGGCGCGGTCGGGTAGCCTAGTGGTTAAAGTGTTGGCTCGTCACGCCGAAAACCCAGGTTCGATTCTCGACATGGGTACAATGTGTGAAGCCCATTTCTGGTGTCCCCCGCCGTGATATTGCTGGAATATTGCTAAAAGCGGCGTAGAACCATACTCACTCACTCACTCACTCTTATACTATACTCTTAAACAAAAGAAGGGGATCATGACATATGAATATGAATGCCAAGAATTAGAACAAAGACAAGTGCTGACAACAAACTGTGATTAGCAGACTGGAACAGTTACTCATGATGTTGAAGATCGAGCACGTTCAGGTCGTCCGAGGTCAATGAGTACAGGATTGATCCAAAACCAGGCTCTACAAAATCGAAACTGCAGCAAACGTTCTGCAGGCTACTGCATTTCTGGTGACCCCCCGCCGTGATATTGCTGGAATATTGCTAAAAGCGGCGTAAAACCACTCACTCACTCTCCAGGCCACTGGAGTATGAAATATGGGTCAGATGATTAGGAATCATGCATTTCATCTCCATACTTGAAGGCCATGTGTTGTACCGCACCTGACAAATTGTCATATTTCCAACAGTCGTCAATGGCGTACACAACGTCAAAATTAGGGTAACGTGTCATGTTTTCAGATTCACTTTGTATGGTCGTGTCTGGCAATGTCAAAATGAACGTCAAGCCAATGTTCGTGACAGCTTTATGTTGTGGTTATGCAACTCTATAACTGAGCGAACCCCTTTCCATATTGTGCAAGGAAGGGTCACTGGACTGTTCTATGTGGATAACATACTGACGCCCTTTGTTGTTCTGTTTGCATGGTATGTGGGTCGACGTTTTGTCTCTCAGGACGACAACGCCCGTGGCCACCGTGCACGAATCGTCAATGTTCACCTCCAGTCGCCCAACATCCTAAGAATGCCATGACCAACCATGAGCCGAGACCCTTCCCCTATTAAACACATGATAGGGAGACGTCATAGGCCGCCGACAACGTTCGGCCAGGTGCTGCAAGAGGAGTTGGACATATTCCCTCAAATTGCCATTGGGAGACTCATACGCAGTATGCATCTTCGAGTGGATAAATGTTTGACAAATCGTGGTTGTACTACGCACTACTGTTCCAAAAACGTGGTCTTTAAACATTTTCATCTTACCCCAAACGCCCTTCAAGATCGTTGAGACCGCCTCCGTGGTCTAGTGGTAGAGCGTCCGCCCAGAGAGCTGAAGTTCCGGGGTTCGATCAACGGCGACGTCATACTAAAAAGACGTTAAAATATGGTGGTACTTGTTACTCTCAGTGGGCTATTCATGTTAAACATGGTATCTCAGTGAGCTAGCACTACAAATCGGCATCAGTCCGGTCTTGTACAATCACACACACACACACACGTACGTGCATGTACGTCACTATATAGGTGTTATAATCGTGGACGCGACGTTAAACCCCATTTCCCCTCACCTCAAGATCGTTGACGGTCATAACATCTACTGTCATAGTGTTCCCAGGCTCGCTGACTTGTTTAATGCATGTCATCGTATCCCAATTGCGTAGAGGGGCGGTCGGGTAGCCTAGTGGTTAAAGCTTTCGCTCGTCGCGCCGAAGACCCGGGTTCGATTCCCGACGTGGGTACAAAATGTGAAGCCCATTTCTGGTGTCCCCCGCCGTGTTATTGCTGTAATATTGCTAAAAGCGGCGTAAAACCATACTCACTCACCCACTCACCCAAATGCGTAGATCGATGCTCATGATGACAATCACTGGATTGTCTGGTCCAGACCCCCGTCATACTGATGGAATATTGCGGAGTGCGGCGTTAAACAATAACCAAACTGTGACGACCCATGCTCCTTGTGAGCGGTTTGGGTTGTGTATGGGCAGATTCTTAAGCATTGATCGTTGCCCGTGCTTTCAACCACTGGTGTACCTGGTCCAGCTTCTCTGAATAGGGGGAGCACGGGTGGCCCAGTCTAGACGACGCGATTCGCTGTGCAGAGTTGCGTCCCTTGGGCACGCCAGAAACCTATGATTGTGGGTTCGAATCCCGGTTCACCCCGATTATGTTTCTAGCACCATACCCGTGCTCGTGGGTTTCGGCGAAGTGGTAAACGTCTGAGACCTGCATCACTTCGGGCTTTCCTCCCACATTAAGTTGACACACCGTGATATAACTGGAATAATGTTAAAAGCGGCGTCAAAACCCAACTCACTCACTCACTCCTCTGAATAGAACCCGGTTACCTATGGTCTCTTAATGAGGGCTGCCATATAGCTGGAGTATTGCTAGTGTAGCGATAAACAAGAATGGATTCACCCTTCCCGTCCAAAAAAAACATGAGCCCAAATAACCTTTGTGTGATTGTATTATTGATGTATACATTTCAATATAATTATGACGTCATTAGTACCCAGTGTTCTTGGACATCCCCGTGGGGATGCCGGGTTAGAATGATTCTTGCCATCGTACCCCGACGGGATGTCAGTCATTTATTGTGGGGCACGATTATAGCAGGACTATTGAAGAGTGTGGTGTAAATATATGCTTCCTTTGCAAATCGATGAGTGTTGTTTTGAAGTAATTCTTTGGAATATAATACACGATATTTGAGGCGGCTACTAACTGGCTCTATCAACATGAACACAGAACGGTTCGCTTCCAGCATACCAGTATCCCACGAAAAGTCCAATTCCTTTTAAGTCAATCAAAGTCAAATCTGTACTAAGTATAGATCGTAATTGATAACAAAATTTATCACAGCCTATGACGAAGGGCCAATTGATATGCAATAGGTGGCTTAAAGGTTCCATGACAACGTCTTCAAAAGATATATGTGATAGTATCCTCATAGAAAACACAACCGATATCTTATATATTCCCCACAGAAAGAGCTATGAGTCCAACTACGATGGACTGCGTTAATGGAGTTGGTTGTTAATCATTTTTCAACATGATTACCTCCACGGTCTACACACTGCTAACAATGCTTCAAGATTCACACACTGCTAACAATGCTTCAAGATTCACACACTGACAACAATGCTGGGAGATCCACACACTGCTAACAATGCTTCAAGATTCACACACTGCTAACAATGCTTCAAGATTCACACACTGACAACAATGCTGGGAGATCCACACACTGCTAACAATGCTGGGAGATCCACACACTACCAACAATGTTGGGAGATCCACGCACTGCCAACGCTGCTGGGAGATCCACGCACTGACAACAATGCTGGAAGATCCACACACTGCCAACAATGCTTCAAGATTCACACACTAACAACAATGCTGGGAGATCCACACACTGCTAACAATGCTGGGAGATCCACACACTGCCAACAATGTTGGGAGATCCACGCACTGCCAACGATGCTGGGAGATCGACGCACTGACAACAATGCTGGGAGATCCACGCACTGCCAACAAAGCTGGGGGATCCACGCACTGCCAACAATGCTGGGAGATCCACACACTGACAACAATGCTGGGAGATCCACACACTGCCAACAATGCTGGGAGATCCACACACTGCCAACAATGCTGGGAGATCCACACACTGCCAACAATGCTGGGAGATCCACACAATGCCAACGATGCTGGGAGATCCACACACTGCCAACATTGCTGGGAGATCCACGCACTGCCAACGATGCAGGGAGATCCACACACTGCCAACTATGCTGGGAGATCCACACACTGCCAACAATGCTGGGGGATCCACGCACTGCTAACAATGCTGGGGGATCCACGCACTGCTAACGATGCAGGGAGATCCACACAATGCCAACGATGCTGGGAGATCCACACACTGCCAACATTGCTGGGAGATCCACGCACTGCCAACGATGCAGGGAGATCCACACACTGCCAACTATGCTGGGAGATCCACACACTGCCAACAATGCTGGGGGATCCACGCACTGCTAACGGTGCTGGGAGATCCACAACACTGCCAACAATGCTGGGAGATCCACACGCTGCCAACAATGCTGGGAGATCCACACACTGCCAACAATGCTGGGGGATCCACGCACTGCTAACGGTGCTGGGAGATCCACAACACTGCCAACAATGCTGGGAGATCCACACGCTGCCAACAATGCTGGGAGATCCACAACACTGCCAACAATGCTGGGAGATCCACACGCTGCCAACAATGCTGGGAGATCCACACACTGCCAACTATGCTGGGAGATCCACACACTGCCAACAATGCTGGGGGATCCACGCACTGCTAACAATGCTGGGAGATCCACACGCTGCCAACAATACTGGGACATCCACACACTGACAACAATGTTGGGAGATCCACACACTGACAAAAATGCTTCACGATCAACGCACTGCCAACAATGCTGGGAGATCCACACACTGCCAACAATGCTGGGCGATCCACACACTGACAACTATGCTGGGAGATCCACACACTGCCAACAATGCTGGGGGATCCACGCACTGCTAACAATGCTGGGAGATCCACACGCTGCCAACAATACTGGGACATCCACACACTGACAACAATGTTGGGAGATCCACACACTGACAAAAATGCTTCACGATCAACGCACTGCCAACAATCCTGGGAGATTCACGCACTGCCAACGATGCAGGGAGATCCACACACTGCCAACAATACTGGGACATCCACACACTGCCAACAATGCTTGGAGATCCGCGCACTGACAACAATGCTGGAAGATCTACACACTGCCAACAACGCTGGAAGATCCACACGCTGCCAACAATGCTGGGAGATCCACACACTGCCAATATGGCTGTGAGATCCACATGCTGCCAGCAATGCTGGGAGATCCACACACTGACAACAATGCTGTGAGATCCACACACTGACAACAATGCTGGGAGATCCACACACTGACAACAATGCTGGGAGATCCACACACTGACAACAATGCTGTGAGATCCACACACTGCCAACAATGCTGGAAGATCCACACACTGCCAACAATGCTTGGAGATCCACACACTGCCAACAATGCTGGGAGATCCACACGCTGCCGACAATGCTGGGAGATGAACACGCTGACAGCAATGCTGGGAGATCCACACACTGACAACAATGCTCGGAGATCCACACACTGCCAATAAACCTGGGAGATCCACACACTGCCAACGATGCTTCGAGATCCACACACTGCCAACAATGCTGGGAGATCCACACACTGCCAACAATGCTTGGAGATCCACACACTGCCAACAATGCTGGGAGATCCACACACTGCCAATAAACCTGGGAGATCAACACACTGACAGCAATGCTGGGAGATCCACACACTGCCAACAATGCTGGGAGATCCACACACTGCCAACAATGCTGGGAGATCCACGCACTGCCAACGCTGCTGGGAGATCCACACACTGCCAACAATGCATGGAGATCCACACACTGCCAACAATGCTGGGAGATACACACTCTGCCAATAATGCTGGGCGATCCACACGCTGCTAACATTGCTGGGAGATGCACACACTGCCCACAGTGCTGGGAGATCCACGCACTGCCAACAATGCTGGGAGATCCACACACTGCCAACAATGCTGGGAGATCCACGCCCTGCCAACAATGCTGGGAGATCCACACACTGACAACAATGCTGGGAGATCCACACACTGACAACAATGCTGGGAGATCCACACGCTGCCAACAATGCTGGCGTATCTGAACCCCACTCACTGGTGCTGTCGGTTTCCTTCTGGTGGTGTAAAATGTCCCCAAGAGAAGAATGACGTCATCACCATTTTAGTGCTTGCCAGACTTCTTTCACGTCGGGAAGAATCGGAAATCTGACGGTGCCAAATCTGGTGAATACGGAGGATGTTCAATGAGTTCAAAGCCACAGTCATGCAATTCAGCCTTGGCTTGTGCACAGGTGCATTGTCCTGGGAGAGCACACATTTAGTGAGTTTTCCACGACGTATATATGTATACATATATTGATAGTTTCTCGCAGTCAAAGCATATTAGCAATATATCGGCCATTAATGATCTGAACTTTTGGGAGGTTGTCCACAAGTGTTGTCAAATCACATTTTTATAGAGAGATGGCTGGATTATTGCTGAGTGAATATTTATAGAGAGAACTGTCGGTTTAAGAGCTGAGGGTGATTGTTACGCTGGCATTGGAGACGTTTACAAAGGAGCAGAGAACGTCAAAGAGAAATACCCTTCGTTGTATAGATGTAGCGAGTGTGGCCGTCTAAAGCTTGCACACAGGCGGTTCAACGTCGCCTTATTGAGTTGACAAGTGTCTGAAAGAATGCCTTCTGTAGACGTCGCTGACGATTTCGTGTCAAGATTGGTCCCACATACGGACGTCGACGTGGGGATGTCGTTGAATGTGCTGTTCTTGCTGCTGCTTGAGTTCTGTTCCTGAGATGAGTGACTCTTGCGTTGTGACCCTGGGTCGGCCAGGATGTTGTCGGTCAGCAACGGACCATGTTTACTGGTGATTCTTGGTATGTCTTGTGATAGTGGTGGGATGACGTCCTTACCGTCTGGCTTCAGCAATTACCGGGGTTACCGGACTGCAACATTCCTAAGGTCATTCCTCTGTACCCGTGAAGATCTTCAGCAATCCATTCTTGTCGTAAGAGGCGACTAACGGGATCGGGTGGTCAGGCTCGCTGCTTGGTTGATGCATGTCATCATATCTAAGTTGCGTAGATCGATGCTCATGGTGTCAATGGATTGTCTGGTCCAGACTCGATTATTTACAGACCACCGTCATCTAGCTGGAATATTGCTGAGTGCGGCGTTAAACAACAAACAAAGCAAACCATCCCTTTCCTCTGTACACAGGCGGCAGTCTAGGCTTCGTTCGCTTGAACTGTAGACCTTCTTGTGTGAATATTGAACCGATACTGTTTGACAGCCACCTTTATAAAGGATACTTTATAAGTACCTAAGAGTGAAAATGCATTTGCCTTTTCCCCGGGTCGTGCCTGCATCATTCCTCGGTTTGGTTGAGTTTGTGTTTGTGCGAATGGACGCCATCTTACATGTCATCATTTCAGCATTTTCCTGTCAATTCACACAATATGGAATGGTAACGCTTATACAAACTGCGTTTCGTTTGCTGTTCAATATGTGTAATCAATCCCTTGTACATATTTTCTTTATGATGATAACCATTTCATCTTGAAAACATAATGATATTTAACTGGTGCCAAATGGCAAAAAGGTTCACAAATCATGGACACATATATATCACTCTAAACACGTTAAAAGGCAAAGGTCAAAGACATATTGCAAGTATGTAAATGTTGTCAAACTGCACTGAACACTTTATTTTTCTAATAAAACCAGCAAAAAGGAAATAAAAACATTTCTCAGACAAAATGGCAGCATTAAATGCTGATGAGAACAGGTAAGATTCGTGGATGTATAAAAGTGTCATTCAGAAACAGGTGTTTTAATGGTCTGGCGTGTTGACGTCTAGACTGTTATCTCAACAGAAACCTTGCAGCATCGTCGATGTTCCAGGTATATCTTCAAATGTATTATGACAAATACCATTGACCCATTCGCCACAAAGTTTCGTTTCTGAAGTGACGCATATCTCCATATTGCTTATCACTAAGGTTGCACAGAATTTCTCTCGCTCATGACTTCGATTTGATTGGACGGCTATGTCAGATTCTGGATGGGGAGCCCATATGGATAACCTCACAGAACAGGGATCGTGGAATACAGAAGAGAAGAACCTTCATATCAACTGCAGGGAAATGAAGGCCATCTATTTCGCCATCCTGGAATGGAATCTTTACCAATCATCCGTTCTCATAGCCACGGACAACACCACATTAGTGGCCTATGTTCAGAAGCAGGGAGGAACCAGCTCCAGCTCCCTGATGACGGAGACTACACAATTGTTTCCCTTGGCAGACTCCTTCAATTGCCGGATGGCAGCGAGACATATACCCGGGAAACTGAATAACTGGCTGACAGCCTGGGGGGAATAGTGTCAACGGAATGGACTTTACATCCACAGATCTTCGCCTGTATACCCAAGTTATGGGACAAACCACACCTGGATCTATTTGCCACTTGCCAGAACAACAAACTTCCGGTTTATATCAGTCCAGTTCCCGACCCAAGACACACCAAATCGACGCACCAGCGATGGATTGGACGAATCTGTTTGCTTACGCATTCCCACCATGGTCTCTCCAATATGGCCCAGCAGGTCTTGGTTCCCCAGACTACTAAGACTACTAATGGAGGAACCTATACAATTATCGCTTTGACGAGATCTGCTACGACAACCCAAGTCAAGACATTTTCCAAGACAATCTACCCAGCCTACATCTAACCGCTTGGAAGTTATCACGCAGAAGATGCAGACATCCGGATACTCTGAGCTTGCCACAGCTTCTGAGGCTTCAATTGATCGCGGAGACCTTATCCTCCCTTATATATGACAACAGATGGGACAAGTTCGTCCAGTGGAGAAGACGACAAGGGATTATGGATAATGCTGTATCAATCCGTTTGACAGCGGACTTCCTTCTTCATCTACGTCAAGACAATAAATTCCGACACAGGTCGATATAAGGTTATAGATCAGCCCTTCATTCTGTACTTCAACATGTCGGACTCTCTATTGGAAACCATCCCATTCTAAACAGACTAATGAGATCCTTTCAACTAGAAGATGTTCGAACACCTCGTATCTCCACCAAGTGGAATCAATCTGTGGTACTATCGGCACTGTTAACGGAAGCTTACGAGCCCTTGGCTAAAGCTACCCTACTCCAAAAAGGCAGGAAAGCGTCTTTCTTCCTAGCCATGGCAACAGCAGCAAGAGTTTCAGAATGAGTTTCGAATATTCTAGTCTCACCCATAATCAACATTGGAGATCGCTCCCAGACCTCGTAGCCAAGAATCAATCTACCACGATGGGGCCGTTGGGCCACAGACACTATACAATTCCTGCATTAGGACCAACAGTGGATCACCCAGACAGACTCTTATGTCCCGTCAAAGCTCTCAAGTTCCATCTCACAGCTGCAGACCAACATAGACGACATCGAAGGAGACACTTCTTATCTTGTAAGACTAATTCCAAGGACATCACCAAGGCTACTATAGCAGGCTGGATAAAAGCTACAGTTGCATCAAGTTATACACAGACTCAGAATTCTACGCCACGTCTTGGATCCTGCTCAGCTCACGAAATCAGAGCCCTAGCCACGAGTCTCTCTTCATGGACACAGAGACCATATAATAGAGGGACGGCCCTCCCCAACAGTTTATCATAAACCATCAGCGCTACGGTCTGGCATGTAACTGATACACCCCGACACCCTGCTGTTAACCTCTCTGTACCGCTGCAGATGCGCAATAGATGCGCAGACATTCACGACTGACCATTCTGGTAACCACGTAAACAATATTATATAATATCCGGGGCTAGAGTTAATTCCCTTAGCCGAGATTTCTCCGACTACGACCAGCGACAATCCAATAAAAGGACGTCTCTTAGCGGATCACAAAGATTTTCCTGGTCTAAATAGAATGACAGTGATGTTACCGCTACCAAGCCGTTGGTAAATACCTCCCAAAAAGTTTCACTCAAAGAAAAAGATAGGAAATGAAAATATGACGTCTGTCCACAAGCGTAAGTTTTCGAGGGCGTGTGAAGAAAAAGCCGTTCCGATATCAAAAGTATTTTATAACGCATTCTATTTGTTTTAAAAATCAGTTAATATATCTCATTTTATGCTGCAATTGTTAACTATTATAAATAAACAAATATACCAAATCTACTACGAACGCCACAGAAAACTACGATCCGGTAAATTGCACAGGAACTCAGGAAGTGTAAATAAAACTCATCCAGAAGCAGGGAAGACACTTGTAACATATCACCATATTCCCGATGTTCACAAAATATGTCTCCAGATTAACTTCATATCTTATAATAAGTCCAGACTAGATTTACTTGCAAAAATGCATGATCACCGACTGGTGTAAATGCTTTACTATTAGCTAGAAAGAAAATGACGCCATATTAATGTTTTTATTTCATGTAAATTCGCTACTATTTTATAATGCTAATAGTTCCAATGAATTAGAAATACACATTAAACTACGAGCGTTGTTAAATGAATTTTCGATGTGTCCGACAATGGGCTTCGAAAGAATCAAACGTTATTGGTTAATGCCAGTTTGGGGCTAGCAGTGATAAAGGGGTTTGCCGGAGCGAGGTAAGTTTTTTTTCAAAGGGAGGCTACTGTTTAATTCCAAATATTCCGATATTACCCGATTAGATTGATATTTCAGCATACAAATAATCAGGTATTTCAGGTATAACAATATAGCTTCAACGAGCATGGTACCAGATATCTACTAGTATATCGTAAACTGTAGTAACGTTTGTTGTTTTCAAAATTCTTTCATCATAGTTTTCTATATCTGATCAATGAAAAACAAACTTTAAACTCTAACCTGGAACAAAGCATGCAACTACACATGTATTACTTTTAAAACAAAACAAAACATCACAAACTCTGACAAATATGTAAATGTATTTTTCACAGAAAAGGACAATAGACCATCTATATATTTTACTGAATGACACCTTCGACCTTGTTGTCTGGAACTTCTCTCCCGACGACTGCCGATATAATCCTTCTTCTTTCTTGGCATTTACAAAGCAAATGATAATTTTATTATACAAATATTTCATGTAACGGATTTTTATTTTTGTATGATGTTTTCATTGTTATGTAAATACACAAAGTAAGTAGTACCTTCATCATATTTACATTATTATGATTGGGTTTAGGCCAATATCATTTTGCTCATAATCAATATTTACACGGCATAAAATAAATAATTGATTAAATGTAGTCATGATTTATACAGACAAAATCTACAGAAGATAACAAATATGTAGTATTGTAGTATGTAGTATATGCGCGATATGTGATAAGGCCTAACTGAAACAAAGTTAAACTTACGAAGAAATGGCGAAGCAATGGTAAAAATAAATACGCGTTTTACAAAAACAATTCTAATATCATACAATATAAGTCACTTTGTAAAATGTTTCAAAGGATATATGCGGATGATAATCACAGACAAAATGCATGTTATGTCGTCTGCTATATGGTAATTTAACTTAAAATATGTGACGTAAAATATGGCCTTGCGCCAAAAATCATACCAAAAAAACTACCGATCGTACCTAAATAACGTTGGTACCAAGCCATAGGGGAAATCGTGATGAATGTAAAACTATTAAATTCAGGACCGATAATAGGAACACATTCGTCTGAAAGCATGCGAAAATTAAGAGTTGTGATGTAATTATTTCGGATTAATTCAGATTTAGTGCCATTTCTGGAGTCAAAATCTGAAATTTCGGATCCGCCCTAAATTTGTTAATGGCACTTAGCCAATTTTTAACATATCTCCTTTTTATACACCTACGTAACCAAGGACTTTCATTGCGAATTAGAGGCCGTTATTGAAAATCAAAATCTGCACTTTTGCCGATTTTACATGTGCGCCATTTTGTTCTCTCGGACAAAGACAAAGCGTGATCACAGTCATCAAATACAGTGACAACGACATGCTTTAGGGCACCAACAAATCTCAGTTGTAATGTTAACAATGTTAAGAAATACATGAGTGTAATTATGTATTGTGAAATATATCTTTTGCATGGGAAAAAAGGCAACAACGATGACTGCAGTGAACGCGTTTCTGCTCGCTTCCGGACAGGCTGCGCAGTACAAGCCGTAGCACTGATGGTTTCGCGCATAGGCTAGAGGGCCGTCCCTCTATTATATGGTCTCTGATGGACAACAGTCTCAGTAGAACAAGTAGTTTCTAGCTGTCAATTGGCCTCACAAAACACCTACACCGGCTTTTATTTGCGTGACGTGCAGCCGGACTAAGAGGACATATATTCCAAAATCAAAATAGCTACCCCTTCTATCGAAAAAAAGGGGTGGGTGGTTGGTATTTTGTCTGTTAGGTGCAGGATTGATTAGAAGCACCCTGGATATCAAATGTCTCCATTAGACGGGAAAGGACAGATACGGAAATGACGTCTTTGGGTAGAAATAGGCCTAGAGAAACGTCATTAACTGGAAAAGGGGAAGTGACATACCGGAAGTGACGTCATCACCGATATTAGAGTCACAAACCAAATTTAACAAGAAATGTCGTCATTAAGCAGAAATAGATTAGAAATGACATCATTATTACAATCAAGATCAGCAAATATAACGGTAAATCTAGTGAAAATATCATATATTTGACTGATTCTTGACAAATTTCTGATATTCAAATCATCAGGGGGAATTTCAGAGGAAATTATCTCAAGTAGGATTAGAATCAGTAAATAATGGTTTCCAGAAGAGGATTGCTATCAATTACACAGGGAGTAACTAGAGGCAGATCTAAGAATACCACCTCTATTACATCCGAAGTACTCTCTCCCACCTCCCCAATTATATCTACCTCTAGTAGTAAATGAGGGGAAAAAGTGATGTTGCCGCCATTATGACGTCATGGCTTGGGCATTCGTGACCAACTCGTGTTATTCCGAGACAAGCCGAATAGCGACTCGTGCCCCTCTCATGGCCATTTTTGCTACCGGGCTCCGTCTTAGCGCAAACGGGCAGACCTGAAACAATTGTCAACTCGTTGCGGAATGGTTCACATATATTTCCCCATATATTATATATATTTCAGATGCAATTTAAAGCACAGCCGGACATGCGGACTTATACAGTATGATTGAACACATTTAACTGTGTCTTGGGTATATTTTTATGATGCAACACATATGTAAAATCAATGTTTTTCTGAGGGATTCTTTGACGAAGAACATGAAATCATACGTGCATTCTGATTGGTTTGTCGTATTTTCGCACTAACATTCATCGATAGGGGGACGAGTCTTCTTGCAGGTTACGGAAAGGGGCGAGTGGTGACGAATGATGGC